AGCCTAGTTTGGGGGTGTTGCTATCTCCGCTGATTTTAGTACTGCATGTCAGGGATAACTCCAGTATCTTGGTTCCGTTATTCTTAATATTGTTGAGATAAGCGCTCAGCCGCGTTTGATCACGTCGGAATATATTTGTGTATTAATGGTCATAAAGTCTTTTTCTAGCTATATTCGATTCTGATTCTTATCTTCTTGAGGTTATCTTGAGATGATTTCGGGGCTTTAGTGTCCCCGCGGCCCGGTCCTCGACCAGGCCTCCACCCCCAGGAAGCAGCCCGTGACAGCTGACTAACACCCAGGTACCTATTTTACTGATAGGTAACAGGGGCATAGAGTGAAAGAAACTCTGCCCATTGTTTCTCGCCGGCGCCCGGGATCGAACCCGGGACCACAGGATCACAAGTCCAGCGTGCTGTCCGCTCGGCCGACCGGCTCTCCAGAGTGCTTCAATGAGTTGACTGAATAATTACCGGACGCTGTGTATGTGGCGTTGGGGCTAACTGTAATATATAACGTCACGGCGCTGGGTACTATTTGGCGAGGACTGCTTATAATTACTGATACAATACTAAGGGTGTGGTGTATCCGCACAATTCTGAATACATCCGGACCACAAACCAAGCACCCGTCCATTAACTAGGCACACCTACATCCAACACATGCAGAGGCGCAGATTATCTCCAATTAAATATTACATGTCTGGAATCACTCTCACTGTGCACCTCCCTTCCCCAAAGTCGGTGATAATGTTTACTGATGACACCTGGTCTTGGCTCACTTGCTGTTGATTAATAAATTCTACTTCATGAAACCACTCTTAAACTTAGGGGTCAAACAAAGTTGTGTCGTTTTGTTTGTCAACAGTCGTAGTGGTGCTATGAAAGTTGCCCATTTATTTTTTACATATATACACACATACATTCATACATACTTAAATATATACATATATGGCGAAGAACACTGCCGAGTTAGCAGTGACTACCAATGGTACTGTTGGAATGTACTTACAGAGTTACTCAAGTATTTCTACTCAAAACTGATCAAACTAAATTTTATACCGAACACAAATTTTGGAGATTTAAAAAACGAAATACCTTAAATATAGCTCAATTCCGTACAAAAATATTAACTTATACAAAGATTTTTATAACAAAAATAATTATAAAAATGCTAACGACAAAATAAAACTATTATTTATATACGAATATGAAATCCGAGCCACAGCCTAATGCCATAACTTAGCCAATGAATCACGCCACAATGCTCTATCATGACCAACAGATCGTGGACTTCCTGTTTCCTCCATAATGGTCCCCGTTACATCCTGGTTCAGTGGTCCTCTAATTGGGGGTTCCATAGACTGAAGGATCCATAGAAGAATTTCATAGGGCTTATGGGATTAATTATTTATTACATTGCATGTCCTCTTAACGAAATAAAAACAACTTATGTGAGTAAATTGAATGGTAACGAGGTAACGTGGTTGTAGGGGGGTTCACAGGAGGTAACGTGGTTGTAGCAGGTCCACAGGTGGTAACGTGGTTGTAGCAGGTCCACAGGTGGTAACGTGGTTGTAGCAGGTCCACAGGTGGTAACGTGGTTGTAGCAGGTCCACAGGTGGTAACGTGGTTGTAGCAGGTCCACAGGTGGTAACGTGGTTGTAGCAGGTCCACAGGTGGTAACGTGGTTGTAGCAGGTCCACAGGTGGTAACGTGGTTGTAGCAGGTCCACAGGTGGTAACGTGGTTGTAGCAGGTCCACAGGTGGTAACATGGTTGTAGCAGGTCCACAGGTGGTAACATGGTTGTAGCAGGTCCACAGGTGGTAACATGGTTGTAGCAGGTCCACAGGTGGTAACATGGTTGTAGCAGGTCCACAGGTGGTAACATGGTTGTAGCAGGTCCACAGGTGGTAACATGGTTGTAGCAGGTCCACAGGTGGTAACATGGTTGTAGCAGGTCCACAGGTGGTAACATGGTTGTAGCAGGTCCACAGGTGGTAACATGGTTGTAGCAGGTCCACAGGTGGTAACATGGTTGTAGCAGGTCCACAGGTGGTAACATGGTTGTAGCAGGTCCACAGGTGGTAACGGTGGAAAAAGAGGGAATGAGAAAAAGTTGGGAACTACTGTCCCATATGGTTCCTTATGTTCACTGACATGATATTTTTGGACCTGCCGTTTCAGTAATTTACGTTTGTAGTCCGACCTGAGAACAAATGTCTTTAATAACAGCCTGATCGACCAGATTATTGATGATTGTGGCTTCTAAGCCTGTTAGCTACCTTAAATATAGCCTGGCCGATCAGGGTGATTTTATTGTGCCGATTAGGAATCTCACAATTTAAGCATTTTCAAAGTGTGAATTACAGTATATCCCTTCCCTGCCTTCACAGGTACTATCACAATGTCTCGTGGTGCTACTGGCGTGGCACTCACTATTTAGCAAGTACTTGTATTCTAATTTTGTTATGGCTAGCTTGGCTTTGCTGTTTTCTCACATGGACTGCGTCTTGTATCCAAAATTATATAACATGAGCTTCCTGGCTAACGTGGCTTAAGTATACTTAAGCCATAAACAAAGTTCAGACCTTTGTACATAACCTATACACAGACCGGGTACGTAGATCAGGGGAAGAGAACTATCAAGGAAAAGCGCCAAGTTATTACGACTATATAGCACTTGGAAGGGGTCAGGATAAGGATTTGGGATGGGACGGAGGGTGATGTTGACTGATCAAGTGCCCAACCACTTGGACGGTCGGGGATTGAACGCCGACCTGCATGAAGTGGCAGAGCATTGTTACTGCTCATTGTTACAAAGTCGTAGCCTGAACATGACCTCAACCAGGCCAATATGCTTTAGCCTAGTTAATACTACATGATGCCATAACCTAAAAGAATTCTGCATGATGCTACAGTCGCTATATTAATATCATCCATGGCACAGTCTTGTGTACCAAAGAACTACAATAACTTAATAAATCCCTTCCTTTCATACATTAACCTATCCCATATTGTCTTAGACAAACCAGGCTTACAATTTTGGCAGGTGCATAAAATATTCCGAAATAAATTTTTATTGGTCACCTAGTTAATCTATAATGGCTAATTAACTGTTCTGAAATTACATAATAAAAATCAATCTGCAATATTCATTCATTAAGAATTTAAACAAAATAATTGAAAGCACAAGAACAAAAAGCATTACACCTATTTACATGTAAGAAGTCTCGTGGTTAAACTTTACCAACAGGTCCAAAGGGTTGAATTTACAATTCAAATTTACAAGAAGCCATGCCCTTCTTGTCGGCGTCTTATTCATTAACTACCACATGCATTGCTCACAGTTGCAATCTAGTGATTTTATTGATATTCACGCAGATGAAGACTGCTTGAACATTATAATCATTGCATCTAATACTACAAGTGCTTTTAAGAACAAAACCTTTGATTGTACGTATATACAATCAAAGCATAGTATACACATGTAAATTTGAGTGGTTGAATATAGCACATGCTGCCAACGAAGTATATTGTAGATCAAGTTGAGTGCAGTCATTATTGAACATTACAAGACGCGAATATTTAACGCGAGTCAATACAGCTTCCCAGAGTCAACACTGCATCACCACTGGGTTTTAACCCCTCCTCCCCCTCACCCTAGCGGTACGGAAGGTACTGTACATCCTTGGCACCCGCTCTAATGAACACATCACTAGTCCAATGTAAGCACTGAAGTTATCTACTATGACAGTCATTGCACTTAACGTCTATCAATACTCCCCTCACGCGCCAAACACAAACATCAGTTAAGAATATTAGGTACCCTTAAACGTGTATCTCGCTGGTAACATTTATTTTTCTATTTGTGTAGTTTTTATTATTATTATAATAAAATAGTATAATAATAATGATAATTATAATTATAAACACATTCCATGGGGAATGTAGTTTAATTGTAGATGCATGTAATATATTTATTTTTCTATTCTACTTCAAGTCCCTCAAGGGGCGCACAATTTCAGTGAGTACAAATCAAATCACAATACAAGAATCCCATTTAGCATTGCAGGTTAATATAGTAAGCACAGCATATAAGTGTTAAACTCTTGGGGCAGAATGCTTGTAGCTCCTAAGTATTCTGCATATCATACCATTATCACACATCCAAACAATTTGATGTGGTACACTACTTATTTCCTTTTTTCTATAACTATCAATAAGTTGACACTAATACATAATGATCTAAGGTGTGGGCATGCGGCATACTACATAATTTACACTCTTAATCTTTTTCATTGACTTCAACACCGTATTGTCAGATATATTTGTATCCTACTCTGAATCTCATGTAAACTGAATCCTTCCAAGTAGAGTTTAACAATTGAATGGTACATTCTTGCAAATCCACTAACACACCAGGGAATTTGTTTATAAGTATAGGCAGCCTCGTATGGGCCAGCAGTCTTCTACAGTACACATACCTTTATTCTCAAATTCTCTTAATGATTAAGCAGTCGCCAAGGAAGCCAAACCTTTTGCGTAGAACTCGCAAGTAAAACTTGCAAAATCGATTAGTAATTGTCCACTTACTGGCGACTTAATAAAATTCATTTTTGCGAAATACCTCTGAACCTGCCTGACTGGCCATACGAAGTGTTGCTACAGAATATCAATGTTTATTTATTTATTTATATACATATACATGAAGGTACATTTGGTTTGTGAGAGAACATAGTATGATGTGTTTACATTCTTGTAAAGTCACTAGTACACACAGCGTTTCGGCCAGTTCTTTTGCCAATGGAAAAGGGGAAGTTGCAAATTTCACACGCACAACAAAGTGTAGAACATTGCCTGGCGAGTAATGACTAAAAATGGCACCTTTGATAATTACTTCAAGTTACCCATGCATGACAATTTTGTAAACATTAACCAGAACACGTGTCCTAAACAGGAACAAAAATCACGAATAACTCAAGATTTCTTTTTCTTACCTTCCTCTTTGTCAGGTTAACCCATCAACAGCATGTCAGCAATGATGTCGAAATGATTAAGGTTTTATACACACGGCACAATGTTCACTGTTCGAAAGTTTAATCCATAGACCACGCACCCTAACCCTACACTAGTAGATCCAAGACTGAATCTTGTGTTGTGAATGAACTACGAGTTCTCACGTTGGTGACGTCACTATGCTAACCAATAGAAATGAAGCTTTGTGGTCGTCATCACCAGCCCACCAATCAGCGTGCGCATAAGGCTTGTAGGCGGGGAAAACTTGCCGGTCCTCGCCATTACTTCCACATTCTTCGCATCGCTACACCTGCTAAAACCCCGTTATTTTGATGAAACACTGATACACATTCATTCCATCACATTTGATCAAAGAAAGAAAACTATTTTTCTTTAAGAGAATATGAGCAATTCATCCGTAATCCGCTGAGATATATAATTTTATATAAAATTGATGAAGAAAAATTTGCGTATCCTAATGTATATATATATTGTTTGAATTGTAATAACGGTCAGAAATAACGATCATCAAGTTATTAATTAGTTCACGCTGATTATCCTTGTTGCTAATTATTAAGGACATGTATACATTTATTATACATTCTGCGGTCACGAGTAAAATTCACGAAATTATATATTAAAGTGAGCTAAATAGAGCAGCTGGCATAAAATGAAAAAAGACATACTTCAAAGACGTTTCGAGACAATCTTCGGGTCTATAAAAGTATAAATTTAATTAGAAATATCACACATAGTACGTAAAAAGTTGATATATTAAAATATTATTCATAGTTCTTACAAAATTGCTACATAAATGCAAGATATATAATGTTAATATTTGTGTATATAAACATCTCTTCCTAGTTTATCTTGTCAAGCCCCGAATAACCCTTTATGTCTCAACCATATCACTCATGTTCCTTCTCATTTTCAGCGTGGTGAGGTCCAATTCCCTCAGATATGTATTCGTTGTTTTTTTAATGGTTACACAATTCAAAGGCTTATGCCTAACGAGAAGACAATGCGACAAATTGAATCTGTTACTGATTTCGATAATGCCAGCTTTAACACTGCTCAATTATCAACTATTAAGTTTCATTTGCCTCAATGTAGGACAAAAATCAGAAATCACCCATTGGGTTATAAACGCTGCTGGGCGTTTAAAATACAGATGGAAAAGATCATTAGGGCAAAAGGGGGGACTTTTAACAAGCCGCCGGCTTCCTGTCCTCATCGAGGCCACTAGTGTTAATGGCCCTCAGGTAAATTCAGGTAAACTTAAGGAACCCCCTACCCGCCTCAGTCGTCAATGTCATCACTGCAGTTCAAGATCCATTTGGAAAACATTTTCAGGGACAATAGGTTTTTGACAAGCCCTCGGCTTCCTATCCCTCATCGAGACCACTAGAGATGATGGCCCTTAGGTAAATTCAGGTCAATTTGAAAAGTTGTGCGGGTATTCAAAATCTGGTCTATTGATAGGTTTTATTGTTTGTGTGAACAACATTTGCTGATGACTTGGTAATATTATTAATATTTACAAGTGATATAATACAACGGTGCCTATTCACCACTAATATTGACTAAACGTGAATAATAGTGAAGATACACTAATTATGGTGAGTATAATACACTAAAGCGGAACATACACAAGCCTTACCTTAACCTGCTTGTGGTGATACCTGGAACGCTAACTACGCAAGCCACCCGCTCAAATACGCATGACGTTAATTAACCTAACCGGTTCCAGTACCTGACTCCAGGCCCAACATGACATGGTATAGTGAGGGAGCTTCTCTTCCTACTACAGCATCAACATGCATTCCGCCATGACTAGGCAGCCAGGTACCGAGGACGATACTTGATTGCCCACTCTGGGTCAGCGCTGTTGAGGGCGTCAGGTCGACCACCGCCATGACAATAGTTCCATTCACAGATCCCAGACCCCTCAACGCCATTAACCCGATACGTAACCCACCTGCAATACATCAGATAAAAAAGCATGATCAGTGATTCACACACAGAAATTACAATAGCGTGATGCATCAAATGAACAAATCCACATGCTCTCGGACGTAGGTTCGAATCCTCGTCACGGCCCTTGTGGATTTGTTCATGATCAGTAATTCTTAAGTAAAACATTTAGCAAAGTTATTAACATTAATGTGAGGCAAAGAAATAACAAATTATAATAACTTTTATCTCCATGAAAGTTGGCACAATTTGTGAGACAGGAAACATTGATATGGTACATGGTTAAGTTAGCAATATGGTAAACAGTTAGGTAAACAACATGGTACATAGCTAAACAAACATGAAGGTAAAAAGTTAAACATAGTAAATGGTTAAATAAACAATATGGTTAGACAAAAAAACATGGTAAATGGTTTGACAAACAGCATGGTAAATGTTTACACAAACAACATGGTAAATGGTTTAACAAGCATGGTAAATGGTTTGACAAACATGGTAAGTGGTTTGACAAACAACATGGTAAATGGTTACCATGTCAAACCATTTACCAATAAAATTAAATATTTACCATGTTGTTTGTTAAAATAGTTTGACAAAGATGAAATAGGACATCAACAACAGAAGTAATTAATAACAGCAGTTCTGCACTTATGCTGTTAAAACTTCAATAATGTTTGTGAATAACTATGTAAACAAATATACGAGATCGTAGCCACAGGAACTTAATGGTATACTGACGTCTCCAGCATGCGGGCCTCCCAGTCCCAGCCTAGGTAGTGTTGGGCCGACACCTCCACCTGGGCCTCCACAAGGTACTCCACTCCGCCTGGAATAATAAAACAACAACTAAGTATTCATGTCTGTATCATAGTAACGCTGTGCTCAATGAACTGGGGCCAGATTCACGAAAGCCCTTACGCAAGCACTTACGAATGTGTACATCTTTCCTCAATCTTTAACGGTTTTGGTTACATTTATTAAACAGTTTACAAGCATGAAATCTTCCCATTCAACTGTTGTTATTGTTATAAACAGCCTCCTAGTGCTTCGGAGCTCATTAACTGTTTAATAATTGTAAATAAAGCCGCCAAAGATTTGAGAAAAGGTGTACAGGTTCGTAAGTGTTTGCGTAAGTGCTTTCGTGAATCTGGCCCCTGAATGGTGGGATTTAGGTAGAAAGCAAAACGCTGTAATTTGGGGTTTCTAGGCTATCTTTGAAGTAAGTAATTATCAAAAGAAGGCACCAAGCCGAGGCTATCTATGAAGAGCCTAATAAAGAGCCCATCGTTATAAAAGACATGGTTATCGCTGGATTGTCTGAAGCGTAGGTTAAACATGAATGTGAATGAGTGCTGGTAGATATAAATAGAATCTACCGCACATAGGCCTTCTGTTATCTTTACTTTAAAGTTTTTATGTTTTTTCAAACAATCATGAAAACTATACCAAAACAAAAATGATTTTGAACGAATACATTAAGGCATTTTTGCTTTTCTTAATATAAATAACATATTTTAAAAGAAAATGTAATATAAAAGATATTTAAAACCTTGTATTTTATACTGAGATTATTCAAGTACAACTCTGGCAATAGGATACATCGGTGATAAATGATACAACTTCCTAAACCATAAATTTATCTTATGATTATCTTTTGATATTTTTTTTATACGTGTACTTTGAATTATTAGTGCTTCAGTTCAAAATACAGTAAACTAATACAGTGCTTCAGTTCTAAATACAGCGAGTGAAATCCTCAGTGTTTGCAACCTGTCCCCCTATAGAACGTCACATTTTGACTTATACTCTACCTAAGGCCACTAGAAAATGGTAGCGGCTCACGAAATTTCTGTTTTGGGTTCTCTGGTAGGTTAAGATAAGGGCACATTAATACGACAGTTTCTTGACACTGGGAAACATTTGGAGGACGGGCTGGCTAAATCCCCCACCAGCTTGACCGAATACAGGACTCACCAGCAGTAAAGCAGAAGGCATAATCGGTGGGTGGTGTGCCTCTCTCACCATGTTGGTGCAGCTGGAGATCCATACTGGTGACGGCAGCTCCCTCACCAAGCACTGTCCACCAGTGGCCTAGTATTAGCCTGTGATAGTAAGAGAGAGAACAGTTATAACTACCTGCATCTTTTTCCAAGCATCTGCCTCAGTACCACTTACCAACGTCTTTATCTAATTATCCACACGCCCTTTAATTGTTACTCCACTTCGTTTAATCATTACATTTATCAGTGACATCTTCAACTTTCCAAAATTTCAACTTCAGGACTGATGCACCAACCTCATCCATCCTGCACTCTACTCACACTACAAAAGCCAATCACGCTCACATTGTCAATATAACATCTCTGCCTACTTGTAATATTGCTTCACAAGTTAACATCTTCCCTTCCTTATCTCCAATATTTAAATTAATTCAACAAAAACCCGAAAAGTGTTTCTCTCGAACTGATATCGCAATTAACAAGAAGTGGACTATAGAGTTCAATACACTGTAGTACGTGGGGAAGATGGCAACAGAAGCCCATAGCTCCAAGACTTAGTTATCTTCTGGGAGAGTAGATAGACTCTGCATTACTACTCAGTTCCGTGTAGGTAGAAGAGTCGAACACGAGCTTATGGATAAGATTACTTAACCACACACAAGAAGATGAAGTAACGACGACATTTCGGTCCATCCAGAACCATTACCAAGTCGTGTGTGGATAAGAAGTCAGCTTACGGATAACCTTACCTGGAACACTGGATTAAGAGAGAGCAGGAAGATCAAGGGAGAGGAGCATGTACCTGGAGCAGGTGGATGGCTGACAGACGACACCAACGACACCCTTGGAACCATCCTGGAGGAAGATATGGTGGAACACGTAGCGATGCATCAGACGCCACTCCCGCATCTTGCCTGTCACAGATACCAGAGTAAAGCATTATTACCGGCATGCTCGTATTTATACATTCCCAGTGTACAACAAATCATTTGTAGCTCAAAAAGGAGTTCAATGCAGAAGATACACTGATATACAGGTGGTCCGAAAGCTACTGTGCCGTAATATTTTATTAACACAATCACATATAAAATTAAAATATAAAATAAAACAATAACAAATTTAGTAAAATACATGCACTTCCTCTCTGGTTCGCGACAATGAGGCGCTGGAACAGGAAACTGCCCGCTCTTGAGTCTCTAGTTTGCCTAATGAGTTCCTCACCCACCTCCTTTAGAAACTTAAGTGCACATTTACCCAAGAAGATTACTCCAGAAGATGAAAATATAATGTTTAAAATTTTAAACAACCATTTATGAATAAAGTTTTTGAATTTGAATGTTTCGAACTTTGAAAATACAGCAGAGAGGAAAGCTAAGAGTAATTGAGTCTGAAGTAACATTTATCACAAAGTTGGAACCCACCATAAGAGTGGTCTCTGAAGGACGGGAGCAGCAGACTAGACGAGGCTCCATCAATGGACACGGAGCCTTCAAGTTGGCCCATCTGCTCGTAGTGTGTCTGGTGGTGCCTGTACACCACCCACAAGCATAATGGTTAATTTGTTTTACCGGGGACAGGCAGCCCTGTGTATGTATGTACGTTATGATTATTATCGACGTCCCCTCAAGGTCAAACTACTGATCTTCGCCAGAATGTAACCCCGCAACAGTTGGCTAACTTTCGGGTACATATTTGATGTTAGGGTGAAGAGAAGCATTAGTTGAAAGGAAACGTGCCCAGCAACTTCTGTTTCGCCCGTGATTCCCTACTGCGAGTCGAGAACAAACCCAACTGCAACTTGCTTCAACTGATGGCTAATAAGAGATGTAACTTAAAAACTCTTACAAAACTGCTTAACCTAGTTCTTAAAAAAGGAATCTAATGTAACTCTTCCACAATTACTTTTGAAAACTTTCTAGTAATTCTTCTTAAATTCACATGAATATAAATTAAGAAATTTATATATCTATACACAAAATCTTTGCAGTCATTGAACGTGAGAAATCATCTTACTTTCTAAGAAACGTGAAGTACTCCTTGCTCCAGGCTTCATTGGCAAAAGCTTTGGCAGTAGTTAATATATCCATGTCAGTGTCAAAATCAAAGTGAGGGAGGTTAGAAGTCCACAGAAGGTCCACCTTAACATCAACAGAGTCACCCTCAGGTTGGTCGTGTGGTCTGTGAATTATAAATGGTTTCATGTGTTATATACATGTACAAAACCTCGTTCCTAAATGCTAATCTTAATCTGAAACTTTTCTTTGGTAGGTGTAATAAAATCTATGAGCACCACAACAGAAATAAATATATCTTTGATATCCCCAGAGTCAGACTAAATCTGTGCAAACACTCAATGCAAATAAAAGGGCCCAGTCTTTGAAACTCACTCCCTGGTGAATTAAAAAATTGTCCAACCCACGCCTGTTAAAAAGTAAAACCAAAAAGTACCTAATTTCATCCTCATAGTTTCCTACCTTGTGCTTCAAACTCACACTGTATCTTGTACTACCCACTTCCCCAATATTAGTACTTAAGACATATATCCTTACCAGTGTAATCATCTGTCAACTTATATTGTAGCTATTTGTTGATATATAACCTTGCTACAATGTACCCCTTCATCTTACCTGATATGTTAGATTAAGGACCTGCCCGAAACGCTGTGTGTGTGTTAGCGGCTTTGCAAGAATGTAAAAATACCAACCCATTGTACCTTCTTGTAAATTAATTATTATTATTATTATTTTATCGTCTTCTGACTTCTGTCTGCTGGCTAAAAGCGCTCCCTCACATAGCTCGTCTAAAGGTATATCCTATTTTCTGCACGACTAGGGTGGCCAAGTCGTACGACCCCGCCATGAGTTCATACCCGGTCTTTTGGCTTGCGGGACGAGCGAATGAGGCCACTATACTACATGGTGTTAATGTTAGATGAAATGCTTCATTAGCATCGTACACCTTAATTACTTTATCTGAAAATAAAATAATAGTTATATAAAAACTATATATTATTTTATTAATTCATTCACAAAAGCATAGTTAGTCTCAGTACATATGTGATTTTTTAAGGAAGAATGATAACAATGATAAGGAAGAGTCAAAACACATTGAAAGTGTGTGTGTGTCTGGTTATGTCCGTCGAAGCCTCTAGAGAAGCTGGCTTCTCAGGTTAGTTAAAGTAACAATAAATATTCAAAAGGAAACCCATAAAGAAATTAAAATGTCATAGTCCAGCATAGTCACCTTAATTTACCAGAGAACTTGAGTCTCCAGACTTTCATGGGTGACTCTGGCATTATGGTAATGTTACCTGTAGCAAACTTATCTTCGTCTTTCTCGTCCCTAAAGGTAATTGTGTCAGGGTGTTTGGGGCTCACCAGAAGGCCTCTGCCAGGGACCTGTCATGGAGAGGATGTGTATAAATGCTCTAACATTATATACACTTGTATCTTGTGCCACGGAAATATATTTGAAAGCAGATAAAGATAATAATTTATAATTCATTGTGTCGGGGGACAAGCAGCCAGCTTATACATACATGGTGCCTATTAATCTTCGTTTAAATTACCAATCAAGCTGTCAATGCAATCAATCAGAGCTTTAATATACCACAATGCTTTAATATACCTACTAATCTCTCTCATCTCATTTTTTCTTTCTTACAATGTATCTGTTATCATTTTTTTTAATTCCGCTAGAATTTACCTACTTAAAATTATCTGTTAGATTAAGGACCTGCACGAAACGCTGCGCGTACTAGTGGCTTTACAAGATTGTAAATACCATGCTATGTATTCTCACAAACTCAATGTACCTTCTTGTATATAAATAATTAAATAAATAAATAAATAAACATTACATGTTAGGCTTATATCGAGGTCCCCCTCAGGGTCGATTTACTTACCATACCCAGGATGCAACCCCACAACAAGCCGACTATGTTGTTATAGATTCAGCTACTCGATAAAGTTCGAAGTAGCACGAGCTATGGTGAGCCCGTAGTGGACTTACCTGGCACAGGAGCGGTGCTGTGTGTGAAGCCGACTAACTCCTAGGTACCTATATACTCCTAGGTGGGCGGGTATTAGGGGGATAGAAAACACACTCAATCATTTCTGTCCCGCCCGAGATTCGAACCCAGTATTCCCGATTGTGAGTCGAGAACGAATCGGACTGTTCTACCAGGACCCTCATACAGAGGGTAAATGACCTCTAGAGCAGTGGGCAGAGTAGTTACCCTACAATTAAATGACTCAGGGTTCGATTCCCGAGCAGGATAAGACATTTTGGCAAGAATCCTTACACTCGATGCCTCTGTTCATCTAGCAGAAATTATAGCACTCCTTAACGAAATAAAACAAATAGACGTCTGACTCGACACCATTTTCCTAAGTTCCTAAGTTTCTCTGTATATGAATAACATACAAAAAAGGGGCCCCTCTTCATAGGATACTGGCTCCCTGTCTTGGATAACTCTACTAACGACGCTCAGAGGTAAATTCAGGTAAAGAAAAGACCAACCTTGAGGTAGATGAGGGCAGATGCGAGCCTGGCGGGCCGTCTCTCCATGGCCACGATGATGCCCCAGCCATGAGCTGCTCCAGAGAAGAATACAGCGTCTATGGCCTGTCATCAACATCAAAACCAACCACCTCAAGCTTTCTTTGTATTGTTATTATAATTATTATAAACGTTACAATTACTGATTATTTGGCCTTAAATAGTAAGTTACCAAACACATAGCAGAAATATCACTATGGGTCATCCAATAAGGCTAGCAGACTTCTAGATGTTACAACTGCTAGGTTTAGGCTAGGCTACAAGTACCTCTAGGAGTTTGCAACATCTGCTGATGTAGATTTGACTAAATGTAAACTCTGTCAGCAAAACTGTTCGCATACTTTGCGTCATTATATAATGGATAACACCATCAATAGTGTCCAATAAATGTGTAAGTACTTCATTCATAATGATGTACTAACAGGAATCTTAGCGAAGTATCCAAAATTTGCTTAATGCGAAAATTTGCAAATAAAGCAGTGTTGATAATGATCTTGTAACTATAATTAACAATAAAAATCTTTGTATTTATTCCAGTGAATCTGTTTACTATTATCTTAATTATCTTTAATACTTCATAGCTAAACCATCTATGGCAATGACATTTTAAATAATAATAATAATAATAATAATAATAATAATAATAATAATAATAATGCCAAAATATCCCTCATATCTTTACCCTGTCTCATCAAATTGGTAGTATCTAATATGTGAGCATGACATGCGAGAAGTGACCAACCTTGGGGTTTGGGTGGAGGGGCTGAGGCCTCTCCATCATCTCTACTCTGCTGTAAGACCTCGACCCATAGCCCGCTCCCTTACTAAATCTTCCACTTTTCTGTGTAGGCAATACAATACAAACAATAATATTATATAGAAGTATCATTAAACAATTAGACGCAGACTTATATCTACAGTTCTCTTACAGTAAGATAACAAGACGTATATCATAATAATTGGGTTAATTTACAATAAAAAATCCATTAATGGTATGACAGGAGTTGATAGTTACAATATGGGTTTAAGATGGAAATTTGTAAACACGGAAATTATGTGCACAAAATTATAAAGACCATTTAAAACATTCAAAATTTCGCGATAATTTTCCGAGCCTAATTAAAATTTGAGTGACATTCGTACCGGCAAACCAGTCAGTCAATTTACCCTCACACACGGTGACCTGCAAGTGGCCCTTGGTACAAAGGACTGTGTCCAGGTCAAACACACTACTCAATGTGTTGATCCGAATCAAACGATGTTGAGGTTCGTAATGCTACACACGGCAGTGAGGCGAGCATTAGGTTGACTTGGATACAGAAGGGTATCCAAGATACTACATGTTGTAGTAACCAAAAATATATGGGTTTAAATCTATTTGCATCAAGATAATCCTTGGAAAAATAATCATATGACCTACAGGAGAACTATTTCTCTCGTATTAGCAACAGTGCAACATGATAAGTATCTTGTTATATCCAATGTAGTTTTCACTTGAACCATGTAACCTGATACGGATCTTATCTCTGATACAGTCAGTCTACTCAAGAAAGCCGCATCTTGAATCTGGCGCCTTTTAAAACATGTTTTAAGTGATCAGCATTAGGCGACACTTTTAGTTTGTAATTTAATTAATCATCCTGTAGGTAGTTTTCAGAAGGTTAGTCATATAATGGGATCACGTACTGGACGCCAATGATTAACCAAATTTAATTTTGTTAATTTATTATACACTTCACACACATCCCGTGGACGGTACTGGACCTCCATACCCATCCAATAAACTACTGCTCACAGAATGAGTGTAGGGTGCACAATAAACTACGGCTCACGGGATGAATTTAGGTGCACAATAAACTACCGCTCACAGGATGAGTTTATGTGCACAATAAACTACCTTTCACAGGATGAGCTTAAGGTGCACAATAAACTACGGCTCACAGGATGTGCACAATATATTAGCCGCCGGTAGCGGTAACAATCATCATCTGAATTATTACAAACAAATATTTTTTGTTTTCACAAATGATAGGACTAACAAACTCCGCGTTACCAAATAGAAACATTTGACTGAGCTCATTCTCAACATCTAACTGTGGAACACTAAAGGCAAGCACAACCAACCTTCCTGAGCTTGACGAAACAATAGAAGATGATGACCTTAAGCGGGTAGAAGAGCGATTTCCGCGTGTAAGGTAGAATAGCTTGTGTGGGCGGTGGTGTGGGTTTAAGGAGCATCCACCACGCCACCCACACGCCCACACCTGTGCACACCACGCTGCCCACACACATGCACACTGCACTGCCCACACACGCCCACACTACGCAACCCACAAACACCATCCACAGCACCAACCCCAGCATGCTGTGAAGGTTTAACTCCTTTGACGTTAACAGATATCTAAATAATAATTATGGGGTCTGTGTAGGCAGAGGTGTGGCACGTGACTGCGAGAGCCGAGATCGAGGGAATGATAATATCACTCTCCTCTCTCCTGGCAGATAACAACTTTGATATCATAACGTCTGCATACCTCCACTAATCACACAAAACTCTCAACTACAATTTTCGTTTCTAACTTCAGTTCTCTTGTACACATATGCAATTTACAAACTAAACACAAACGACGGTTTCCTGAGGGCGGTAAATGTTGTATTTTGTAACTCAATTGAGTGACTGCAAGAGAGGAATGTTAATTAGCGCAGGATATTGTAAAGACACTCGAGCCCCACTTTGTGGATTCTCACATATGTATATCTATACTAAAATTTTAAAAGTAAAATATTGAATATAATTTTAGATTCATAAAGCCTAAAATCTTGCACGAGAAAAAACTAAATATATTTGAGAAGCTTGCTGACATGAGCAAGCCGAGGTTCATCTGGGATTTCATCATCTAAGATATACATGTGCACCTTCAGGTGCTCCCTCGTCACCCTCGCCTGAAGACTGGACAGAAGGGCCTAAGTAATGAATGAGATGAGAGACAAGGTGCTGGAAGCGGTGGGAGTCAGCCAGGCAGCGTACAGGTGCTGGCGAGGGGACCAGCTCCAGATTCCAGAAAACTCTTCCTTTGGTATTATATTAATGCTCGTCTCCCTTCTTGACATTTATGTGTAGGAAGGTCCACTCCGTATATAAAGCAAGACCCAACGCCATGGGCTGTGTGGACGGTCGACTTGCTGCGTAGAGCTCATCCGTGTTCATAGACTATTCCCACCCGTGGACACTCGTAAAGGTACAGTATATAGTGTGCACTATATAATTATGGCTGACCAAATGGTTCCCATAGCTGGGGACAGGAAGCCTGCCCCGATTACGCGAATCTTGGTCAACCACTAACCTTCCCCAGCATGGAACCCACAACAGTTGTATAATTCCCGGATAGCTATTTATTGCTAAGTGAAATACAGGCATCAGGTGTAATTTTTTTGGTCCGACTCTTCTACCCTGCCGCGGGAATCGAACCTGGGACTTTTCGGCTGTGACCAAACTGCGATCAGACAGGTGTTTTGAAGAGCTAATGGTATCAAGCTATAGAAAGAAAATAGTAGTGTTGTTGACTTACAAGCAACTGAGTTTGTATACTGCATACCGAACTGATCTTCTCTATTGAAAACGTAATACTAACCTAATACTAAGTCGATTCAAACTACAAAGTATTCCCTACTGATTCTGTTATAATTACAACTTGATACAACTTTTTATTTCATTATTTTCTCATTTACATTTACTGACTAAATACAGTATTATACAATTACAAAAGAAATCAAAAGTATCCACGTGATTATACATAATTATTCAAATGAGTATTACATGTATATACATATCGTACAAGATCACTGACTAGGGAGTAATATACCTATATGATACAGTTCGGTCATGTATAGCTATACAAGAAATTTAATCGATAATACCAAGATTTATAAAAGAAATATAATCAAGTATAAATTTGCACTGATTTATACATTTTCGCACAAAACTACTCACAGTTCCACAAACATCCTAGAGATAATGTGTTCCACAGCTAACTTTAATCAACCCGCAGATGTTCACTTCCATGGTGGTGGGCCTACACCTGGCGACCTTACTTTCGGCAACCAATGTGAGCGTCCTCCTCTCCGGCCTCCCAGGTAGGCCTATACTTTGGTCTCCTCCCAGGTAGGTTTACACATTGATCTTTCGCGGAGAAAACGTGTGGTTATCTAGAGATGATTTCGGGGCTTTTTAGTGTCCCCGCGGCCCGGTCCTCGACCAGGCCTCCACCCCCAGGAAGCAGCCCGTGACAGCTGACTAACACCCAGGTACCTATTTTAGTGCTAGGTAACAGGGGCATAGAGTGAAAGAAACTCTGCCCATTGTTTCTCGCCGGCGCCTGGGATCGAACCCAGGACCACAGGATCACAAGTCCAGTGTGCTGTCCGCTCGGCTCCCCAATTAATTAATATTAATAATGTGATTAATATTTCAGTCCCCTAAGTAAGTCACGTGTCGTTGCAACCCGTTCTCGCACTTTCTTTAAGTCAATATTGACTTATTGAATAAGTGCATATGTGATATACTAATTTATTGTGAATATTTTAGTTTACCTTGAAAAGCTTCATAGAATTTTATTGACTATTGACTATTTTATTGACTCAGGTGTTCTGGATGACATCCTAACAATTTACCCAAAATTTGCTTGTCCATTTTAAAGAATGAAGAACAATTTTTATTTATATTACTTCTAAGCTGCATCAGTTATGAACCCATCCCTGCCCTTGTGTGGCAGTGCACAATCGAAAGTTGTTTTCACATATCCATACATTAAAACATTGATTGTAACCATGATATATATGTACTTCCGCCTACAGTTTAGACCTATTGTCCTATGTATGACCCTTTGTCCTGCGTGACAGTGAATACCTGCATTATCCTCACTTTAATAAGACTTAATCGAAATCCTTAGATTAGGCAAAATTGTAATTAATTTTGTCAATAAAGATGTTAATAATAATAATAATGGTTGTGTTGCTCCCCAGTGAGGAGCCTTGCTACAGCCAACCTGACACTGGAGTCATGCCAGGCAACCTCCCACGTCACCCAACTGAGGTGTGAGGTGCCTGTGGTGCAGGCGACGGCCCCGCCGGCTTTCAGGTGAGTGGTGGGTAGAGGAGGGTAGAAATAGCCTAAGCTACTCTTTTTCTTTTAGGATATATTCTCTCAATAAACTTACTTGAAATCGAGCGGTGGGTGAGGAAGGATGGAGCGACTGGCCAGGGTACTGGAGGGCCACGCATGTCGCCTGCACTGAGAGCCACACACTGGTATCTCAACCATTCCAGTCCTCAGGCTTTATGCACAGTCCGTCCTTCAAAAAAATTTCGTACCTCTAACGACTGTGCAGGAAAAGTACAACTATGGATTATTTTACAAAATAGGTTCATGTGTTTTACTGTTGACTGTTGAGAGCCTGAAAAAAAAGCCAACAACAAAATTATAGGACATGTACGTACTAAATTTTGCATAAAAGTGCATATATGGAGCCATAGGAGTGTGTGTACAAATATTTTCTCTCATTTCTTAACCGAGTTCATATGATCGTATTTACGAATGAATACTGAAGACGTGAATATTTAATGATACATGTTTCATAGGTTCCAGGAGGCGGTGATACTTCGGGTGGCGGCGGAGGAGTGGGTGCCTCACATAAGGGTGATGGAGGATCCTCCAGGCAACGTCACCATCAGCGGACCCATGGCTAACCTCCTCCAAACTCTGGCAGACGCTCTTCACTTCAGGTCTGTAATAATGCCGCTAGCCTTCCTTCTATATTCACAATCAAAATGAACATAAATACTACAAGAAATTAATCAAAATCGATAGATTATGAAATCAAGTTCGTAGATGAGGAACAGAATTAAGGTATAGTCACTCGTACAGATACACACTGGTGCGGCCGCCCGATGGAGCCTGGGGCATCCCTACTTCAGGAGGGGACTGGAACGGCATGATCGGCATGGTCAAGAGGAATGTGAGTTTCAGTCATGATAACCAGGAGAAACAGCCACCCATGATCCAAGCCATTGCTGATGAAGATCACATTGATGAATTTTATCACATTGCTGATGCTTCCTATTAGATGACTGTTATGCCAGGTCAACAGTGTAGAGTAACAACCGAAGTATCAAGGCAGATCACTTTAAAATGCATCATTACAATAGTTGTAATGAGATCGACAGCTCAAATTCCTATTAAAGTAGTTTACATCTGGATGACTGTAAACGATGGTTTACAGTCATCCAAATGAAGGTTTGCATCATGATTTTATATTTATCATTCCACTATATAGAAGGAATGCCGCTTATATACCACTTGTAGTGAGGGAATGTCACCTGTATCCACACTGTAGTGAAGGTGCTACCTGTTACTAGATTGTAGTGAAGTGACGCTTGTCTACCAATTCCTGCAGGAGGCCGACCTCGCCCTGGGTCCCTTCGGACTAACGTACTCTAGGTCTCGCGTCGTAGACTTCTCTTCGCCCATTCTCATTGACTACTACCGCATCCTGGTCCGACGGCCTCGGTCAGAGCCCGAACCACTTGGCTTCCTTATGCCCTTCAGGTATGTCTTCTCTGGTTCTTGACCTTATGGTTTATCTACTTGGCCGATCCATGATCAGTTGTTTATAATAATAATTTATCATTACAATAGTTGTAATGAGATCATCGACAGCTCATGTTTCCTACATCAAAAAATTCAAAATTCTAAATGTTTATTCAGGTAAAAGTACATACATAGAAGATGAGTTACAAACATAATGTTGGATATATAGATAAAGCTAGTACAAATAATACCTAAAGCCACTAATACGCACAGTGTTTCGGGCAAGGTATGGGGAGGAAAAAACTTAGACTAAAGCTTAATATTAATTGAGATTAAAGTATAAATTGTGTTGAAAATGGAAAAAATGGTGTGGAGGGGAACATGGCAGAAATCAGCAATTATACAATTTGGTCAGCAAACAGCATTGTTTGAAAATAGCAAGACATGGGTTGACATTTACGGGGTAAGGTAGGATACATGGAGTTTATTAGGTACTATTTAGTTTTTCTTTTAACCTGGTTGAGAGGGGTACAGCCTTTGACATGATTGGGAAGGTCATTCCACATTCTGGGTCCTTTGATTTGTAGAGCATTTCTAGTTTGGTCAAGGCGCACTCTTGGAATATCAAATAGGTATTTGTTTCTGGTGTGGTGCTCATGGGTTCTGTTACAACCTTCTAAAAAGCATTTAAGGTCAGGATTGACATTACAGTTCAGTTTTAAATATATAGAGTACACATGAGAGGGTGTGCAGTCACTTAATATCTAACATATTCAAAGATTTAAGTAAAGGTACAGAGTGCTATCTGGGGCCAGAGGAGATATTTTTTTAATAACAGCTTTGTGTTGAGTAACTAGTTCGACATCGACACGACAACGGAAGTTTGCGCCTGCAGTCATGGTAGGCACGATACGAGGGTACACATTACAGATATACACAGAGTGAGACTCCTGCAAGTGTGCCAGTCACATACAGCAACCCTTAACCAAAGTCCGTAGTATAGAGTAGGACACCCTACCTAAGAGGTCAAGTGCTGAATGGTTGACTAAACAACCACATTTACATACGCCCAAACTTATACATATATTAGCAGCGAAAGAAAATTCGTGCTTTATCACAGGGAACTAGCCAATACAGAACCAATGCTGTCACGGGAACTGCTGTAGCGAGATTGATGACACTCACAGCTGTACCTCATCAGTATTGTTCTTCCAGCACCGAGATTATTCTATGGTTGCAGATGGGCGGTGTGGGTGGTGTTGGTAGCGTGTGTGGGCGTGGTGGGCGTTGTTCTCTACTACGTCAGTATGACCTACCATCTCCTAGGACGCGGCGGGGTGAAGATACCAGGGAGCGAACATCTGCTGTTGTCTCACTGTTGGACTGTATACAGTGCTCTCCTCGGAGCCCGTAAGTGACAATTTTTATTTGTGGTTACTGAACTAGTTATCAAAAATGTTTAAAAGCTTCATGGTATAACAGACGATGAGTCACAATAACGTGGCTGAAGTATGTTGACTAGACCACACACTAGAAGGTGAAGGGATTCGAACCCAAAATTCTCAATTGTGCAGAGAACGAACCCGACTGTACTACATGGACCCTGTACAATATACAATCAATAAGATTGTATATGGAGTTAGTTGCCATAGCTTCTTTGTCTAACTTATTCCACCTACTGCCCACACTAACACTGTCTCTAAGAAGCATTTCCTGAAAGTTACTAATGATACTGTACTTGTTTGTAGTTCAGCAGCTTTCGTGTTTCCCCTTTCTTCTATATTGTCACCACATTAGCTCTTTTTCCAATTTTCTTGTAGCTCTCCTTTATTTGAGATGAGTTAAATACTAGAGCATGGGTGTTTACACTGGTTTCTTTAGTATCCAAGGTAGTCTGTTGCCTAGTCCTATGTTTTTATGTCAGACTCAGTTCCTATAGTGGTTTCACTACTTCTCGTGTCACTACCATTTCGGCGATTCTTTCTTGTTGGGGTGCATGCTTTGGTTAATTTAGATCTACCCTTTGATTTATTTTAACAATTACTTCATTCACTCCAAAACAATGGTTAAGCCAAAGGAAAAAGGGGTTGTCCTAAATATAAATGAATCAAGACTGGAAAACGTTTTTAGTAGTTCCGCGAGGTTCCATCTTAGGGCCAACCCTTTTTGTAATATACATTAATGATATAGGTAAGAATATTTCAAACCTTATCAGATTTGCAGAAGACACAAAGATCTATGATTAAATCAGATGCGAAAACGATATTGATGCTTCTGATACTGTTGGCACATTTGTTTTCCAAGCTTAATTCTAAGGTCTTTTCTTCTCGATGTTTCAGGTTTTAAAATTCCTGATACAATTTATACATGGTGACCATTTCACTTTGTGCTTATGATCTTATCATACAGTAGTTTACTGGCAGGAAAATAAATGTCCGTGCTCTTGTGCAGTACTGACATTATATTTAATGTCCTGAGCTTTATGCCAACTTAAGATCTCCAGTTAAGTGACTTGGTCATACAGTGTGGCCTAGCTCCTGGTCTCTCCATGGCAAGGCATGTCCACAGACCGTCATCAATTACAACCTTGCACTTAATGTCCCTTTCTTTCTTTCATGAGTCCAGCATTCATGTGGAAGGTGGAGAGAGGGGTCGAGCGTGTGGTAGTGGCGACCTGGTGTATCATGTCCATGATCGTGGCCAGGTCCTACAGCTCGGCACTCACCTCCCTTCTCGCCGTCAGGACTGTCCCCGTAAAGTATAACTACCTTAGGCAGATCATTGATGATCATAAGATCAACCTCATCTTTGAGAAGGCAACTGCCCTAGTTGAACACATGTCGGTAAGTGGTCTGGCTGTATCTTTCTTGTACCCATGTCTATGTTGATATCCAGTTTTCTTCCAACGACTGTTTAGTTACCGTATCAAACGCGATCTGATGCTAAGCAATGCTAGGGTAGTTCCCTTAAAAAGTAGACGCTACAGGATATAGTCTTGTAAATCATTGATTAGAGATGTAGACAAAAATTTATTATTTAAGAGACTTCGAATACTTCTCAGCCAGTAACATGTTTACTCTAAAGTACCAAAGACTGTTCCGGCAGACGGTGCAGCAGGGAATCTACAAGGACCTGGCCGACACTAACCTAACAGGACGCGCGCACTTCCTGCCGTCGTCGAAGCTGTACGACGCAGCATACAACAAGGTGCGAAACAAACCCTACGCTCTCCTCGTGGAAGAAACTACCTGCAATAAGGTCTACTCCGATGACTTCTCCAAATATGGTGGGTGATCCAACTTTTGCTCTTGTTGCTAAATAATAATAATAATACAAAAATTGGTATTGCATAGATAACTGTCCTCTACTAAAATACACCCAAATCTGATAGGAGCTATTTTCCATAAGCACTGTCTCAAATTATATTAAGAAAAAAATCTGCACGAAATTTAGATGGCGTCCCTTTCCTCCTTACAGGACGCTGCGACTTCTATATCGGCAAGGAGCTGTATTGGCCACTTATTTTCGGCATGATAGGCCGCAAGGGGTCCCCCTTCCTGCCCGCCATCAGTGATAGGTAACCTAGGGAACTTAAAGGGAAGGCCTTTGAGTGCATGTGTGACTGGCTATTTTGTCAACAAAGTTCTAGTCCTGTAACACCAATAGTATATTTATTTATTTATTTATATACAAGAAGGTACATTGGAGGTTAAGAGAGAACATAGAAATGAAATTGATTTTACATTCTTGTAAAGCCACTAGCACGCCTAGTTTCGAGACACACAGGTGTATGCGACTTTTAAAACGAGGAAATACGGATCAGACAGTAAGGTGCAGGTCTGTGCTGAATAAAGTGACTATGCATTTTCCATTTCTTATTCAGCGATACCCCACAATTCATTGTAGGTAATTTACTAGCAGTAGCTAACCAGCTATCTTTCCAGTGGTCGCGGATCGCGTTATGAAGGCAGGGTAGAAATTCGACAAAGGTCGAAATGGGTTTCGGGAGATGGAAGAGGAACGAATGGATTCTTTAGTAGTGGAGTTTGCTAGGTCATTGCAGCAATACCAACATAGTTGAAACCCAACAAAACTAGATTGTCTTATGCCTGTTAAAGATGTTATATAACCGAAGACGAGTTTCCCTCACCACGGGATGAGAAGTGTTAAAAAAATCCCAGGGCCAAATAGCACTTCCAGTCGACTAAAATTACAAATGATAATTAGTTAATGAAACAAGTCTCAGAACATACACAATCACACAAAGTTCTGCAGTAAAAATACTTATATGTAGAGGCAGGAAAGAAAATTAACTGATAAGCAAACTCACTCTATAAGCAGAGCAGTAGTATAGATATTAAACCTTTACAGCTCATGTTCAGTTCCAAATCTAATTTTTAGGTTACACTTTTTTTTAACTTTCAAATTTTCTATAAGTTGTTTATACTTGCAAGAAAGTTGGCAGGACCGAGCTTAGGCTCCTGTGTAAGTCCTCATCTAGTAGTGCTTGCACAACCGCTTGCAGGGTCTGAAATTCTGCCTATAATTGGATTCTATAACAGCTGAATATGAAAATGTGGTGTCCCTCATAGGATGGAGCGTCTAGCATCTCACAACTTGTACTTCAAGTGGTTGGCAGATGAGCTTCCCAACGCCACAGCTTGCCTAAGGGCTAGTACCCGCGTAACCACCGATGAAGCCTACAGCCTACAGGGTCTCTGGGTATGTATATACTAGCACCCTCCTGCTGCTAGTTTCCTCAACTGTATGAATTCCTGTTTTCTCGTACCCTAATCACTAGACTTACTAGAATCACCGATAGTACTGCCACGGCTCTTGACCACATCTGGACTAACATAATCTCTCCACTTACTTCAGGGATAATCATTGATAGGACCACAAACCATTACCCCACATTTCTCCTAACCAACATTAACAAACCACCTCTAGATACAAGGAAGATAAGCTTCAGGCCGCACAATGAAAGTTCTTTAGGCAATTTTATTGCTGCTGCTGCTAATATCAACTGGACGACGGAATATCAACCTTGCAGTGCAAACATTTCTTCAGAAAACTCCAACAAAGGTTAAACAATCCATGGCTTACAAAAGGGATACTTAAATCTATTAATAAAAAACATGACCTATAGGTTAGGAGTCGTCTCCAAAGAATTTTCAAAGATTTACTCATCAATGCTGTCTAAAATGAGAGCCAAAATAAAATACTACGAAAATAAAATTACCAAAATTAAGAGCAACATTAAGAAAACATGGAACACTATTTCCCAAATATTGGGATCCAAAAATATTTTAAATAAAAAACCTATAATCCTATCCAATAACGATGGTTTGCTTTCAGCCTCTGATACTGCTATTGAATTCAATAGGCTCTTCTCATCCATTGGGACATCCCTTGCAAATGATATGCCATCCTCCCATACTAATGTCATGGATTACCTTACAGGTAACTATCCAGTCTCTGTATCTAACTCTTGCTAACTCCACTGATGTTAATGAGATAATTCTTTACCTTAAAACAAAGTCTAGTGCCCTTGCTGAGATACCAACTCTAATTTACAAAAAAAAAACACTCCAGATTTTTAGCTCCTGCCATTGCATTGCTCTATAAGTCACTTGAACTCCAAACCTCTCCAGATATTACATAAAAAGCAAGAGTAACCTCAGTCCATAAATGTGAAACTGAGGTTGTCAACAACTTCAGACCTATATCAATTCTGCCAAACTTGTCAAAAATATTTGAAAACTAATCTACAAGCAGCTTTACTCTTATCCAGCCAAACACAATATACTTGGCTCTTGCCAATATGGCTTCAGACCCCAAAAAAACACTTGTTAGTATGATTAACTTGATACATTCCGTTCTTGATAAAAATGAGTTCCCTGTTGGGTTATTTGTTGACCTACGTAAGGCTTTTGACACTGTCAACCACTAAAACCTTCTTCTTAAATTACTTTACATCATTATGGAGTTGGAGTTCACACCCTCCAATATCTTCAGTCTTACCTTGCTGACAGGCTCCAGTATGTTTGTGAATAATTCCATTTCTCTCACCCTACCCATCAACATTGGTGTTCCTCAGGGAAGCATACTTGGCCCTCTCCTCTTTATCATCTACATCAATGACCTTCCACATGCCTCTCAACACCTCAAACCAATTGTATTTGCTGATGACACAACCTTCATTTTCTCCAGTCCTGACCCTCTTGTTCTAAATGTCACAGTGAATACTGAACTAAATAAAGTCCATCTTTGGCTAACTGCTAACAAACTCACCCTTAACATTGACAAAACTTTCTATATTTTATTTGGCAATAAATCCTCTAATCAAATTAATCTAAGAATAAACAATATCCAAATTAGTGATAAAGTAGATGGCAAATTCTTTGGTGTTCTCATCCATAACAAGCCGAATTCCAGGGACACATTCTAAATACTGTATATCAAAAAAAGTTTCTAAAACTTTTGGCATTCTTTCTAAGATCAGCTATTTTATACCTCGCCCTGCCCTGGTGACACTATTATTCTCTCATCTATCCTTATCTCAATTATGGTATTTGTGCTTGGAGTTCTACTACACAATCATTTACATCCTCTAATTACTTAACACAAAGCTGCTATTAGAACAATATCTAACTCTGGCCCCAGACAGCAAATGGTACCTTTACTCAAATCTTTGAATATATTAGATACAGTATTAGGTCACTGCACATACTCTCATGTGTACTTTATATATTTAAAACTCCGAACCGCAATGTCAATCCTGACCTTAAAAGCTTCCTAGAAGGTTGTAACAGAACCCATGGGCATTACACCAGAAACAAATACCTACTGTATTTGACATTCCAAGAGTGCAACTTAGCCAAACTAGAAATGCTCTACAAATCGAGGGACCCAGAATGTGGAATAACCTTACTAATCATGTCGAAGGCTGTACCTCGCTCAACCAGTTTAAGAGTAGAACTAAGTACAGTACTACCCAATTAACTCCATGTAACCTACCTTACTCCCAAAATGTTAACCCATGTCTTGCTATTTTAAACAATGCTGTTTGTTGACCAACTTGTACAATTGCTGATTTCTGCCATGCTCCTCCCCATCTATTTTTTCTTTTTCTTTTATTCCTTTTTTGAACAATTTATACTTTAATCCCAATTACTATTAAGTTTTAGTCTAAGAGTTTTTCCCCCCACACCTTGCCCAAAACGCTATGCGTATTAGTGGCTTTAGGTATTGTATGTACTAGCTCTACCTATAAATCCAACATTATGTTTGTAACTCTTCATCTATGTATGTCCTTTTCCCGAACAAAAAAAATTAATTTAATTTTAATTAATATAACAAGAAACTTTATTGATGCATCTAGTTTATTATAATAATAAATTATAAACAAATTGTGTACCCTATACTCATCCTATGAGCACTAATGCAACAGGATTACAATACATACTAATACTACTACTACTAATAATAAAAATAATATATTTATGCAAAGTATTTTGAGCAAAACGTAGAATAATTTAGATACAATTAATTAAGGGTGTAAAGGGGGGAAACACTTTAACTAAAAGCTAACATTAGTGAGAAAAGTGTCAACCCAAGTAGAGTGGAAATGGAGCAGCATTCACATACCTGCATCCCAGGAGCTATGCAACAAATCTGTGCCAGGAAGGACCTTGGAGCACTCGGTTCATAAGTAATGAACATACTGTATGTAATGATCAAGACAGGCAGGTGTCAAAGTTTTACTTTTCATACGACTGGTGATTCTTGTGTTGCCAGGGTGTGTTTGTGTTATTCACTGGAGGGATGTTGATGGCTGCTGTTGTAATGTTATGTGAAATGGCTCCAATCTGACTGATAAATTTTCACCACCTTCACCTGAAACCGGTCTGCTGTGGTTCCACCATCTCATCCAATGAGAGTTTGCTGTGATTACACAACTTACACCACCTCAACTGATGCCAGTCTATGACCAGGATCTGAAACCACTGTCACCTCACAGCTGCTAGTGGACTGCAAATGCCATAAACACACCACCATCACATCTGTTGCTAATATGGTGTAGCAACTACCTTAGAATGTTGTAGCCGTTTCATCAGCACCTCATGGCATTGAAATCATTCTCAGAACAGCACAGCCAGTGGAAACATTACCTCTTACCACCTTGGTCCTTGCCATTTTACCAAATATACTTGGCTACAACCACCATCTGTGACCAGCCTGCCATCACTGGCACTCGAGAGCCTCACTTTACAGCTTGTAGTCACAACAGCAGCTACAGTACCCACCGTGCTCATCACAGCTCAGCTAGGAGCAACACCACTGTCCCACAAGACTTGATTACAGCCATCTGACTTGGCTACAGCCACGCCTCATCCAGATGCTGTTATACCATACAACCACCGCTGCTGAAACCACTTACATGGTTACCATTTGCATGATTACACCATACAGACGCGTGTCGTATAAAATGGCAGGTAAATTTAGACATCAAATATATATCAAGTCACCATATTGTGTTCATTGTCCAACCTATCAGGGTACATAATAAACGTTAAACTAAATTTACCAGTGGTCTTGACGGGTACAGGAAGCTGGTGGGTCGATAAAGGTCCCAACATGGGTCCTCAGGATTTTTTCCAAATAGATTTTTAAGTCTTGAAATTTACAGTTTTGGTGAGTAGGCAGTTCCATGGGTTTACAACTCTGGGCAAAAAACTATCTCCTGTTTTCCATCCAACATTGTGGTTTGTGGAGCTTGAAGCTGTTGCCCTTTATACGTTACATTTGGCCTTTTTAAAGATTAATATCGTTCATCTTATTTAGCATTTTCTCTCCGAGACGAGCCCTGTTGTGTCTGGTTTGCAGTGTTGTTAGTCCTGTGGCTCTCAACCATTCCTGGTATAAAGTTGACTTAGTTCAGGGATGATTTTTGATGCTCTGTTGAACTTCCTCCAAAACAGATACCTGCTTTCTCCAAGGCCGATACCAATGAGGTCTCCATGCTTTGATACAGTAGTCCAAATGGAGGTGTATCGGGTATTTGTACAGTCGAATACTGAATAATTTAAGAGGATATTAATCCAGACCACTTCTTCAACAGGTTTAATGTAACACATACAAGGTGCAACAACTTGAAGTTCATAACACACGATATGCTTTTTCACTCATAGGGTTATAAACCCACCGAACTGCCTACAGCTGAAGCCATTTTACTGTTCAAAATCCAGCTGTAAAAATTCAGAAAAAAATGTGGGAAACCTTTGATTAGCGACTGACTTATGTCCTCATCAAGGCCACAAGAAGGGGTAGCTCAGGTAAATTAAAAAGTACTTGCCAGTCTTCTGACCATTTGTAGAATCCTTGCAGTTTTCTTTGTAAGGCCTCAATAGATCTGTAGATTTACAATAGATCTTAGTGCCATTTGTTTATTTGAATTGTGCGATTTGTAACTCGTCTATAATTTATGTATAGTCAATCCTACAGTAGGATTTGCCCAAAAATGGGACCTTATGATACTCCACCCACCACATTCCTCTAGTCAGATTTATTTCAATTTAGGACAGGATGACCCTTTGCTTTCTTTGTTTTACATTTTTTTTTAACCATTCTAGTACTTTACCATTTATTCCATGAGATTTTAATTTCCTTGCCATGCAGTCTTTTGTACCTTATCCAAAGTATTAGCAAAGTCCATGTATACCACATGTATTGGAAGTCCTTTCTCCGAATTGCTGGTTACCGTTTCCCCAAAAAATGTGAGCAAGTTTGTAAAGCAGGATTTTTTTAACAAAACTATGTTGCATTCATTTTACTAAATTGTACACTAAAATGGTGAATGATTCCCTCCATGAGCTTGCAGGCATGTTAAGTTAGGCCAATTGGTTGGTAATTTTCCAGACACACTTGCCTCTTTTTTTTTATAAAATAGGGGATATTTGTAAATTTCCAATCTAGGAGGAAATCTCTCTTGGAGCCGAGATTTTCTGAAAAGGAATTTCATCTGCCAAGTTCTTAAAACTTTGGATTAAATTCTATCCTCACCTGGACCTTTCAAATCTTTTAATTCATTAATGATCTTCAGATTATTTTGCAAGGTATGAGAATATCCCTCAATTCATTCCCTTTCCAATGGCAAGGTGAAACTCACGAGGAAAAACTTGTCCACCAAATTTCAAAGCTAAGCCATGAATATGTTGTCCAATTGCAATGTTCCCATTTAAAGTGCTTATTATATCAACTGTCGTAAGTAGCAATCCATTATCAAATGGGTTTTAACCCACATAACTGCCTACCCGCTGAAGCCATAACTGCCAAAACTGTGTAGTTTTAAAATATAACTAGAAAAGATCAAGGCAAATAAGAGTACCTTTGACAAGCTGCCAGCTTCCTGTCCTCAAGGCCACTTGGGTTAGTGGCCCTCTGGTAAATTAGGAAACCTAATCAAAGCTACAAGAGATATTTGCTTTCCAGTAAGGACAGGAATATTGACTAACAACCACTGGGTATTTCAAATGAAGGATAAAAACAGCAAAAATTAACTTTCAATATTTTTAATCATGCAAATTAAGTGTCTTTCCCATAATCAACTAATCATATTTCCTTGTATGTTAAAGAACATGGCTGCTCTTACACTAAACAGTAACAGAGACTTTCATCATGACATTATTACAAGCATAAAGCCTGTTAACCTATTACCACATTCCAAAAACATTAAAACACTGTAAACGTCCTTCAAGTAACAATTACAACCTCTCACTATGCAGTCACTATAAAGACACTTGAACGTTTTGAGAAGGACTAAGACATTGTGTGGCCTATCATAACATTACATTTAATATATGTACTTTACATTAATATTTTAAACTAATGATTGAACATTCAAACATCACCTTACCAACTCCCTAGATATTGTTACAAATGACTTAGTATAATCTGAGTAACTGTGAACCTATTGTGAACACAAAACATACTTTACAACATGCATCACCATAAAGACTTGTTAAAACACTGCTGCAATATCAATGCAACAACCCTTTGTGAGATACATAAAGATTAAGGAAAATTCTCAATATTATGCTAGACTGAAATTTTAAAGTTAAGAAATAAAGCCCAGGACTGAAAAGTTTGATATTCACGTCTCATATTGGCCCTGGAAAAATATTTTACATTTTATTTTACGCCACCTGAACAATTATTTCAAAGCTAGTTTTCAATGCTATATAGTCATCATGGCTTGGCACTTTCCCCAATTTAGTTATAGTTTTCAATGCAGCAAAGACCTCCATTTTTACATTAACAAAATCAAATCAGGAATAAGAAAATTCTTTAGACAAATCAAGATAAAATCCGAGCACTTCATTTAATCCTAATTCAATCAGAGATGTTACATACAGCTCACATTATGTGGCCCAATCCTCCTCCTCATCTTGAGTAGGAACATCTGATGGTCCACCATGGAGCTCCCAACGCTCAGGCTGTGATGTTTAGAAAATAAAAATTCAGCATTGAACATAATGAAATTCCTCTTTCTGATAGGGACTTGGTACTTCCCAGAAGCTATTTTGCTGAAATTACTCCTTTCCAATTCGGTCACATCAGACACAAAATTTTGTTTAGCCTACAGGAACCAGAGCCAGAACCTGACAAAGGAGCATTACAGTGGTGTTCGTGACATCACATCAGCAACACAACCAACTTGGAAGGGTTATGGGGTGGGCTGAGGGCCCTTGGTGGCAGTTTTTGGTACTAATGGGTTGTAGCAAGTTATTAGTGATTCGAACAGTTGATTTGAATTACTTGGCAGTTTTTGAGGCTTTGGTTTCTGTGAATCTTGCATTAACCTGTAAAGCCTAGCAAACTTTTTGGATGCTTTCCAAGTAGGGTGGAGGACAGTTACTTACCCTTTGCACTTTGCCTGAAATGCTGTGCGTATTAGTGGCTTTAGGTATACAGTAGTATGTACAGTACTAGCTCTATCTAGAAAGTCAACATTCTGTTTGTAACTTATTTTGTATCTATGTATATACTTTTACCTGAATAAACATTACTATTATTATTATGTGAAGTTGTCAGCTTCTGGGTCTGATCCTCAGTAGGCCAAACAGAACTCCTGCAACTGTCCTGACCAAGTAGTATTGATCTATCTCAGTGAGACAGTTTAAGGGAACCCCCAAGGGGACTCCTCCATAAAACCAGCGTTGAATGTAACGAAACGGTATATTCTGGGTGAGCCCCGGAGGCTCCCTGGAGCTTACCGGACTGATATACGCTACATTAGTCTGGGACTTCATTCAATGGAGTTCTGCCTACCAGGGACCACAAGCCAGAACCTGGCCCCCCTCAGAGACGCAGGGAGCAATGGCCTAAGAAACCCCCCCTTTGTATTTTGGAACATTCCATGTCTACCATTGACAAGGGTTAGGCACCCAGAAAGGTAGGCATTCCAAAACAAACCCCACTTGGTAGGAAATTGTAACACAAGACAGAACAGAGAAACAGAACTCCCCCAAAAGAAAACAAGGAAAGCAGCAATCATCCACCGCTGCCGTGCCGCTTGTCCGAGTATGAAAACCGGAGGGAGGGAGGGACGGAGGGTGCCAGGGAGCCTCCAGGGGTCACCCAGAAAAAGGCATTTTGTGTAGGCAAAATGATATGGATTGGTTTTCAAATGATAATACGATGTAATGCCTGTTGAAATTTTAAAAAGAAAAGCAATACATGCTCAAATCTGTAATCTATTCAATACAGTACACAACACTTTAATAATAACAGGTTTTATGTAGGGAAGCCATGTACAGAAGTGGCAAGGAATAAATGTAATGAAATGAAACTTACCTTTGATCTAATATCCTTCATAGGGAAGCGACCCACTCCATGGTATGTTTGTTCATGTCCACTTGTCTTTGCAATCGCCATTAACCAATCGGGAACCTCTTGAGAAGCCTGAAAGCAAACACCCATAAAAACACACGCTAATGAGGAAAAGAAGAAAGTTTTTAAAATATACTGTTGTTAAATGTATTAAATGTAAGGAGTACAATATTATATAATACTTTAAATTAGTAGACAGTATAATTTTGTATGCCCTCTGACAGATCATTTATGTAGATGAATATTACTGGTGCAAGAATTGTACCCAGTGGTATGAACAAGCATATAAACATGTTTGCTAATGATGCTAAGCTACTATGGAAGATAAAAGACTTGTATGATTGTCATGCCTTTTCAAGATGACCTAGATAAAGTAAATGTATGGAACAACACTTGGCAAATGAAATTTAATGCGAGTAAAGACACCTTATGGAAAGTGGAATAGAGGATAACAAGTTACACATAACCAACAAATTATGTGAAAAAGCATCAAAGAATTCTGATGAATGAGATCTAGCAACCCATCCTCAGACCAAGTCCATTCCATCCAGTGGACGACCCCAAAGATGCATTTATTAATTTTAACATTCTGTTCATTTAAAACAGAACTTTTCTCAAATATAAATTAATATTATATATTAGCATATTGTGTATATTTAGGCATTGGTTAGGTTAGGCATTTAGGTTCTGTTGCCGATTATTTGTAGTACATGGGTGAAGCATTTATAGCGTTATAGTTCGAACAAAAGTTGAGCGAAGCACTTGTTCTGGAAGTGTTTGGATGTCACCAGTTGCGAGTTGTGTGTAAACCGTTTTTGATTCATAAACGGGGTTTGGCGGGTGCATGGAATGGACTTTAGGTCTTTGTTTAGAGGATGGGGTGGATCTAGTGGGGGTTCTGAATAGAAAAGTGTCACCTATGGACCACATAAAGAACATTGTGCAATGTTCCTATGTTATGCATTCCAACTTGAGAATTGTTTTTAAATACATTGATATTAAATATTAAAGAAGTTGATTGTGACCTTTGTGAGATCAAAGTTATAATATGCACCTGTTTGTATGGCACCCATATCTCGAGAAGCACATCAATAAACTAGAAAAAGTCGTGCAAACAAATGGCTTACGGAATTGAAAAACAAAAACTATGAGGAGAGGCTAGAGGTGCTAAATATACCAAAGCTAGAAGATAGTAGAAAAAAATGATATGGTCACCATGTACAAAACACTAACAGGAATCAACAAAATTTACAAAGAAGGATTCTTGAAAACTACAACTTCAAAAATAAGTCATAGTTTCAAATTAAGGAAACAAAGCTGCCAAAAAACATGTATCAATAAATGAATGAATGAATGTATCAATAAGGACATAATATATGTACTTTCATAAACTCTTGTACCTTCTTGTATATAAATAATAAATTAAAATTAACAGCAACTTAGGGAACTTTTTACATCCATCCAAACTCACTCACACATACATATATGAGTGGCATACCTATTGGCTCACATGCTGCTTCATGCGAGCCAGTATGGTTCCTGGTAACAATACACAGCCATACCTGGTAACCATACATTTCAACCATATGCAGTTGTAAAAACCATATGAGCATGATCAGTATACATATGAAATTATAATGGAATTTTATACAGACAACTACCACATTGGCATTGTGACATTTGCAATGATAATCATATTTACACATTTGCACCCATGAAACAATTTTTTTCTGGCAAACGTCACACTACTGAATATCCATAGAGCTATTATAGCTATATTAGAATCCCTGGCATAAAACCTAGACAATAACAGTTTGAATCAACGTACGATGAAAACCACATTACCCCACGAATCAACACGTGATAATTGCACTCTTAGGGTTAATAAAAAACTAACATTCTTGGTTAAAAATTATACTTACTTCATCAAGAATCTTGACCAAATCTTTAGCAATAGGTTTATCCTCATCTTCATTGAAGAAACTTATAGCATATCCACGATTACCAACTCTACCAGTTCGACCAATGCGGTGGACATATTCATCTATAGTTTTTGGTAGGTCAAAGTTGACTACCATTTCAACTCCAACAATATCTGTGTATGACGGAAATTTAAATTCAAAATTATCATTGCAATTCTTCATTTTATGATAAAGGAGAGGTTTATGGAATATAAACAAAAGAAACTTTGGGTCATATAAAGAACAACTTAGTTGACACATTAACCCAACTTACTTTACCATTTATTTACTCCTCGTCCCACATTATCATACAAATATCATAAGGTAAGGATCCTGTCCATTGGACACTTATAGGGTTGGGTAGAATTGAATTGTAAGAGGGGTACATACATCAGAAAATTACTCGTGCTGCACTTATGTACCCACCTGTTAAAAAAAAAAATCATATTCCAGGGTGCCTACTACTGGTTCTTGGAAGCAGCTATGCCTTCCTTTTATCTGGGCACCATCTCTAAGAGATTCTTCTGGGTTAATTTTTCAGTCCCATTAATGTTTAGGGGTACAAATACTGTACATTTTCCTTCCTACCAGTTAGTTATTCTGTTCTATGCATTGTGCAGCGAGATTTGTGCTTTTACCCTAGATTTCATCTTCAAAATTCTAGTAATTTTTTTATATAAAACTCCAAAAAGTGAGATTTTTGGGTTACAAGCAAAGTGCACAGAGGTCCAAAGAAAATTCACTAGAACATTTTTGTATAAAAAAAAAAACTTAATTCACAATGATCTTATGTGGCCATAAATGTATTTTTAAAACTTTTTTTTTTTTTTGAGATATATACAAGAGTTGTTACATTCTTGTACAGCCACTAGTACGCGTAGCGTTTTGGGCAGGTCCCTGGAATACGATCCCCCACCGCGAAGAATCATTTTTACAACCAAGTACACATTTTACTGTTGAGTTAAACAGAGGCTACAGTTAAGGATTTGCGTCCAGTAAATCCTCCCTGGCCAGGATACGAACCCATGACAAAGCGCTCACGGAACGCCAGGCGAGTGTCTTACCACTGCACCACGGAGACTGGTATATATTTAAATATTATTGCTTTATTATTATTATTATATATAAATATTGCTTTATATATTATTTGCTTTATATTATTGCTTTATTATTATTATTATATATAAATATTGCTTTATATATTATTTCGTTGTATAAATATACACAAAAATGTCTTGAATCATTTACATACAAAAACAAAAAAAAATATCCAAGTTGTGAATACAGTACTGTACAGTAGATTCTCAATACCTAAGATATATCCAATCCTGCATGTTCCATGCTATCAAGAATACATTGTATTCAACCGGTATGAAACAACAAATTAATTAACAAGTAGCAAAACACTTTAAACTTACCCAGACCACGGGCAGCTACTGATGTTGCAACAAGGACATTGTTAACTCCTGTCCTAAAAGCTGATAAAGCTTCCTCACGTTGCTCCTGATATCTGTCACCATGAATTGTTGTAGCACTGATACCTTGGGTAATTAAGAAAGCTCCAATAAAATCTGCTTGCAGCTTCCTTTCTACAAATACCAAGATTTTCTCACCTGAAACAAGCAAAAAATTTTTAATACATGGTGATGCTACGGATGAGACATGTATTTCTGCATATACCATCATGTGAGAAATGTTATAAATATTGATTAAGACATAAAACAAAATTTTTATTTAGGCAAAATTCAAATTCAACTGTTTGCAAAAAGTATACATATACATTCATGGGATATAAGCAGATTTTTTTATTCATAGGTCGGCAGGTATGCTATCTAAGCCACTAATACGCCAATTTTGCACATGCACATTTTGCATTTCAGGCATGTGGGGAAAAAACTTCATACAGTAAATCCCTATAAATAATAGACCAAATCAGCCTATTGGAATTACTCAAGAATCAGGAATGTCTGAACATCACAATAAATGTACCTTGTATAATTGTCAATTACGTATTTTCAAGTCTTTCAACAATTCATAAAATTTACCACATCTTATTTAATGTTAAATATTACCCCATAACACATGTTCACTTTTTCCTATTCTTTTTTTTTTTTTACATTATACCCGTCATAAAAACTGTATATTATTTGCTAAATTTCTTGTGGTGGAATGTTAAGGTTTAATGGCTCATTTTCAGAGGGAGTGGCAAGAGGTTTTGACACTAAATCTGACAACTTCCCTGTTTATGAAGTGAAGGGATCGTGCATTTGTCAAATGGCTGTGCTGTCTGTACACAGTTTGTCTGACAGACTGTCTGTACACAGTTTTTCCTAGAGGAAATTTGGTGTAGTCAAGACAATTTTAATTTTATTTTTGTTGCCAGGGGAAACTAGTTTATTGTATATCCAATGCTCATATTGTAAAAAACAGAACGTATGTGTTTGTTTTCCTGCGGTACACGTCCTGCATAGTTCTCCTCGTGTATACCTCGGAGATGCGTGCGTCGTTCTTCCCTGCTGGAGCTGGTTGCAGGGTCACTTTTTTCGCTTCACATCTCGCGCTTTAGTTCGTGGTACTCATTTTCCTCGTTGGCCTCTGCCTGGACCCCCTGGCTCTTCTGTGTTTGGCCTTGTTGGTCCGTCAGGAGTCCTGTAGGGGATTCCTCCCAGATAGGACGTGTCTGCTCGCCGGGTTGGTTCCCTTTTGGCTCACCGGGATTGTGTTTCTTGTTCCCTGGTGGCCGTTCCTTCTGGTTTTTGCCAGCCTTGGTTTGGGGCGCTGCTTTACTCTGTTTCTGATCCTGAGGGTCATTCTGCGGCTCTGCCTCTTTTTGCATATCGGTCCAGCCCTGTACGAGGCTGGTTCGTTCTTCCCCTTGAGTCTTCGCGTCTCGAGTTTCTCGTCTCTTGTGTGGGTACTGGTGGCTTCGTTGTTGGTCTCCCACTTGCGTGCTTCGTCTCGGCGACACTGTGTAGTTTTCCTGGCGGTCCTTCCAGTTTTCCTATCACTGCAAAGGGTTCTTCGGTCTCTGATAGGGTTGTCTTGTCTTTCCCTTCAGGGTTGTTTCGGGACCATCGTCTGGTGCCGTGTCCTGTCGCCTTGTCTTAGGTGGCACTGGCGGTGCCACTCCAGCTTGCGTTTGGTGTTGCTGTTCCTTCTGCTCCATTCCGCTTGCTGTCTTGGACGTTTTCACCTCTGGCCTGCTCTTGCGCTTGCGGTGCCATCATTGGCTCAGGTGGTCTATTTTCTTTCTTCTCCTTGGTTTGTCGTGATCCCCTTGGTTCTGGTGTTTTTGTTTTGTTTTTCAGGCCTCCTTTTCTGTTGGCGTTGACCTCTAGGGGTCGAGTCGGGGAGTTTCCAGTTCTCCTCCAGGCCCATGTTTTTTCTCCCTCCTTTGGTCCTCGTGGTAGGTTGTTCGTTTGATGCAGTCTCCTTTTCGGGTGACATTTGGGTCTGCTGCTTTCTGGAAGGGTCTTTGGGTTCGTGTTTGGTTGGTCAGGCAGGGGTTCTTCACTTGTTTGGTTGCAGCTCTTTGCTGTTCTCTGTACGTCTCGGCCTATGGGGCCGTGGACGAGTTTTGGTTTGCCCAGGTTCCCTTCTTTCCCTCCTTCCTTTTCTGTGGTTCGGGTCTTCCGGGTCATCTGCAGGGTCCTTTAGTTTCGTCTGTGGTCTTTTTTATGTTAAGGCGCGTGGCGTCTGCCTCCCGGATCCTTCACTCTTTTCCATATCTGTTGTGAGGTAGCTCCAGGGAGCCGATGAGGCTTCCCTTCCCCCCCCAGAAAACCAACGTTGAATGTAATGAAATGCCATTTTCTGGGAGAGTCCCAGAGGCTCCCCGGCATCCCTTCCTCCAGTTGGCGGCATTTTTCGCGTGGAGGGTCTGGGCCTCCCCTTCCGGGGAGGAGGGGGGGATGTTGCGCAGACGGCGGTGTGGCGACGTGATGATGACATGCCATTTTGATAATTTTGTTTGGGGGAGTTCTGTCCACTCGTTCGCCTTTCGGTAGCAATATTTTCACCAGAATAGGGGTTTGTTTTGGGGCGCCTTCCTTTCTGGGTGCCTGTCCCTGTCGATGGCAGACAGAATGCTCCCAACCACAGGGAAGGGGGGGGGGAGGGGGGTTCTATACGCCATTGCTCCTCGTGCCTCTCTGAGGGGCCCAGGTTCTGGCTCGTGGTCCCTGGTAGGCAAGAACTCCAAGCACTTTAATGCCAGAAAGTTATACATATCCATTCAGCCTGGATAGCTACAGGGAGCCGACAAGGCTTCACTCAGGAAACAGCTGAAGTAATATATTTTCTTTCCTTAAAAAATCTCATTAATGGCCCCAGAAGGTACAGTATTTCTGGTTCTAAAGAATCCCTCATTCCAAAGAATCAGGGTTGGTCCCATATAGTTTGCCAAAAAGAGGATGCACTGTACGTTGATTAAAGGTAAAATTACGAAACAGTCCAGCCAATATAAATTTGGTTTGGACCCATAAATGTGTACAGGCTACTCATTTCATCCCAACACCAAGATCAGCAAGCCATCCATCCATCTATCTGAGAGCAATCTCCATGGCAACCCATATGGGTACATTTATTACATGCCCTTCCCCATAGTGGTCGAAGGAAGGTTTCCAAGCGACCTGACCACCCACAGTGGAAGCAGTGTGTACAAGTCCCTTTGCCCCATTAGTGTTCACAAGGGAGTGGATTGAGTAGTGGGGTACTTCCTGAAAAATTCACCTTTCAGACCATTATGAGAGTAAGAAAATAAAAATTAAGCCATTTGGTAAATTACTATTTTCTTGTATGGACTAATATTTGTAAACACTTTCAGATTTAGGGCATTTTAAGATTTTAGATACTCAATGATACTTAAATCTTGACCAACCATAAATATACTGTTAAGTCACCAGAGACAAAACAAAATACAAGATAATCTACAACTTACCCTCTTTACAATTAACAATACTCTTAATCAGCGTGTCCCTTTTTTTAACATTATCGATGTGTAGAATTTCTTGCTTAACATCCCTGTTTGCTGCACCAACAGAACCAACTACAAGGAATAAGTAGTTATGCAAGTAGTCAAGTGCACATTCTTGTACCTGCAAGTTCATCAAATTTAAAAAAATAAAGTGCATTCTTTGAAAATATTTAAATTAGAAACCTAGAAATATTAGAAAATTAGACAATTCTGGAAAGCATTTCATCTATACATATGAAATAAAATTTCCATATTCAATTCAAGCCTCAGACTATCACTAAATTCTAATTCTGTAATGAAACTCTTCGTTGATGGATGTAATAGAACCCATGAATATTACACCAGAAATAGATCTCTAATATATCCATTTAGACTAAATCTATGTAAAGTCGTGCAAGTAAAAAGATCCTCCCATCATAGTAAAAAAAAATCTTAAATTATCTGGATCAACATCCTCTAAATTTTTCAATATTTTAAGTTTCGATGAGATACACGTTCTCATGTTTAGTTTGCAACAAATGCATGTAGTGATCATGTCATATACGTGTGCATGTATGAAAGATGTGGCAAGAGTCAATGAATTTGGAGTACAGTGAGTGAAGGACAATGGTGCTATAGATTGATCTGTAGTAATTTTTTGATCAATAATGCTCTATTATACATACTATAAAGACTTGAGCAATAAAATGAGAACAGCTTTTCAGAAACAGTGATCATAATCGGTCATCACTCACCTTTTCAGGATACGTTGCACTGAACATCATGGTTAATCGCTGACCTTTTGCAGGCATAGTGGGGTTCTGAATAAGTTGTAACATATCATCAGAAAATCCCAGGTCCAACATACGATCAGCCTCATCAAAAATGAGATACTTCAGATGTTCAAAACTCAAATATCCTCTTTTCACAAAATCCAGTAATCTTCCTGGTGTGGCCATCACAATAGGATTCTGACAGTCCTAGAAAAAGATGATTAATTTAATAATAACAATTTCTAAAATAGCTATACTGTACAGTATTAGGACTAATGATGGACAATTGTACAATTATAGACCAATATCAAATCTACCCATTCTATCAAAAATATTTGAAAAAATTATTTACAAACAGCTCTATTCCTACCTCGTAAAATTCGACATACTCAGCCCCTGCCAGTTTGGCTTCCGGTCCCAAAAGAGTACCAATGATGCAATCATTAGTCTCCTTGACATTATCTACTCAGCCCTTGACAAAAATGAGTTTCCGATTGGACTCTTCATTGACCTAAGAAAAGCCTTTGATACTGTTAATCACAACTACCTCTTACTTAAACTCCAGCATTATGGAATCCGAGGCCTTGCCCTTGACTACATCCGATCCTATCTTAGTGACAGACACCAATATGTAACCATCAATGATACAACTTCTTCCACTCTACCAATTACCGTTGGAGTGCCACAGGGCAGCATCTTAGGACCTCTTCTATTTCTTATATATATAAACGATCTGCCTAATGTCTCTAATATTCTCAAACCTATATTGTTTGCTGACGATACTACCCTTATCTACTCAAACCTCAACCCACATACACTAAATAATGTTGTGAATAATGAATTAAAAAAAGTCCACTTATGGATGTCAACGAACAAACTAACATTAAACATCGAAAAGACTTACTACATCTTATTTGGAAGCAAATCATCAAATGCAATTCAGCTACAGATAGACAACATTAACATCAGTAATAAAAATGATGGCAAGTTTCTTGGCCTATTCCTAGACAAGAGACTCAACTTCAGTACCCACATTCAACACATAACTAAGAAAGTCTCTAAGACAGTTGGTATACTCTCCAAAATCAGATATTATGTTCCTAACTCTGCTCTCCTCTCACTATATTATGCACTAATCTACCCCTATCTTAATTATGGTATCTGTGCATGGGGGTCTACCACTGCAAACCACCTTAAGCCCATCATCACACAGCAAAAATCTGCTATCAGAATAATAACTAACTCTGCTTTCAGACAACACTCAGCTCCCTTGTTTAAATCTCTAAACTTGCTAAATATTAACTCCCTCCACACATTCTCTTGTGTCAACTACATTTACAAAACCCTGTTCTTAAATGCAAACCATGCTCTGAAACTCTCCCTGGACAGATGTAATAGGACCCATTATCACCACACCAGAAATAAATATCTCTTTGATATCCCCAGGGTCAAACTTAATCTGTGTAAACACTATGCAAATTAAGGGACCTAGTCTATGGAACTCACTCCCTAGTGAATTGAAAAACTGTAAAACTTTTGCCTTATTTAAAAGCAAAACCAAAAAGTACCTAACTTCATCTATTTAGTTTCCTACACTGAGCTTTAAATTTGCTCTGTACCTATTGGTACCCAATCTCCTAATTTTTATGTAATATCAAACAACCTTATCATTGTGTTCATTGCTGTCTTCTTTTATGTGCTAGCCATATGCTGTATTGTGACTACCAATTTTTGTCAACTACCATTCAAGCTGTCATTGCAATCAATCTTATATTGTTTCTGCTGTATTGTGCCTACCAATTTGTTGTCAACTACCATTTTAAGCTGTCATTGCAATCAATCATAGCTACCTATGTGCTTTAATATACTGTACCTATAATTTTCTCTCATCTTTTTTTTTTTTCATTCCATGTAATCTGTTATCATTTTTTTTTGTCTATAAATTTTGCAAGTATTTACCTCCTTAAAATTTTCTTAGATTAAGGACCTGCCCGAAACGCTGCGCGTGCTAGTGGCTTTACAAGACTGTAATTACCATAATTGTATCCTCACATTCCTTATGTACATTCTTGTATATGCATAAATAAATAAATAAATAAATGGAACCTTTATCAAGCCACTGGCTTCCTGTCCCTGTCAAAGGCACTAGAACTAGTACCTATAGAAAATAATAATTACCCTAATTCCTACTTTCATGAGATGGGGAGGCATCAGCCTGGAGAAAATGGTGACAGACTTTATTATATATACTTACACACTAGATAATATTGTATAATTATTTAAGCATAGTTACAGGAAGAGCTATGCTTGTGTTGTCCCATCTTCCCAGTACTATTATCAATGACAGTTTGAAACTACTGACAGTTTTGACCTCTACCAGCTTTAAACTAAACTTGTTCCAACCATCTACCATTCTGCAAAAGTGAACTTCTTTCTAATGTTTTTTCGGTAACTTTGTTTCCTTAGTTTGAACCTATGTCCTCTCATTCTTAACCCTTCAGCTGCTAAGGGGTCCTGAGATTTACACCCCTGTGCACAAGAAAAAACCCAGCATTGAATGTAATGAAACACCATTTTCTGGGTGGGTCCCGGAGGCTCCTTAGAGCTATCCAGGCTGAATGGATATGTATATCTTTCTGGCATCAGTCAATGCATAGAGTTCTTGCCTACCGGGGACCACGAGCCAGAGGTACCAGTGCAAACTGCCCCTACCCTAAGGCTAACACAGGAGGCAGAACACCCTAGCACACAAAGGGCAGCCAAAAACCAAGAAGTAAACGGCCTAGCAGAGGCAAAACCCAAGGAACCTGTGGAAGGTGGCCCCAAGCTCCAAGGGCAGTATTTACAGGGCCCCTAGGGAAGGAAACCTTAGGTGCATGCAGCCCATGTACTGTACTGGAGAATCACTCCCGGCTCATGCACCACCTAGCAAACAGTCACCACACACTAAGTATAGTACTGAAACAACCACCGGAGCCAGAGCACACGACCTTTGCCTCTAGCATCAGTCTTCGAACTGAAGGGGTGGATAGCCGGTGCGGGGGGTCTGGGGTTCTCCCCTCCCCCTCCCGGGGAGGGGGGAGCTGCACAGACAGTGGCACAGCAACATGTAACATCATGCTCGTTTGCTTGTTTCCTTTGGGGAGTTCTATCGACTTGTTCGGCTTTTGGTAGCAATTTTCGCCAGAATAGGGGTTTGTTTTGGGACGCTTACCTTTCTGGGTACCTGACCTGGTCGATGGCAGACATAGAATGCTTCCCACCACACAGGGGTTTCTATAGGCCATTGCTCTCCTTGCCTCATCTGAGGGGGCCAGGTTCTGGCTCATGGTCCCCAGTAGACCCACAAAACTCTACACACATGACTGATGCCAAAGTCAGACAATAGCATATCAGCCTGGAAAGCTGCGGGGAGTCGATGAGGCTTCCCCTAGAAAAACTAATCAGAAACATTTAAACATGTAAAAATTTTATTCTGGCATCTCGTGCCTGACAGCTAGCATGGTACAACTACCCTAGCGCAATTGCTTAATGAATGCATATGAATTGGGACAATGTTGCAAGACTTTCAGGCTTAACCAAAGTTAAACAAGTCACTACAACAAAATTCAGTATTGTTTCCTGTGATCAGTGAGTGCATTTTTAATAATATAAGGGAAGGGGGGATTTTTTTTTATTATATGTGCACCTGGGTGTTGCATAATCAAGTGGTGCAGCCCAAGGGTCAATGTCATGTATCTGAGAAAATATTGAGGCAATGGGATGGGACTGAATTTGGCAGCAACTTGAGCAGATAAACCTCACTGAAAAGAACATTTGCTAGATCCAGTGAACAAATTGCACTAGACACTAATGGTTTGGCCTATGCAAGGATTCAATAGTTAGAAGGCCCACGGTTATAACATGACCCAGCAAAGACAAGTTTCTAGCCAGGAGTTGATAAGGATTTTACCTTAGTGAGCAACCTACCAATAGAATTTGACTAATGGTATGGTTTACTATTGCTAGAGTGTGTGTTTGGCTTTCAGACTTACAGACCCTCAAATAAAAATCATGATTATGCTGTCTTCATTATTATATGTGCAGTTCAACCGAGGTTTTATTTGTCCACTTGGCGACTGCATGAGTGAAGATGTTAGGTTGGTTGCCAAAGCAGTTCCATAGCTACCTAATGATTTAAACCCAACTGTCCCAAGTGTCATGCACATCTGATATAAAATGCATTAAAAATTCTGTTTTAGGGCCAAAATTGCACAAATTGAATCAATCAGAATGTTTGTAACTCTGCATCTATGTATGTACTTTTCCTAAATAAAATATTATTATTATTATTATTATTATTATTAAATAAATGTTTATTTCAATTACATTTTTAGTTAACATAATTGGTAGCTTTCTTGGTGTACCCATATTAGCAAATGTCTTATACATACATAAACACGAACAAATAATAAACTCCAAACCTTTAATCGGCGAAGTTGGTTATTTACAGCTGCTCCACCATACACTCTAACACACTGCACATCTGTTCCAAATGAAAATTTACGGGCTTCATCGTAAATCTGTGATATTAGCTCTCTTGTTGGCCCAATAACCAATGCAAAAGGCTGACCACATCCTACAGGAGCATTTCCTTCCAGCTTGTTTTGCAAAATATCGTTAATCACAGGCAACAGGTATGCTGCCTGAAAAAAAAAAAATATAAATTAGAGGAAATATTTCAGTGTTGTGAAAGAATAGAACAACAAAATTCATTTCCCATCAAAGTTGGTAGTCGCCTATTCTCTATGCTTATTCTTTATTACTAAGCAAGCATAATTTGTTACAGTAGTCTCTAATTAATTTCTGGTAGATGTAGTTTACATGGACTTGGCTAAGCTTTTGACAAGGTACCCATGTAAAACTAGCAAGGACAGGCACATGGAATAAATTTTAGAATACTAGAATGGATAAAACAATGGTTAAAACAAAGAAAACACAGGTCGTGATAAATTTGAAGGAATCTGACTGGAGAAATGTGGTGAGGGCAATTTATGCCCTCACCTCTGCCCATTTGTGGCACCGTGAGTTGCCACAAATATATTTTCTATTATTTGTTCTATGTATTTCCAATGCATTTCTATTTGTTTTTATGATTGTATATGATGCAGATTTGTGTAATTTACAATATGTATATAGAAGAACTACCAGGTAGTTGTCAACTACCATTTTAAGCTGTCATTGCAATCAATCATAGCTACCTATGTGCTTTAATATACTGTACCTATAATTTTCTCTCTTCTTTTTTTTCATTCCATGTAATCTGTTATCATTTTTTTGTCTATAAATTTTGCAAGTATTTACCTCCTTAAAATTTTCTTAGATTAAGGACCTGCCCGAAACGCTGCGCGTGCTAGTGGCTTTACAAGACTGTAATTACCATATTTGTATCCTCACATTCCTTATGTACATTCTTGTATATGCATAAATAAAATAAAATAAAATAAATAAAAACTGTCAATGCTTCATGGAACTGTGATACACGAGTCACTAATGTGTCCACAAAAAATGTTTAGTCGCAATAATACATGTTCAAAATTCACTAAATTTAGAATACAGTATATACCGTTTCACACACTACTGTATTTACACACTAACACACTGTATTACACACTCAGTATTTGGCAAATGTGTGATATTCAAAGAAGCAATCTATGAGACAGACTGCGACTTTGCACTCGACGCGTATCATACACAATGATTTTCACTTCCTGGGTTTTCGTTATGACTGCTTGCAAACTATGCACTCACGTAGACCTTTGGCTCTAGCTCCTGAAGGTGGTAGGTAGGCAGGCGTGTGAATTGCTAGGAAGTCTCTAGCACCCAGTCTGTTAGAAACTAAATGTGGTGCTAGTTGTTCATGAACAACTGTCCTTACACTGTCTTTTTGACCATACTTTATGAGCAATTGCGACACCAGAGGGTGACTAAAAACTAGAATTGATGGTTTTTGCCTGTTTTCACCAAATGTTGAAACAGTTGAGCACTGTTACGTCCACAAGATGAAAGAAGAATTTCCTTGTACACTTTACACTTCTGAGGACACTCGATGGCACCTTCATGTCACATTTATCTACAAGTCTCATATTTATCTTGTAGTCAATGATACAATCTGGCTTAAACAATGTTCTATCAGCTCGATACATCACTTTGCCAATGTCAAGCATTTCACCAGTGTGAACAGTTGACAACATATTGACTTCACGTCTGTCTCTCCAACGCCTTGATCAGATCTTGTCACATTTTCTTATTTCACAATCACCTACACTAATATTATTGTCAAAAACAGGCATTTCTTTCCTATTTTTCTTTACAGTGCCACACATTCCCGTGTCATGTTCAAGCAAGAACTTTGTTAGCAAGGGGCTCGTATAATAATTGTCAGTGTACAGAATGTGCCCCTTGTTCAGCAGTGGTTCCATGAGCATCTTCACCACACTGCCAGAAAAGCAGTGAGGATCTTGTGTGGGTATGTCTATGTCTGTACCAGAATATAATATATCGATCACCATTCCAATTTCACAGTCGCACAGTACAAAGAATTTGAGGCCAAAACGGTGCCGTTTCAATTGGATGTACTGTTTGAGGAGATGATGTCCCTTGAAAAGAACTAGGGAACATTCAATGACAAGATTCTATCCAGGTACAGAGTAATCACAAAATTTCCCCCTGAGATCACTGAACACTTTTCTCACTCTCCAAAGTCGATCATTTCTATCAAAATGTGCAAGGTTTTCAAAATGTATGCACCATAGTAGTATCAGGAACCTGTCTCGTGACATGTACTTGTTGAACACGGGATGGAACAGTGCAGTCTCTGTTCCAATAATCCTGTATTACGTGTTTCACTAAATGTTTCATGAGCATACGCAGAGCAAAGAACACACACAATTCAGCCACGGTGGTGTCCTTCCAATATATCATACGTGAAGCAAGTAATAAGCCATACGCAATGAGTTGCCCTGCATACCTGTTTGTTTCTTCAACATCATGATGTATGAATTGCTCATCAAAATATTTAACAAAATATTCACTTTGTCAAATCCTCACCAGTGACAGGAACGTGGGTGAAACTAACTTCACTAGCATCAAATTGAGGTTTGTGTGGTACAAAAATATTACAGTCCTCCCACACAAATTCAGCTGTGCTCCTTGTACTGGAAGCACCGCCACGAGCGACTCCACGGGTGCGTTTTTTGCAATAAATCCCCTTTGGGCAGGAGTTGCAGGTCTTTTACATTGTATTCTAGCAGGGCGAGCAGGGAAAGTGAATGTAGATTCAACACTGTCGTCAATGTCGTTGCGAGGGAAAACATGGCGGTGCTTGGCAGGGCGACTAGCTGAGACAGCAGATCTTAGCCTAGTAACACCATGAAGGCAGGCGCTAGCACTTGGCACATCTATGCTACTTATATCAGTCATGCCAATGCATGACTGTACAATCATGCCTATGTATAGTTACCAATGAAAGTGAGGAAACAAGCCTTAGTAGAGACTGTAATAGAAAAACCTTGAAGCCTGTGCAGAATGCACAGCTGGATAGTAGTAGGCATCCATTAGTCTCAGGAGACCGAGTTGCACTCTTTTTTTTTTTTTTATTTTTTTTTATTTTATAAGATATATACAAGAGTTGTTACATTCTTGTATAGCCACTAGTACGCGTAGCGTTTCGGGCAGGTCCCTGGAATACGATCCCCTGCCGCGAAGTATCGTTTTTTCATCCAAGTACACATTTTACTGTTGCGTTAAACAGAGGCTACAGTTAAGGAATTGCGCCCAGTAAATCCTCTCCGGCCAGGATGCGAACCCATGACATAGCACTCGCGGAACGCCAGGCGAACCAGACGACTCTGGTTGTTGATGTGGAGTGACCACTCCAGGGCACAAAGCCAGGGTAGGTAGATACTGGGAAGAAACTGTCACCCATGCAGCAGGTTCCCCCCTCTCCACTGCGCCAAAAGTCTCCAATGGAAAGGCAAACGCCAATATGATTGATTGTGTATACCAGCATCACCAGCAAGCCAAGGACCTTCAACCTTCAACCAGTGGCTAAAGTCCGGCAGTCAAAACTGAATTTGCAAAGCTTTTGTTACTCGATGACCAATTGTTGATGATCAGACCAGTAACTAGGTCTAGTCTCTGACCAGGCCTTCTGGCTACTGGTCTGATCAACTAGGCTGTTCGATGTAGCTGCTCACAGGCTGATGTAGTCACAGCATGGTTGATCAGGTATTCTTTGAAGGTGTTTGTCAAGTTCTCTCTTGAATACTGCAAGAGGTCAGCCAGTTATGTCCCATATGTGTAGAAGTGTGCTGAAATGTCTTGGCCTTTGATGTTGATCAAGTTCTCTTTCTGTGTGCCTATTGCACTTCTGCTTTTTAGTGGGGCTATTTTGCACATCCTGCCTTGCCTTCTAGTCCCATGTGGTATTTCTGTGTGCAGATTTGGAACCAGTCCTAATATTTTCCAAGTGTAAATTACTGTATTATGTATTTTTTCCCCGCCTGTGCTTTATGAAGTACAGATTTAAAATTTCTAGGCGGTCCCAATAATTTGGATCTTTTATCGAGTAGATTCTAGTAGTAAAATATCTTTGCACACTATTCAGGTCAGCAAGCTCAGTAATTTTGGGGGAGCTAAAAGTAAGGCCTGAACAATATAGAAGCCCTTCGTCAAGCTGATGAACAAGATTTGATGAAATCAAGATTTCTTGATGTCATAGAAGTATTCATAGACAAGATTGTCTATGTAAAGTGGGAAGTGAAAGTGATATTGAGACCTTACAAAGAGATCTACATGAACTCCCTATATAGTCAGATGACTGTCCAATGCTTTTTAATGTCAATAAATGCAAAAATTTGCATGTGGAGGCATAACAATCCACGTCACAACTACCAAACTGTCCTTATAACAGATCCATGAAGAAAAGAATCTTGGAGTCAGAATCCATCATTCACTAAAAGTTGCACAACCAGTGGGAGCGGCAGTAAAAAAAAAAAAAAAAAAAAAAAAAAAAAAAAAAAAAAAAAAAAAAAAAAAATGAACCAAGCCCTCGGAATAATCAAGCGTACCTTTTCCACCAAGTAAAAGAAAGTAGTCGTTCAATTGTATAAGTCTCTGGTGCGCCCCCCACCTGGATTATTGCATCCAGGCATGGAGACATCTGCTCTGGAGAAGGGGCAACACCAGGAAATGCAAATCATCCCAGAGCTTAGTCATCTCTCGTATCAGGAATGGTTGAGGACCACAGGAATAGCAACACGACAAACCAGGCATAACAAGGCAAATCTCATCAAAACCTGTAAAACACTGAATAATTTGGAGGATGTTGATCTAGACAATTTCTTCTAAAGGTCACATTTAACACGAATAAGGAGTAATGGGTTCAAACTCAACAAGCTGCAATGTAGGATAGAAAACAGGAGATGCTTTTTTACCCATAGGGTTGTAAATCCATGGAACAGCCTACCCGCCTAAGCCGTAAATGCCAAAACTCTATTGGGTTTTAAAATATAGCTGGAAAAGATCATCTGGGCAAATGGAGGGGCCTTTGACAAGTGGCCAGCTTCCTAATGGGCCACTAGTATTAGTGGCCCATTAATAAATTAGTGGTTATTCACAAAATTTCATTACTTTACTACACCTAAGGTAATTGACAAAATTTTAAACTAATTTCCAATGATCAGTGAGGATATTTTCATAATGAACAAAATTTTTTGAAAATTTTCATATAATGTGTATACAGATGCCATGTGTAACCCTTCCACAGTTCAAAGGTTAACCCATCCACTTTTATCAGTCATGTCTTGCTCACATAATAACAAAATCAGTAATGTCTTTACAACTAACCGTTTTTCCTGAACCAGTTTGAGCACAGGCCATAAGGTCTCTACCCTCCACAATAATTGGCAAGGCATATTTCTGAATTGGTGTTGGTTGCATATATCCAGCCTTAGACAGATTTGACTCCAAGATCTCATGAAAGCCCATATGATGAAAGTCTCCCACAGCTTCAGGTATTGGCTCCGTCCCAGTTACCTGAAATATTGAAAATAAGTGTCAGGTTAAAGTTTCTAAAAAAGTATTGTGCTATTTACAGTGGAACGTCGAATGACGAACGCCTCAAATTACGAGCATTTTGAGTAACGAGCGCGCAGATCACCGACAATTTGTCTCGATTGGCAAAAGCTCGTTTGATTAACAAGAAACCCATATGGTGTGTTCCTGTTGCTCATCGCACATTCTCGAACGCCTCCGACGATGCAAATAAATTACTTTTGTTTGTTTAAAGATGCTAATGACTTCTGTGATGTTGCAAAGCATTGAATATTTTTTGTAGAATAAACAAAAAAATTTGATAAAAGAACATGTCAAAAAAGTTTGTTCAGTGTTTGTCAGGTAGGCTACTCCATGTTTCTTATATATACATATAAAAAAAAAAAATAAACAAATTTGAAAAAAGGAAAAATGTCAAGGTTTCGTTCAGAGTGTGCCAGGTAGGTTGCTCCATTATTAATAAACAAATGAAAAATACAAAACAAATTGAACACATTTGAAACAAAGAAAGATTCTCATAATGTAGCATCCCACTTGACAAATACTGAACAAACTTTTATGACTTTCCTTTTCAAATTTGTTCAATTTTTTTTTTATTAAGAAACGTAGGGCGGCCGACCTGACACTGAACGAACCTTTTGCAATAAAATAAAAAAGTGAACAAAGTTGAAAAAAGAACAAATGTCAAAGGTTTGTTCAGTGTATGTCAGGTAGGCTGCTCAATGTTTCTCGATAAAAAAAATTGAAAGAATTTGAAAAAAGGAAAAATGTCATAAAGGTTCATTCAGTGTATGTTAGGCAGGCTGCTCCATTACAGTATTTAAAAAAATGAATATCAGATTGATGTTTTTCGGTGGTGGAACATTATTTTTATTTCCAATATTTTAAATGGGGAAATTCGTTTTGAAAGATGAGCATTTCACATGATGAGCTCGGTGCTGGAACTGATTAAATTCTGAGATCTTGCACTCGCAGGGCTAAGCTTAACCCATCAGGCACCTGTGACAATCTCGGCCTACTAGGAGCAACTTTCAGAATCTCGCTCCCCCTCAACGAGGCAAAAAAAATGTAAGGATAAAGATCAATCCAGAACTATGGAAAAATCCCTTTAAGGCTAAAAGTTACTCACAAAAACTCTCAACACTAAAGAAACATTTGGTAAAAACCAAACATGAAACAAAATTTAACACCAATTTAACAATCACCTCACCAATTTTTTACCCCCTTCTCCCTCACACACACAAGCTTAATTAAGTGAACCCAATCAACATGGGTAAAATGTAGAAATAAATGGGAGTGGGAAGCCATTGACGACCCACCTCGAAAGGAGAGTTTTATTACAAAATGCTCTATTTCTGAAGCCCATCATGGCTTCCCAGAGCCACTTCCTCATAGCATCTCGCACAAGGAATTAAGGACGTACAATGAATAAGAAATGAGACGTGAAATAAAATAACCCCAAAATGAAAACATTACATGTACTTGTCTGTGTAGAGCAGTCACACCCAGACAAAGCACTGCACCAAACATTAAGAGCATTGAGCCCACTGCCCAATGCAAGATCAAACAAGTAAGTAGCCCTGAACTTTAGAGGCACTGAAGAAAAAGTTGAGAACACTAACCAAACACCACTAAAGGTCAGAGAGAAAAGGGACCTGGAGAAAGATGAAAACAAGTTCAGGTTAAATTAGAAACTTTGCCAAGGATAAGGAAACAAACACCCACACTAGATACTCCGAGAAAGACAAGCAATAGGGACCTAAAGAATGTGGAATAAGATTGCCACCCATAATTATCCAAGTAAAAAAATCAAGCATTTATTGTAAAGAAAGGCCTCTTTCTAAGCAGTCTATGATAAAATAGACATCCAAAAATTTATTTGGCTCCTGGATTTGAACAGGACTCCCAAACACCAAAATGAGAATCTGGTGTGTGTGTAACTTTTACCTTCGCATTACTACTGATGATATTTCAGGTAAATTTTGAAGTAGAGGTCTTACTGCACAGGCATTTATGGCTTCAGAGGGTAGGCTTTTCAATGGGTTTATTGCCATGGGTGAAAAAGCATCTCCTGCTTTCTGTCCTACATTGTGGACTGCATATACTAAATGTGTTATCTATATTATAGACCATCCATTTTTGAACACAGCTGGTCCTGAGTGGGACCATTCATGTTATTCCATTTATTCTCTCCTTACAAAAGCAGTTCGTAAGGAGGGAATAAATATATTTGGTCTATGACTCCCGTACTAATGTTAAAGACTAACTTACAGGTAACTATCCAGTCTCTGTACCTAACTTCTGCTAATTTCAATGATGTTAATAATGAGATAATCCTTTCTCTTAAAACAAAGTCCAATGCCCTTGCTGAGATACCAACTCTAATTTACAAGAAAGCCTCCAGATTTTAGCTCCTAGCATTGCATTGCTCTACAATTAAGTCACTTGAACTCCAAACCTTTCCAGATATTCTAAAAAAAGCGAGAGTAACCCCAGTCCATAAATATGATGATCTCACCGATGTCAAAAATTTCAGACCTATATCAAATTCTGCCAAACTTGTCAAAAATATTTGAAAAACTAATCTACAAGCAGCTTTACTCTTATCTAGCCAAACACAATATACTTAGCTCTTGCCAATATAGTTTCAGACCCAAAAAAAGCATTAACACTATTACCCTTACAATATTTGGATTTTTTCTCCAAAAGCCAATGCTGTCCCATTTTATGAAAGTAGGTCAATAAGCTAAAGATAAAGCATGTACTTCATAAAAAAAAAAATTACACGAGGGTGTCTTTATGCCATTGCTCCTCGTGCCTCTCTTGAGGGAGCTAGGTTCAGGTTCTGGTCCCCAGTAGACTTAGAACTCCTTTGATTGACTGTTGCCATATCAGCTCGGTATAGCTCCAGAGAGCCGAAGGGGCTTGCCACAGAAAAATATCTATTTACACTTCCATTTGGAATAAAAATTTTCTCGAAGTCAAGGACAAGCAACTTTTTTAGGGTCCTAAGTTAGTCAGTTAATGCGAATAAGGTACAGAATAGGCATCTTAACACAATTCAAATAAAAACATAATATATTTGATAGGAAAAAGAGATTATTTTTCATCTTACCTTGACTGGCAAATCATCATAGTTCTGAAAGTTTTCACCCGTATGAATGCCAGTCTCGAACAGCTTGTCAGAATCTAGGTCTTCAGGGACGTATATAGGTGGACGGATTCTTTCCTCTCCACTAGCTTTCCCTGGTGCTGCATTTACACACTCTCGAGTCGTGTGCATTTCACTTCCACACTTGAAACAGCCTAATCAAAATGAACAAAATGTTAAAATTATGTACATATTAATGACAATATTTATATAAATAAACTTTATACATTTCAAATTTGTGATATCATTCTATATCGGCACACTTTCACATTCTGTTGAAATGTAACACAGTCACATTATGTGCAGACAAGTTATCAAAATAGGGGGAACAACAAATAAAGGATATATTGAGACAGTGAACATCAAAATCATCACAAAATTAATAAATTTATTGCTTCTCCATAAGCTTTTCATTTGTTTTTTTGTATCACCTTTTACTTTAACTGGAATTTACCCTAGGGCTACTATCTCTAAAGGCCCCGTCATGGACAGAAATTCAGCAGATTGCAAAACACTGCCCCAAAATTCCAGATGAATTTTGAACTGGGGTACAGTATCAAAGTTTGGCATTTATGGCCTCAAGAGGTACAGCAATATATAACCTTATGAGTGAAAACAATATCCTATTTTCTTTCTAACATAGAGGCTATATTGTGGATTTTTTTTAAATTAAAGCCGTTGCCTCTTGTATGTGTACCACTGGACCTTGTAAGGAAGTGATCTGAATTATTATCATCCAATTTGCTCAGTATTTTACAGTCTTGAGATCACCTCTCCCATGTCTGATCTGTAGTGCTAGTCCAAAGAGCTTCAACCTTGCCTGGTATGAGAGAGAACTTAGTTCTGAGGTGGCCCAACCACTTGAATTAGTCTGTATAGTCATGACCATGCTTCTTGCATGCCAGGGATTGTTACCCGATGTTCTAAGTGGTTGGCTATTATTCATTCCTTCCTTCCATCCAAATCCAGCTCCTTGTCCTCATATCCCCTCCAAGTGCTATATAGTCACATTGGCTTAAATATATCAGTTATGTACTTTTGAAGATGAGGACTCTTGTTTGATTATAGTAGGCATATTGCAAAACACCAGACCTATAGATTAATATCCACTTGCAGATGATGAGTCACAATTACATGGCTGAAAAATGTTGACCAAATATCACACTAGACGATAAAAAGACGACGACGTTTCCGTTTGTCCTGGACCATTATTAAGTCGATAGTGAAGAGACACGAAAGGCATGGGCATAAGTAAGGCAAGAGAGAGAGGAAGAAGAGTACCAATAGTGAAGAAGAATGGTTTTCAAGTATTCCATATAGAGATTGGCAAGTACAGGGAAGAGTGGAACTCTTCCCTGTTTACTGAACATAGTGACACCGAAAGTTTGAGAGAAGAATAAAATATTATTGATATATTGTTACCATTGAAAGAGAAGGAGTTAAGGGTCAACACAGTCTGATGAGTTCGAGGAAGAGGTCAGTGGGAAGAGGGAGATAAAGGCGCTCAGTTGCCTTCTGACTAAGAAAAGATAGAACGTCATCAAGGGGAACATTGGTAAAGAGTCAACATCAAGACTAAGTAGCTTACAGGTGAGCTGTAGGTGAAATCTTTCTATGAAGTCCTGAGAGTGACGAAGGTGGGCAGGAGAATAAGTGCCAAGGTGTCAGTTTTAGCTAGCCAGGACGCAAGCGGCTGACAGAACCTCCCTTGAAGAAATGATAGGGCTTTTTCACTTTTACTTTCTCTTTTGTTCCCATTTACTCCTTTTATTACCCCTTATTATTTATTATTTTATTACACCTGTCTTTCGCCTTGCTTTTACCTTCCTCTAAGACTTCCTCCGCCTCGCCTCTCTCTGCCTTTCTCGTCTCTTCACTAGACTTGATAATGGTCCAGGATGGACAGAAACGTTGTCTTTTCATCTTCTAGTGCGTGGTTTGGTCAACAATATCCACTTGTTACTTTCTTTAAGTTGAAGATTCATGTGCCAATTCCTAAAGTTTAGTTTATCAACCTCCTATTTACCGAGCAACTTTCAATGACTAGTGGATCAGAAATATTGGTTTCAGCAAATTAGTGTTGGGCAAAATATTGGTACATCTCTAGTTTAAGTTATCAATATTTTGTATTATCATTCATGAGATAATAATTATTTGCATTATGATTACTGCCACACTAACCTCTCTTTTCTCCAAATGCCCTTCTTCCACCTCTCCCACCATCTTCGGTATTACGGCAGTCACGTGACAAGTGACCATCAATGCCACACTACGGGGGGGAAAAAAGGAGGCATTTTTTATTTAAAGTACAAAGAACAGTAGTACCAGTGATGGAAACTGAGGGGAGGAGGGGTACACAGTTGTATTTTCATTTTCTTGTCAAATTTCTGTACTAATGGACACATTTATTAGCTTTCCCCCTGTCAAGTTCCTACCAATTAAATGTGATATTTTTTGCAATTCTGGATGGAACCCACTGTGATTCTCAAGCATAAACACTGGATACAGCCTTACTGTATCCATCATTCTTAAAACATATACCTAGTTCCTAAAACCCATTTCCATCACTGTATACAATCAAATAAAGTCAGCACTTCCAAAAACGTTTTAAGAACAAATAACAGATACCCGAGAATAATGGAGAAAAAATATAAAACGTATTCAACACGTATACTTAATAATTTCATAAATGCAAATACACAAAAACTTTTGAGACTGGAAAAGCAGCCTATTCTGTAAATTTATAAAATGCAAATTGCAAGCAAATGAAAAAATCTGAAGAGATTGAAAGGGCAATGTCTGAAATACTAAAAAAAAGCAGATCAACAAAAAGTGTTTTTGTGCAGGGTAAGATTTTCAGTCAACAAGCCACAATGAAATACATAGCTAGTATGTAATGTTTAGATTTAATTTTTTTATCCAAATGTTTTTTTACTATTTGTTAATTCGTTTCATTTTTGTCAATTAATTTTCATTACTGGTATCGTTAATTTCATTATCTGCAAGAACATGTACGTTGAGTTTTGTACAGGAGAATGTTAGCACGTGTGTAAGGTTCAAGCTTTTTTGCCATGTTCATGGTATTCCCTATTCCCAGTACTGTCATAGAACACTTTGAAACTATTAACGGTTTTGGTCTCCACCGCCACCTCATTCAACCTATTCCAACTTTCTACCACTGTAAAATTAAACTGTCTAATGTTTTTTCAGCAACTTAGTTCCCTTAGTTGGAACCTATGCCATCTTGTTCTTGACGTAGCAGTTTTCAAAATTATTCTGTCATTTTTGTTGATTCCTGTTACTATTTTCTATGTAGTGATCATATCACCTTTTTCTTACATCTTCTAATATTGGTATAATAATATAATATTGATATATTAGACCTCTAATCTCTCCTCGTAGATCTGTGGAGCATGCGCTCCGCAGATATGCACGGAATGCTCCTGGCGCCCAAGAGCATGGGCGAGCGTGAGGGCAACACTAAAATGTGCATACTCGTTTCAGTTTTCTCACCTTAATTCTCATGCTATGTTGTGCATTTTGGTATCATTGTGTTCGCAATAGAATTCCCTAGAGATGTATATGCATACAAGGTCCAAAAGCCTGGCGTGACTCCCCACAGCAAAGCCTAAAGTTGGCAAAGTTACCCATAAGCGCACAAAATTGGTAAATTGCGTATACTCGTTTAAGTTTTCTCACCTTAATTCTCGTGCTACGTCGTTCGTTTTGGTATCATTGTGTTTGCAATAGAATTCCCTACAGGGGTATATGCATACAGGATCCAAAAGCCCGGTGTGATTCCCCGCAGCAAAGCCTAAAGTTGGCCAACCGTTACCTGTGAACGAGCACCAATTGGCACGCCGCAGCCTAATGTATACACTGTACTCGTTCAGTTTGATAACATCAATTTTCGTGTTACGTTTTTCATTTTGGTATCAAGCTGTTCGCCATATAAAGGCGCACATTTTAAAAATAGTCCCATAATAGAGCAATAAATGGAATTTTAACATATATTTTTCATTTTGGACGCTCATCACCAAAAAATTACGGTGGAACCTCGAATAACGAATTTAATCCGTTCCGGCGCCATGATCGTCATGTGAAATGGATGTCATACAAAATGAGTGTCCCCATTGACAATAATGGAAATCGAATTAATCCGTTCTACCACCGAAAAACATCAATATGATATTCGATGTTTTAAATAATGGAGCAACCTACCTTACATACACTGAACAAACCTTTATGACACGTTTTTCTTCAAATTTGTTCAATATTTTTCATTTGTCTTATAGCAAAAAGTTCGTTCAGTGTTTGGCAGGTAGGCTGCTCCATGTTTCTTAAAAAACGGAAAAAAAAGTAAGGTTGAAATAATTTGTTAAACGGACAAATGCCATAAAGGTTCGTTCAGTTTTTGTTGGGTAAGTTGCTCCATTATAGCAATCTTTGTTTCAAATGTGTTCCATTTGTTTTGCATTTTTCATTTACGTCTCAATAATGGAGCAACCTACCCAACAAACACTGAACAAACCTTTATGGCATTTGTCCATTTTTCAAATTGTTTCAACTTTTCTTATTTATAATTTTTTGACAACATGTTTTCTGACAATGAAAACCATTCTAACCTTACTAAATAAGGTATTTGTCCCATCCTGACCTGTAAGATAAGCTAGTTTGCTACAAGATAATTTCAATGACATTCAAACAGTTTTTGACTGGCAGCCATTCGCAGCAGTGAGGCCACTCACACAAATGCAGTTTCAGGTGATTACACCAGCACCAGCTGGTCAATATAAGAAACAATTTGCTCTGTTTTCTACGTGCAGGGATCAGGACAAAGTATGAAAGTACCCACATAATATTTTTTCGGTTAGAGAAACAACATTATCATAATTCAAGTAAACGTTCACACCTTACTTACCATCTACATTTAAAATGCAGTTGCTGCACAAATCTTTAAAATAAAAATAAAATACGGTTTTGATCAAATTAAAAAAAAAGATGCCAATGTACTACATATACCTTAAAACAAGCTCCACCCCTCTGTCCTCGTTCTCTTCCAAAATCTTGACCTCTGTTAATATTGTCACTTTGCACTGCAGAAGGACATTGTCTTGCCATGTGCCCTTCCTCATTACACTGCAATACAGTATAGTAAATATAACACACACATTAGGAATGCTGTATAACAAGAAGTCACAATACAGTACAACTTAGCCAGATATCAAGATAACTTCACTTGCACAAGTATTTTTAGCAATAGACATTACTGTGAATATACTGGTACCTTAGCTCAATTCTCGGTTAAATCCCTTAAATCGTCAATAAATATTCGAACTATTTAAAGATTTCCCAATACTAATGCAACTGCATTCTCAGATAATATAAGTACCTAATCATTAACAACAAACTCGATAAATATTACATCCTAGGCGACTTCAATATTGACCTTTGTCAACAAAATAGCCCCCCCCCCTCCAAAGTCGAATACTTCCTAAACAGCATGAACTCTTAGTATGCTAATCCCCACAAACACAATTACTCAAACATCTGCAACAACCCTGGACCAACCCTGGATATGGACTAATATAACAGCCCCCTTTGTCTCTGGTATAATCACTGACAGAATAACCGATCACAATCCTACCTTCCTCTCGACAAACTTGGGCATGAAACCCTCGGTTACCAAGAAACTTACCTTTAGACTACACAGCAAATAAGCAATTGGGAACCTCATAAATGCCCTTCTCAATATAAACTGGGAATCTGAACTCAATAATACACAATATAAATTCTTTAGCCAACATCTTTCTCTCCAAACCTCTAAGCCTCTACAAAACACACTGTCCTCCCCTCACAAAGCAAGGCATACTTAAAGCAATTAACAAGAAACACAAATATGGAAAAAAACATAGGATTGGCCTTGTTACAAAATAATAAGTTAAGAGATATTCATCGATGCTTACCAATATAAAACGAAGAGCCAAAGTTTCCTTTTATGAGAATAGATTTAAAGCAGCAAGAGGAAATATGAAAAAGTACATGGAAAGCCATCTCTAACATCCTAGGAATTTTAACAACAATCACATAACTAGCAGATAAAACTCTCCAAAGATGGTTACACACTTGCAACAGATTAGAAATGGCAACTGAATTTATTAAGCTTCTTTTCATCAATTGGTGCTAACCTTGCTAGAAAAATCCCAGACACCCCAGACACATGTTACTACATACCTCACCAGCAGCTATCCTAACTCTACTCCTGTTATCCATCAGCCCGAAAGATATTATAGCCATAATTCAATCACTTAAAACTAAAGCTGGGAACATTAGTGAAATACCATCCATGGTATATATAAGAAACTAAGAAATGGCCGAGAAGTGACAAAGTTGTGTCTGACAATAGTACAGACTATGCAGAAGGCTCATTTTAATAAATCATACAAAATAATAATAATAATAATAAATAATAATTAATACTTTATTCATAAAAATATGTATACAAAGAAAATTGCCCAGAGGTATATTTGAAAATACAGGATTACATATTTATTTATTTAAATAAATAAATATGCAATTAAAAATTATATTAAATATTAAATTAAACTTAATATTAAGTGTAGCCATTACTACCAAAAGCATTTTGGGCAAAACTTGGAATAATTCAGTTAATTAAAAATTATTTATAGGTACAGTATAATGGCATAAATATTAATACTGTACTAAAGAGTAAATGATAACAAAATATTTTTTATTCATGAAATATATATGAATATACAGTATTATAGAAGTACATTTGAAGGTACAAGGTTTGCATAATAAAGCCAATAATATGCAAAGCATTTTTGGCAAAACTTGGAATAATTCAGTTAAATTATTTACACATATAATTGGGTAAACACTTAACGAGAAATTAGCATACCAGAAATGCTAAAGAAATTTAGCAAATGATAAAGGTGATACAGTACTTAAAATTCATCTGCTAAGCATATCTTTAAAACAAAAATAGTCTTTCAATTATTTAAGTGAACAAAATCACATTGTAGTATACCTTAAAACAAGTTCCACCCCTCTGTCCTCGTTCTCTTCCAAAACCTTGACCTCTGTTAAGATTGTCACTTTTCACTTCAAAAGGACACTGTCTTGCCATGTGCCCTACCTCGTTACACTGCAATACAGTACAGTATAGTATATAAATGTACATTAAAAATATAGCAATAATACAGGTCACAATATTATATTTTTGTAACAAACATTAATCTCACATCAGAACTGTTATCATTTCATGCTTATAATGTATGGGACAGTGGAAAGGAGAGGGGGGGGGGGAAGAGGGACATATTAAATGCACAGATTATTCACCCTTAGTCAGTGCAGCTATTATTAGCCGACAACACCACTGTGCGCAAGAAAAAAACAGCGTTGAATGTAATGAAACACCATTTCCTGAGTGAGCCCCGGGGGCTCCCTGGAGTTATCAGGCTAATATGCAATTCATTAGACCAGTGCATTAGTCATAGGAGTTCAGCATACCGGGGATCACGAGCCAGAACCTGGCCTCCTCAAGAGGCACCGGGAGCAATGGCACTGAAAACTCCCCCATGGTTGGGGTTTTTCCTAATCTGTCATCGACCGGGCTTAGACACCCAGAAAGGTAGGCATAACAAAACAGACACCACATGGTAAGAAAATTGCAACTAAAACAGAACAGAGGCAGAACTCCCTCCAATCCCAAGGAAACAAGCAAACGTTACACTCCACCGCTGAATCACTCATCCGCACAGGCCGTGCCGCCGACCCACCTTTTCCAGTTTGGAGGCTAGGTATCATAACAGCACGAAAACCACCGACCGGAGGGAAGGAGCGTGCCAGGGAGCCTCCGGGGCTCACCCAGAAAATGGCATTTCATTACGTTCAATGCCGATTTTCTGTGGAGAGCCCCTTTGGCTCCCTGGAGCTTCATAACCAAAGATAAGAAAAAGAGGGACTTACCCCTCTTCAATAAATTCAATTTTAATAATAAAAGGATAGACAGAGAAAATAAACAGGGAACTTATAAACATTCAATAGGAAAATGTTCCAAGTAATAAAAATCCTACACAAGGAACAGAAAAACTGACTTCTGAAGCATATGAAGTCTGTCTGAAACATGTTCCTTTGAGGGAAGCCAGAAAGAGATCCAACGTAGAAAGAAAACGCAGACAACACTACAAAAGAAGGAAAAAAATTAATGGAAATGCTTAAGGAGACACGACTTTCCATACAAAGAAGGAATAATTTAAACAGGGAGATTGAAGAAATCGAACAGGTACTGAAGCATTCATATCAGATTGAAGAAAGGTAACTAGAACAGAAAGCAATTCAAGAAATAAAGAAAAAACCCAAAATATTTCTTTACCTATGCGAAATCAAAAGCAAAACCCACTGCCAGTATTGGACCTATTCATACTAGTGATGATTCAAACACTGAGTATGACAAAGAAATTAGTGAAATTCTAAAAAAACAGTACGAGGACATGTTTAGCACTTGGATAAACAGCATGAAAATGGAAGATCCGGACAACGTTATGCATGATATCAAAACTGTAAATATAACCAACATCAACACGAGTGTGGCAGATTTTGAAAGAAATTGACAATATGCCCATGCACTCAGCCCCGGTCCAGACTCATGGAATTCAATATTTATAAAGAAATGCAAAGTGCCAGTAACACAGGCACTCAGTATTATGTGGAGGAAGAGCTTGGACACGGGGGAGATACCAGATGCGCTTAAAGCAGCATACATAGCCCCTCTACACAAGAGAGGGAGCAAAGCATTGGCAAAGAAATATAGACCAGTTGCACTAACGTCCCACATAAAAGTATTTGAGAGAGTGATCAGGAGTTAGGTCAATAGTTTTATGGAAATCGATGACCTCCACAATCCAGCCCAACATGGATTTAAAGCGGGAAGATCATGCCTCTCGCAGCTACTTAATCACTACGACAAAATCACTGAGGCATTAAAAGAAAACCAGAATGCAGATGTGGTATACATGGATTTTACAAAGGCATTTGATAAATGTGACCATGTGATAGCACACAAAATGAGGTCAATGGGAAAAACTGGTAAAGACGCTGGATACTCAGTTTTCTGTCGAACAGAACACAGAGTAACAGTCAACCATATAAAATCGAGTCCAAGTGCAGTTAAAAGCTCTGTACCTCAAGGTACAGTTCTTGCACCACTGCTTTTCCTTATTCTCATATCAGATATAGACTCAAATACAAGGCACGGCTTCATATCATCATTTGCAGACGACTCAAAAATCAGCATGAAAATTACCTCTGCTGAAGACATTGAAAAAACTACAAGCAGATATTAATAAAGTTTTCGATTGGGCAGCAGCAAATAACATGATGTTTAACAGCGATAAATTTCAGGTACTCAGATACTGTAAAAATGAAAACCTTAAACATAATACAGAATACAAAACACAATCAAATTTGCCCATAGTAGGAAAGCAACATGTAAAAGATTTGGGAATAATGATGTCTGACGATCTAACAATTAGGGAGCATAACCAAGCAAATATTGTGTCAGCCAGAAAAATGATAGGGTGGATTATGAGAACTTTCAAATCCAGGGATCCCATCACACAACGGTTGTACTCTTCAAATCACTTGCGCTGTCCCGTCTTGAGTACTGCTCAGTACTCAGTTCCCCCTTCAGAGCAGGACATTGCAGAAATAGAGGGAGTACAGAGAACATATACGGCATACATAGACGCGATAAAGCACCTAAATTATTCGTATCGTCTAAAAGCTCTCCAAGTGTACTCGCTAGAAAGAAGACGAGAGATATCAAATAATATACTCATGGAAAATACTGGAGGGCCAGGTCCCAAATCTACACAGTAAAATAACAACAAACTGGAGTGAACAATATGGAAGAAAATACAGAATAGAACCAATGGAGAGCAGGGGGTGCTATAGGCACAATCAGAGAAAACTGTATAAACATCAGAGGTCCACGTTTGTTCAGCATCCTCCCAGCAACTATAAGAAATATTGCCGGAACAACTATTGACATCTTCTAGAGAAATCTAGTTAGTTTTCTCCAAGGAATGCCAGACCAACTGGGCTGTGGTGTGTATGTGGGCCTGTGGGCCACTCCAAGCAACAGCCTGGTGGCACAAACTCTCACAAGTCAAGCCTGGCCTTGGGCCAGGCTTGGGGAGTAGAAGAAATCCCAGAACCCCATCAACCAGGTTAACCAGGGAGGCAGCTATCACAAGCTCCTTAACTCGAAGGCGAGACAATTGGCTGCAACCTGCGACCCAAAGCCACGCACAAACACCCAAGACCAGGAATGTCAACCAAATAATGGGTGGCCAAGACCCTGTTCGACCTCCAAAATCCTCGTGTCCGAATATCAGCCCAAGACATGTTGTCGAAGATGGCAGCCAAAGTAGCAAACTTCTGAACGTCGTGGGCACGAGGATAGACTGCAGGCTGGCTAGACTTAACCCTGTGATGACCTAGGAGACCTGAACCCTAGAACAGAGAATGAGGGAAACTGGATCAATCCACAGAAGCCGAGGTGTCCAGGTAACAGCGCACAACCCCGGCCACAGAAGCAGAGGTGCGCAGGTAACGGCGAAGAGCTGCAACCGGACAACACATGATGCACCCCAGGCCTGACCAACCAAGAATCAATGACCCAAAGACCCCTACGGAAAGCAGCACTCATTCTTCGCCAAAAAAGAAGAAGGCTGCAACTGAAAAACTGGCTACCAGGACGGCAGACACCAGGCAGACCCCCACCAGGCAAAGCAAACAAAAGGAAAATAAAACCCCCACAAAAGTACAATGTCCCCAGAAGAAATAGGAACCATCCACTGCATAGGTAACTGGCTACGCAACATTTTGATGCCCCAATCAGCAACAATACCAGTCCCTACCCAAGGGCAAACAAGGAACGCAAAATCCCAGCTGACCCCAAGGCGGGGTAAATGCTGAGCAGCAATAACCTCTACGAAAATGGCTTCCCGAACTCACCAGGGAAGAGAACCCAGACACACAAGGGTAGTATTCACAGGGCACTTGGGGAAGGCCGACCTAAGCGCATGCAGCCCCAGTACACTTCAGGTACACCTGGCCACCACACCACGAACAGCACAGGACACCACCAAGGCAAAACACTGCATAGAAAATCGAGGCCAGAGATGACGACTGCCCTGGATTGCATTAGCTGACGAACTGGAATGGCTGGGTCGCTGGCACGGGGGTCTGGAGCTCCCACTCCTTGGAGAGAAAGGGAGGGGTGGGCTGTGCAGACGAGCAACGAGGCGGTGGAGTGTGACACTTGCTTGTTTCCTTGGGATTGGAAGGAGTTCTGCCTCTCTCTTCGGTTTTCGGTTGCGATTTTCCTACCATGTGGGGTCTGTTTTGTTATGCCTACCTTTCTGGGTGCCTAATCCCGGTTGATGGTGTCATGTTCATAGCAAAAGGCACCATCGGTTTGTATGCACTGCTTTTCATACACCAGAGTATGTAAACAACAAGTGAGCGTCTAGGATGCCCAACACGCTTGACTGCTAGTCATGCATCAGCCTGTGTCTACTCTCATCTCAGTGTTCTTATAAACTCCTTACTACAGCTTCAGTGTGCACACAGTCACAGGCAAATGTTTCCCATCCCTAAACATACCTTGTAGCATGTTTTATCTGATGATGATCCTTCTCCTCCTGATCTTGAAAATCCTCCTCTTCCTGAATAATCACTATTATCTGCTCCAGTATTCCATGCCACAGGTTCCCAGTTTTCATTTTTATCTTTGTTAGAGCCAAAACTCATTGGTAATCCCAAATCTTCATGCTGAACAACTTTTGATAAAGCACTTGTATTGGGCTCTGAAAAACAAACCAATAAATTTCTTGTATATATAAATAAGAAATTTTTTTAAATAAAAGTGTTCTTACATTGTTGTAAAGCCACTAACATGCATAGCGCTTTGGGCAGGTCCTTAATCCTAATTTTCCCCCGGAATACAACCCGCCAAATCGTTTTTAGCAAGTAAACCTTATACTCACTCCAATCTCTCATTATCTTAATGGCATAACTAATTAGCACTAATTCACAGCTATGATCCTATCCCTATTTACAGGTAACATCCTTTTCCATCCTGCTGGAGGAAGTTGAGGTATAGTCACCAAATATAAGCAAGCGAATTGCAAATAGCTGACAGTACAATTTCCACAGTGATTCGGATAACTCTAGTACAGACGCTTTGGATTTACTTCACCTCTTCAACCTCAAGAATGTAGCACTCAGCGTGTACTGTTCTAATCGACCCCAAGACGCTACAGCTTCGACACAGAGCAGACAGCAGACTACGACTGCATCAACCTACAATGCTCTCGCTCCCTATCGAGTTCAGACATTCAAGATTCCCCATCAAGCCGCCACGCTCTCCCACATAGAGCTCCGCGACTCCGGCCTCACTCGGCTCTGCTCTACACCAAGCTCCGTCTGAACGTCTACAACAATGCCAACAACTGACTACTGTAATCAAGACTACTAAATAAATATGAAACTCACTAAACACTGTTTATCTAATCTACCCAACAACGTAACAATCGTACTTTACACGTTTAACAACCAGGTACCCATTCACTGCTGGGTGAACAGAGGCTACAGTTAAGGATTAGCCCCTAATCAATCCTCTCCAGCTAGGATACGAACCAAGGTCAAAGCATTCACAAGACGCCGCACAAGTGTTTTACTACTGCACCACAGGGATCATATCATATCAAGTCTAGTTAAATTACCTAGGAGAAGCTTTTATTCTATTAATCTTCCTGCTCTATGGACTCAGACCAGGAAGGATTGAAATGAAGGATTCATACAGGTGGACTGAACTAAACTATTATGTCCATGAATCTCTGAATGCAATGGGATCTCACCCGAATGAATTATAAATGCTGCCCAAAACACTGTGTTATTGGCTTTGCAAGAATGTAACACAACCGTTATATACTCTCACAAACCCAATGTACTTGTATATAAATAAAAAAAATCAACAAATAAGGGACAGAGGTGATTTATGGTAGCCAAAAATTCATTCAAAACATCATGGCATTGATCACCTCCCACCCAGGCCATTTTCTCTCCTCCCTTTGGGCCAATTCCCAATCTCCTCCTCAAGGCCATTCTCTTTCCTCCAAACCCTGCTTAATGTTTTGAGCAGGTCTACAAATATTGTACTGTATACTATATATTTAAACCAACACTTTGTATACTTTCATGTTTCAGTGATGCTAAAATGAGTTATTGGTACGCCGACAGTAAACGTCCCGAGGATGCAAAAGAACCATCCAGTTGCTTTTCATGAAGAGCATACATTCATTGCTGTCAAGCATAGTCTATTATAAACGCAATTATGGTTCGCATCTATTCTCTTTTCACTTGTGAAAATGTTTATATTAAATTTATGGTTATAACCCCCTCCCCCCCCCCCTAAAAAAAAAAAGAAAATGTAAAATACTGTACACGTAAGCATATACATTTTAAGTATCTCTAAGCAATACCTGCCAAGCATGCTCGGTTTATGTTTAGCATAGTGTGGATAGGATCAAAATCTATTATAAACACACTTGGTTTTGCATATATTTTCTAGACAATTCATTTATGAACATTGACATCAAATTTAATGTTATAATCCAATAAATAAGTTAGAAAACATTAAATGGTTGTGAACATTTCTCACATTGCCAAGTGGAGCACAAGCCACCCAGGGAGCCCAAAACATTCATAGTCAGGAATTCGCCGAGAGGCGGGACTGCTAAAGATGTCCATGTCCATGCATGGAGACCAACTGTTGTGCAACAGTTGTGCATACTGTTGCACAACAGTACCTGTACTGTTGTTATAATCCTAGCTCCTATTGTTGAATATAGGAGCCATGATCTTATCCTAAACAAAGCAAGATGTACTGTACTGTATATTTTTCATAACTCACCCTCATCATCATCATCCCAGTCACTCATCTTTCTCAAACTGAAAAAATACAAAATTATTTAGTAACATGCAAAACTTTTGACAATGGGAATATAGTGTATTACTGTTATTAAAATTGGCTAATAACAGTGTTCATGACAAGTTCTAGAGCAGTTAATTATATGTGCGGAGCTAAGCATTAGTCTTGCACTTTTAGTCTGTGTGCATCTGTTTTTTTAATATTTCACAGGCTGCTGCAGTGCAACTTACTGATGTTTGAACAGTAATCAGTGTAAGAATAGTGCTTGTGAGACCACAGATCTATGAGAGAATGTCTTTCTATTCGTTATTTGCCTGTCCAAAGTTGGAGACGAGATGCTTGAGGCTAGCCCTCACCCACCCACATGTTTGAAGGATGGGAAGAGAATGAATTTAGGGATATACCCATAGCATGCAAAATTAATAGAAAGAATATTGACAAACTAAAAGACTCAAGAGCCCCAGGTGTGGATGAAATCCAATCCAAAGTCTTAAAGAAACTGGCAGAAGAACTATGCCTACTGCTGAAACTACTTTTCACAAAATCTCTGGACCAAGGGATTGAAAATATGCAAATTAAACCCCTATTTAAAAAAAAGTCAGAAAGAGCTCAGCAGAAAACGACCAGTCAATCAGCTTGGCATCACACATCTACAAGCTTATGGAGAGTGTTCTCGGGAAGGAAATTATTCGCCATCTTGCACCTTGTACAATCGATACAACATGGATTAGTTAAAAATATATTCTGCCTTACAAACTTGCTCATTTTCAGAAACAGTAACCAGCTTCTCAGAAAGGCCTTCCGGTGGATGTAGTATACATGGATTTTGCTAAAGCTTTTGATAAGGTACCACATGAAAGACTGTCAAGGAAATTACAAGCCTATGGAACAGATGGTAAAATATCAAAATGGATAAAACAATGGTTGAAGGAAAGAAAACAAAGGGTCATACTAAATTGAAACAAATCTGAATGGAGAAATGTGATAAATGCGGTGCCACAAGGGTTAATTTTGGAACCTACCCTTGAGGTTTGCTTGAAGGCCACAGGGCTAACAAATCTGTAAATCAGGCATGACAGGGCAGATCTCATTGAAATCATTAAAATAATGAACAAGTTATAGGATGTTGATCCGGATATTTTCTTCAGAACGTCAGATGTAACACAAACAAGGAGCAATGGTTTCAAGCTCAAGCCACAATATAGGACTGAGAACAAATGATGTTTTTTCACCCACAAAGTTACTAACCCATGGAACCGCATACCAGCCAAAACTGTAATTGCCAAAACCGTGTCGAGTTCAAATATACCTGGAAAAGATCATCAAAGCAAGGGAACCTTCGACAAGCTGCCAGCCATGTCGAGGCAACTAGGGTTAGTGGCCCTAAGGTAAATCAGGTAAAATCAGGAAAAGAAAAAAAAACATTGGCAGAGAGAATGGTCTGGGGTATGGGATGAACACAGGCTGGTAGGGTCACCAGAATTTAAAATGGATCAGCATTTCAGTCTCATACAGTAACCCATAACAGTTTTTGGCACTGCTGGCCAGTTACATAGGTAAGTACCGTACTATTTGGAGAACATTTACAAATACAAAATTCTTATAGTAATAATTACCCCTCCCATTTGCCCTGATCTTTTCCAGCTGTATTTTAAACCCAGCAGAGTTTTGGCATTTTCAGCTTCGGCGGGAATGCGGTTCCACAATATTCACCTTGACGAGGGTGGCAGCACCCTCTACTCAACTAGGTTGCTCACTGATGCACTGCAAAAACTCTGTCAGCAAACAGCAGTCAATTTCTCTCTCAAATAGTACTGAGGATGCTGCTTTATACACAGAAATCACAATAGCGTGATGCATCAAATGAACAAATCCACAAGGGCCGTGACGAGGGTTCGAATCTACGTCTGAGTGGATCCCAGACGGTGCCTTAATTGACAGAGCTACGACATAGAAAAAGAATTGCAACCGGGAAATCATCCCGATTTACCGACGGATCCTGCAGTCTCTCCGAGAGACAAACCAGGGTGTTACGCAATTCCCCCATGCACTCGAGCAATGTCAATAGGCTGTTCTACCTCTTCCCCCTTACTTCATTACACACAGAAATCACTATAAAAAAAAAAAAAATGTTTATTCAGGTAAGGTACATACATACAAGAGATTTTACATAAATTGATCGATTTATAGATGGAGCTAGTACATACAATGCCTAAAGCCACTATTACGCAAAGCATTTCGGGCAGGGAAAAACATTAATGACTAAAAACTTAATTCTAATGCGTGATGCATCAAATGAACAAATCCACAAGGGCCGTAACTAGGGTTCGAACCCACGTCCGAGAGCATCCCAGACGCTGCCTTAATGCTGGATCTCTCCCGACCTTTGTATTCACTTGTCACATTTAGCTGACCCTGTCATGGTATTCAAGCAAATTTGTTAAGCTTGATTTGTCCTCTCTAAAGCAGGGTTGTGCCTCATTAATGAGCAGAGCAATTGCAAAAATTTTACAGCCTAAACAAACATTATGTGTGCCTATATACACCAGAGCCCTGTTAGGCTCATCCAAGCTGTACATGGACTCACCCATTCAGTTACTGTTAGCCTAAACAGGGCCTTATCCTGACTGATCATCATATACAATGTCAACCTTTCATAAAACTAAATTCTTTTCTAAATTGTAAAAACAAAAATAAAAATTGACAGAACAGGTCTCGTACGACTGCTACCACTCAGCATGGGTATGGGGTTTATATTATATTTATTTAATTGAAAGACAAGGCAATTGCTAGTCTTAATAAGCCTAAGGCTTAGTAATTCCACTCGAGTTCAAAAAGCATTCCACATACAGCTAAAATAAATGATACAGAAACTATATCTTCTCGTACCCAGAACAATATGGCTTCTCTCCCACGGGCGAGCTAAACACTGCAGGGCTGCTTACTTTTACATCTATTTCAACGTAATCCGCCGCTAACAGCCTTCTTAGTGCCACTCAAACTGACGTCTGCGTCAGACACAATCACAGGGTCACAAAATACACTACAGAAATTGCACTTTAAAACAGATAAATGAGGATTAAATTCCAACTTACACCGGGAGACCTCAGGCCGTCTTCAGAGTGCCGGGGGGAGGGAGTGTCTCTATACAAAGTTGAATAACACGTGTTTTTCTCGCCTCTCTTTGCAATTACTTATTTTGCGAAATGTGTGTTATGTGCAACTGAAATATATTAGTAAATTAACAAATTACGTAACTATTAGTAAAATTATATCGCATAAAAGTGATCAATTTGAAAGGTGCATAATGCTCGAAAATCGTGAGAGAGGTTTCGAGCGTGATGGAGACCTCGGGGTAGCTCCTGGACGCTCACTGTGCCTACCCATGCTCTCGGCACACCTTCCTCTCTACATATTCCCTCTTAGCTTTCCTGCGCCTCCTGAATTACCAGTTCAGTGTTGAGCCTTGCCTATCACTCAGCGCCGCCCCTCGCTGCCTGTCATGTACTCAGCCTTCACCTCTCTCGCTCACTTTATTTGCTTATTAATATACTAGAAAGTACACTGGGTTGTGAAAGTACATACACTGGTGATTAAGGGTTACATTCCTTCAAAGCCACGAATAATTGAATAATTAGCAATAGTAAAATGGGAGGGGGGGACTTTGGACAAGCCGCCGGCTTCCAGTCCTCGTCGAAGCCATGAAAATGTTAGTGGCCCTCAGGTAAAAAATAGTACTCATACTGTGAGCGTTGGTGGAAGGGTTACAGAGGAACCTGGTACTCATACTGATGGCGTTGGAGGAAGGGTTACAGAGGCACACAGTACTCATACTGTAAGCGTTGGAGGAAGGGTTACAGAGGCACACAGTACTCATATTGTAATTGTTGGAGGAAGGGTTACAGAGGCACACAGTACTCATACTGTGGGCGTTGATGGAAGGGTTACAGAGGCACACAGATTCAGATTCAGATTCAGATTCAGATGTTTATTCAGGTAAGGTATATACATACAAGTGATGTTACATTAATGGATTGATATATAGATAGAGCTAGTACATACAATGCCTAAAGCCACTATTACGCAATGCGTTTCGGGCAAGAAAAACATTAATATCTAGAACTTAATACTAATTGAGCATAAAGAATAAAAAGTGTTGAGAACAAATACAAATAAAGATAAAACAAAAGGGGGAACATGACTGAAAAAGCAGCACAAATACAATAGGTTGACAAACAGTGTTGATTAAAAAAAAAGAAAATAACGGACATGGGTTGACAATAGAGGAGTGAGGTAGGTTACAGGGAATTTATTAGGTAGTGTTTAGTTTTTATCTTAAACTGGTTGAGAGAGGTACTGTCTTTAACATGGTTGGGAAGGTCATTCCACATTCTGGGCCCCTTGATTTGTAGAGCATTTCTGGTTTGATTAAGTCGTACTCTAGGAATATCAAAACTGTATTTATTTCTGGTGTGGTGCTCATGGGTTCTGTTACAACCTTCTATGAAGCTTTTGAGATCAGGATTGGCATTACAATTTAGCGTTTTGTATATGTATAGTACACATGAGAGAATGTGCAGTGACTTAATGTCTAACATATTCAGGGATTTGAATAGGGGTACCGAGTGATGTCTGGGGCCAGAATTGGATATTGTCCTAATAGCAGCTTTGTGTTGAGTAATTAGAGGACGTAAATGATTTTGGGTAGTAGAGCCCCAAGCACAAATACCATAGTTGAGATATGGATAGATAAGGGAGTAATAGAGAGTCACCAGGGCAGGGCGTGGTACATAATATCTGATCTTAGAAAGAATGCCCACAGTTTTTGAAACTTTTTTAGATATGTTTAGAATGTGTCCCTGGAAATTCAGCACAGTACTCATACTGTAAGCGTTGGTGGAAGGGTTACAGAGGCACACAGTACTCATACTGTGGGCGTTGATGGAAGGGTTACAGAGGCACATAGTACTCATACTGTGGGCGTTGGTGGAAGGGTTACAGAGACACCCGGTATTCATACTGTGGGCGTTGGTGGAAGGGTTACAGAGACACCCGGTATTCATACTGTGGGCGTCGGTGGAAGGGTTACAGAGGAACCCGTTACTCATACTGTGGGGGTTGGTGGAAAGGTTACAGAGGAACCTGGTACTCATACTGTAAACGTTGGTGGAAGGGTTACAGAGGCACACAGTACTCATACTGTGGGCGTTGGAGGAAGGGTTACAGAGGCACACAGTACTCATACTGTGTTCTGAAACTCTTCCTGGACAGATATATTAGAACCCATAATCACCACACCAGAAATAAATATCTCTTTGATATCCCCAGAGTCAAACTTAATCTGTGTAAACACTATGCAAATAAAGGGACCTAGTCTATGGAGCTCACTACCTAACGAATTGAAAAGCTCTCCAACTTTTGCCTTATTCAAAAATAAAACCAAAAAGTTCCTGATTTCATCTTCATAGTTTCCTATCAAGTGCTTCAAACTCGCACTGTATCTAGTGCTACCCAATCCCCAAATATATATGTACCTAAGCCATACAACATCACCATTGTAATCATTGTTATCATCTTATATCATGGTTGTTATATTGAATGCATATTTTACTGTATTATACCTTGAAATAATCCTCAAATTATGCTACAATGTATACCTTGAAATAATCCTCAAATTATGCTACAATGTATACCTGTTGATAACCCTCAAATTTTACATTAATATACCTACTAATCTTTGTACAAAATTTGTTACTATGTATACCTTGAGTTGGTTTCGGGGCTTAGCGTCCCCACGGCCCGGTCATCGTCCAGGCACCAGTCCAGCACCACGTTCCTGGACTGGTGGCATGGGCAAAATCTCCTTTGCTTAGCAGACGGGTACTGGACGAGACCCACTTGTGGCACTTAAGGAATATCCAACCACTTGGGCTGGACGGTAGAAAGACAGTCTCACTTGATGTAGGTCGGTGTTCAATCCCCGACCGTCCAAGTGATTGGGCACCATTCCTTCCCCCCGTCCCATCCAAATCCTTATCCTGATCCCTTCCAAGTGTTATATAGTCGTAATGACTTAGCGCTTTCCATTGATACTTCCCTTCCCTTCCCTTAACTTATTATCTTCACCTTCTAGTGTGAACACTGATGTGAAGTGCAGAGATTACATACAGTATTAAATAAAGCCATTAATAAGCAAAACCTTCAAGCTTAGCTTAAATATAACGTATTTTTGTGTTTAAAGGGGTTAGTACTACTAAAGAATAAGCAAGCTTGCATATATTAATTGCTTAAGAAATTTAGCAGGATACAGTATTACAATTTTATGAGAAGAAATGAGAGGCATAGACTTGTACTTTAATATAGAATCTGAGCTTTAGCAACAGTACAGATATATATAATTTAATTTTCACAATTACTATAAGGTATTATGTATACTGTACTAATTTACTTACTTAGGATGAGAGAGTCTTACATGATGTTAATTATTGTTTAGTTTCCCTTATAAACTGGTTGAGAGAATTCTACCTCTTTTTTCTTATTTGGGAGTCCATTCCACATTTTAGGGGCCCTCTAATAATAATAATAATGTTCATTCAGGTAAAAATACATACATACAAAATGAGTTACAAACAGAATGTTGGATAATGACCATAATAACATGTTGGATGGAACAGCAGAAATTGCAACAGAACAGCAGAAGTAATTTTAACTAAATTGACAGACTACAATTTTCATTAAGTTTATTCATGGCAGATATCAGCAGTTATACAAGTTGGTCAGTAATCAATATTGTTTAAAAAGTAGTAAGACATAGGTTAACATTTAGGAGGTAAGATAGGTAGGTTTATTTGCATGGCATTTCTGTTTTGGTTTAGCCACTGAGTAACTTACCCAGTGGGCACAATATCCATGAGTGGCATTCATTTGGTATTACTCTTGAATATTGTGCCCATTGAGTAGATCTTCATTTCTAGTGTGGTGCCCATGGGCAGTTACAGCCCTCTTCTTATGATAATGTTTGTTTATAAAAAATATACAATGTTTATACTGTAAAAAACTAAAATTTTATATACAGTACAGTATATTTGTCTGAACTTTTAATCTTTGTGGAGCATTAGCAATGTTTGTCAACTTAAATTTTTTTCTCTCTGTCCCAAAAGTACAATATTACTAACTTTGCACAAACTTAATACAAATCTTCTGCAAATAATCTTGAATTATCCTTCAATGATCGCATTTCTACAATTTTAAAGCAAACCTATAAATAGCAATTAATATGAGTGACACTTCAATTACAGTACAGTACTTCCATTCTACAAGCCTAGTATAAAGAACCGATTTATCATTGGGGAATGATTCCACCCCAATTTAATATCTTACTTGAGGGCTACACTAAATTCTAGTGGCCTTCTGCAATTCTACAAATTCTGCAGTTCTAGTGGCCTCTATGAAGACAGGAAGCTGGAAGCTTGTCGAAGGTCCCCCCAATTATCCTGATTATCAAAGTGAATTTTGAATTGCAGCAATGTTTTGGCATTTACAGCTTCAGCAGATAGGCAGTACCATAGGTTTATAACACAATGAGTGAAAAAAAAAAACTTTTGTCCTGCGTTTGTGACTTTGAGCTTTAAACTGTTACTGCTTGTTTGTTACATCTGAACTTCAGAAGACATGGCCCGGATCAATATCCTCCAAATTGTTTAGTATTATACAAGTTTTGAAAATATCAGCCCCGTTATGTCTAGTTTATAATGTTCCTGGTACAAGTCAACTTTGTCCTGGTATGACTTTTCACCAAGTGTTGAACATTTTCCAATGCAGATGTCTTTCTGACCATAATGCAAAAGATTAAAAGTTCCTCAAATCTCATAATTTGTTTTCCATACAAATGCACTTGCATATCCAAGGTTAATTTTTAGATGTACAGTACCGGTTTCAACCCTGCACTCCGAAATAACACCACATACCACGAGGCATGGCAGACTGTGCAAAATAGCCCCTTCAAAAATCAGGTGTAATTCGTATGCCAAGAGAGAGCTATCTACATTAAAGGCCCAAGACTTTTATACACTCCCTCTCTACACAAAGTTCATAACTGGCTGGCGTGTGTTCAAAAGATTATTTTATGAACACTTAAAGGATACCTAGTCAACCAGGGTGTAATTCATACATCTGGATGTGAGCAGCCACATTTGAACAGCCTTTATGATGACACCACCAAGAGGTCTGGGGCCAGATTCACGAAAGCACTTACGCAAATACTTACGAACGTGTGTGTTTTTCCTCAATCTTTGACGGCTTTGGTTACATTTATTAAACAGTTTACAAGCATGAAAACTTCTCAATCAACTGTTGTTATTGTTATAAACAGCCTCTTGGTGCTTCGGAGCTCATTACTTTTTTAATAATTGTAAACAAAGCTGCCAAAGATTGAGAAAAGACGTACAGGTTCACAAGTGCTTGCGTAAGTACTTTCGTGAAACTGGCCCCTGGTCAGTGACTGGGCCATGGGTACATTGATTCTCAAAGCCATCCCAAGATAAACCAAAAAAAGGTAAGGTACTGTACAATTTTTCCAACTATAGTTTTCTATGAAGTATCCATTATCAAGGTTCAAGACCATACTGTTTAATTATAGCACGATTAGTTTTGATTAATTTGAGTAAGCGATATTAAAATTTGCACAATTCATACAATTCTTTTATTCCCTTTTGTGTCTTTTTTTAACCGAGTATCTAATTATACCACCTTAGAACTGGGCTAAAGAGCATGTACATAATGCCAAATCTAACCATTTTGAAGCTGTAATTTATATTTAATTCAAGTGTCATGAAGGAGTAAGGATAACACGTATATAAAAAATATAATTTTATTAAAAAGTTTCATTGTTGCACAAGGCTTGGCTGGCCAGGTTTAACATATGGTACTTGACATGGGCCAGACCTCCAAGAAGTGACTGGCTGTCCAAGTTTTTTATTAATACTAATATTTTTCACAGCAGCTTTGAATATTTAATTGAAAAAAATTATGTACAGTGCTAAATTATATTTTTATATGAATCTAGTATAATACAGAATTGAAGAAAAATCTAGTTAATCTAGAACAAAAAAAAAAGTGAAATCATGTTCCTATTTTAAATGAAAATCACTGGGTATATCATGAATTATCAAGAGGGAACCTAACAAAATACAATAATTGCTTTTTTATATAGTATATTTTTTGTCCATATATTTGCAAATTTGTGTGATTACAATAGTGGCCACATATGTGCATGCGAGCATTTAAAATTTGAGTATATGAATGGATACAAAAACTTTCGTAACATGAGTATTCACATTCCCAAATTCCATACCTGTACATGTCGACTGTATTTAGGCTCCATAAAAATATGAAAACTTAACAGTTCAATTTTATAATTTTTTTTTTATGTGTTGCAACTACGGCAATTGGTAAAATAGTGTTCATTTATATAACTGTACGGATGTTGCACAAGCTTATGAAATATTTACTAAAAATAAGATTTCCATCACATTTGAAATCTATGCAGTATTATTAGCTTTAAATTTAAAAGAACTTTTGTTTTATACTAAAATTCTAGAGAAAGTATTCTGGAGGTTCTTAAGAAATGCAATCATTTTGAGAAGTCTATTCCAGTAGTGTGTAGTGTTTACTCAACCACTTTGCCTACCAAGGCTAGCATGAAGGCTCTTCTCTAGTAAAGCAATTATATTGTATACAGTACAATGGAAGAATTCATTACTTTTGCAATTAAATTTGTTTTGGTTTACAAAACTAGTGTGTATATATGTTTTTTAATATCCAAAGCTCTAATCAGTCTATGGCAGTTGTCCAAATTATTTTTGCTTAAAATTTTTATCAGAAGTAATACCTATTACATGGACCAAATGATGGTAACGCACTATAAAAACTAATGTGCAAAAATTGCACTTTGTGACGAGTACATTTTTGCACAATATTTAGTTTCCCAATCGGACACTTGAGAAAGGTAGGTTCATCCATGGGATTTTATGTATCAATTATACCTGCAATTTTAAAATCAAAAGATTTTTATAGACAATTCACATTATGTATTTACAGTAATAGCAAAATATACATACATTATTAGATCTCTGTACCGTAAAAAAATGCCAGCAAGACATTCCAAAACTAACAATTTAATTACAAAAAAAATAAAGTTCAAATAGTGACTATATAAAACTAGAGCAAGCAATATTTATATTATATATATATATAAAAAAAATTGTTTTACACATGAACATTCAGAAAAGTATCCATCAGCATTTGCAATTATAACTTTCATTGCCATGGTGTATATAATAAAAAAAAAAAAAAAAAAAAAAAAAAAAAAAAAAAATTTAGTAGTCATTCAAATGAATGGAGTAGCATGGCTTACAAACTTCCTCTTAACATTCTGTTTAGTATAGAGGGAGTCTAGATTATATCATTATGACCTGGGACTAATGCTATGGTAACTGTCTCCAGTCATTGAAAGGGTCTTCTGAAATTCTTTGGAAACTAACTGACCAGCCCAAGCTTCGTGCCAAGTGAAATATTACATTAGTCCCACAACCTCTACCAAGTCTAGGAAAATAAAACTTTAATAAATGATGGTACCATACAAAATGATTGCCAAATTATTGGAAATGCTGAAGCCTTAAGATTTTAATAGCACTAATGCAGATCAAGAACAAAGATTTGGGCTTTATGATAGTCATAAGACATGAAAAGCCTAAACCAATGTAAAATCTGATCTCTTGCAGCCTTTACCCATGTATTCATCACCGTTAAAGAGTGCACAGATTGGAAAATTTGACTTTACACTTGTGCATATGCCCACAGTTTCTGTAAAGACTATTTTAATATTTGGCAAAAATTCTGACAGTACCAAAACAACATTGTCGTGTAGGGTGGGTGGTGGTGGTGGTGGTGGTTGGTGACCCAAGATAAGTAACGATTTAAGACGGTGCACAGTGAATGTTATCACACACAATATTCACTAATGCCAATTTAAGGTATCTTTGAAAGAACTTTACTCACTGTACAGTATGTACTCATCATGGAATCAAAAAATAAACAATTGGTTATAACTAAAGGAAAAAAAATGTATACAGTCGGCAAGGAATATACTGTAATACAAGCTAAGCGCTGCCACACATTTCCTCCTTTGAGCAATTGAGAACAGCAGGCAGTATGCAAACAATTGGGCTTTAAGAGAAAACCAATAGTAGATTTCCCAAACTAGTTATAAAAGTTAAAACCTTGTCTAACTTCTCATTAGCCAAAAATTTAACCTTTAAAAAATTACGTAATATGAAGGACCCTACCAAGTATTATAAATGTCGGCTGATAATGCCACTAAATGTTCCACAAGCAGTGATCTGCTTATGATGAGGGGTACAAACTAAATTTCTTGCATAAAGTGACCTTTGATCCAATGACCCCAAAATTGACACCGACCTATGTAGTTTTGAAGAATGAATGCCACAAAATTAAAAAACTGTCAAAGTTAAAGAATAGAAAAGTAAACATAAATGCCAAATAACACTTGGCAACATTAAAGCTTATTGCAGTATCTAGTTCACTTGTAACTATTTGAATGATGGTCAAAGTAATAATGTTTTGCAATTATGATACAATTACACATTTGTTCCAAGCATCCTGGGAAAGCAAATTTAGCCTGCTATATGAAGTTTAAAACTCAAGACTACTTGTGTAATTTTGCTTAATTTGAAATATGCAAGGCTTCAATTTTGTCTTCATTTCAATCGAAGAGTCACAGGGTTAGAAAACTAATGGCGTGCTTCAATAAAAGGAAAATTATTGAACAATGTAAAATTTTAATCATGTAGGCCCTCACCTTTGCAAGTACAGGACTGCAATGAAACTTTGAATATGCCCTTGGCAAAAGTAAGAAAGCTTGCCTGAATATAAATGACTTCAAGATTATGTAAAGAGTACAAGAACAATTTCTACCAGAAGGAATAAGAGCATTATATTATTTTGCTATCTATAGTAAAAAATAATTTTACTGTTTTGCAACATTTATTGATTTTTTAACATTTTAAAATAAAGTTGCCTATAATATACAAAGCTAAATCATAACCTGCTCTATCTTCCTTGTAGCATTTATAGTAACAAAAATCACGCTTTTAGTTGCAAATCTATCGCATGCTACCAACTAAAAGCAGCATGAAGAAATTTACTAGTTTCCAGAACTGGGTTTTTTTAACAGGCCATTTACAGCAGCAACACCAGCTGCTACCACTAAGGCACAAAAGACCTGAAGTTTGACCAATCCATCCACCCACCATGACACTAAATACTCAACAATACTGCAAAATTTATTAGCATAAAATGCTCATTAAGCATAAAACCATTAGTCATCATTATTATAAAATACAATAAAAAGTATTTACACCTTTCTCTATCACATAATTACAAAATATATTTTGAGTGCCAAGTAACCAAAAAATTCTCAGAAGTAATAGGGCATTGGCCAAACCCCACCCACCCCCCACACATGGCTAACAAGAAATTAAAATTTTAAAATATAGGAGACCTTGATCTCAACATGCCCTTAGCCCTATCACAAAGTAAAAGAATTATCTGGAATAGTTTGCAATAGATGAGGCTCATCCACTGTGTACAGAGAATTTCTTTAAATCATCTGTCATTTGTAGTGCTGTACAAAGTCATATTTGTCTCTGCCTGAAATAAAGTTGATATCTTACAGTAGCTGAGCATCAAACCTAGGGCACTTGTTGACTGTTCTTGGTTACTAATGGCATATATGCCCGCTTTTTACACCGGTCCAAGGCTTTATTGAAAATTTGTATGAAATTTTGAAATTCAAAATCTCAATATATATATTTGGTTCACATTAATATAAATTTAATTTCCCTTTCTCAAATTTAGCCAAAATATTTTACTTTTTGGCAACTTCTTATAAACTGAAATTTAACAAAAAATTTAATATGGTGCATTTCTGCCAAAACAAGTTTCAATACATTTGCTCCAATCACTAACCATTTCTGAATTCATGGCTCTGTTCATGATGGTACTAGACAACCTAAGCCAGTAGCATCAGGATCACAATTTTCTGATCAAGTTCAGGGGACTTTAAAATCCTGAGCTTATAGCTGCCACTAAGTTTACAGTAGATGGCAGAATGAAGTCTAATGAGCAGCAAAGAAAGTATTATTTCATTCGATTCAGCACTTTGTCCGTTATGGTAATGAGAGCTTTTTGTTCACTAGAAGCTTTTAGGGTACTAATAACTCTTATAGCCTCTTCACAATGCTGACGAGCTAAGAATTGAGTTTGTTCCAACCCATCACTCTTGTGCACAAATTCAAAGGCTTTCTGTACATCGCCTGGCTCTTGAAATCTCCGCATAATCATTGGATTAAGCTCTGGGAACTGAAAAACAAAAATTCAAGTTTTACAGACTTCAACATGACTTTTGTAGTATAAAAGTTATTTAATAAGTAGTGTAAGGATAAAAGTCCTATTTTAGCCAGTAAATAGAATACCATGTTTAACCATCACTTAATTGTTCTAATTAAAATGCAAGAATTTTGATATACTGTACAGTAATACAGTGCAGATGCATTTGCACATTACTTACCTTTTCACATGCAAAAAGAACAGGTGCTGTGGCTAAACCTAGTTTCAGATCTGTAGCTGTTGGCTTGCCCATCATATTTGATGATGAAACAAAGTCTAACAAATCATCCACAAGTTGGAAGGCTATTCCAACATTACGTCCATATTGGAAGGAGACTTCTTGTAGATTTTCATCAGCACCAGATAAGAGTGCCACCTGAAAAGGTACATCACAACACTGTACTACTCTATATTACACTTTCTTTACCAAATTTAATTGCCCCCAACTGGAGAAAATCACAAGCCAGGGAACCACTCTGAAGTGCAACATTACATGATCATACTGTAAATAAAAGTATTATATTTAACTTTTTTGAAAGCCTTTATATAGACTACAAAACTGCACATTACATTTTTGATTTATATATTTATTTATTTATATATACAAGAGTTCTTACATTCTTGTGCAGCCACTAGCATACATAGCGTTTCGGCAAGTCCTTAATCCTAATATTCCCCGGAATATGACCCTGCTGAATCATTTAACAACCAGGTACCCATTTTACTGTTGGGTTAAACAGAGGCAACAGTTAAGGATCCATGCCCAGTAAATCCTCCCCGTCCAGGATATGAATTCAGGACAAAGCGCTTGTGAAACGCTAGGCGAGCGTCTTGCCACTACATCAAGGGGATTGCTAGCAAATGCAAATATACATAAATGATACTAATGTATTCAGACCTTCAATATATCAATTATAAAGGAATCTATTCAACAAATTGTAAACTCATTAAACCTAGATACTCACAGCTTTGCAACTGTATGCTAGCAATGATGCCGTTTTCTTGAAAGTTTTCTTAAGATAGTGTGCAAATCTTTCATTTTCGTTTTCCTTTGAGCCAAGCTGCATGAATTCTCCTTGAACCAAGTCACTGAGTACCTGCAATATTAGAGGTAAATTAACCATTTGAAGACAAGGACATTAAAATAGAGTTTGAAAATTACTCATGACCTGGAGTACCTGCATTTACCCGAGGGCCACCAACACTAGTCTTCTCGGCAAGGACGGGAAGCCGGCGGCCTGTCGAAAGCACCTCCCCCCCCCCCTCCATTTGCCGTGATACACAGCAATTCATAATACAAGATACGATGTGTACATGACTAGGACCGTAGTGAATGCTATCAACCTAGATAGTGTTCAAAAGCATCTACTGTATTGTAGGACACTAAATAAATAATCATTGAAAACAATGATATTAACCAGCAAACTAAAATATGTAATTCCAAGAATGAAAAGTTGCTGGCACTTTCAAATAGTGTGATGCCTAATATGATTATACAGTGTACTGACCTGCGAGAGCACAACGATGACTTCCTCATTTCGTATCCTGGCCAGCATGGTTGAGGCAACAGAGAGGATATAATCTCCAGCCATTACAGCCTGAGTGAAAGTAATCTTAAATTAGAAGTCATTATTATTAATAAATAAACACACTGGTGGAAAATTACAGTAGCAAAGGAAGAATTTGTTAATTTACTTTAATCTTTCAGGATGTATATCTAGAGCAGGGGGAGATTTACATTTGCGAGGGAAAAAAATAAATCATGATACTGCAGTTGGGATAAGAATACCATGAGTGGCAGAATTTTTAACACTCCCCAATGAAGTCAGATTCTTCTGTGACCATGAAGTGCCAGTTGGTCAACCAAGCAAGGCAGCCAAGAAACTGGCAGCACTAAGGTGAACAGTAAATTATACCTCACTGAAAGCACCAATTGCATTATATGAAGCACATAGTTGCTCATTAAGCACTTTTCTTTAAAATCTTGCAATCTTCAAGACTGGAGTAGGGGCAAGAGTCTGTCCTTACTGTTATGTAAGGCTGATGTTTAAGATTACCAACCGAGTGGGAACCAATAAAACTACAGCACTTGGCTGTTCAGCCATGAACAGCCTTGCATTACTGTGCCTTTCAAGAATAAACACTATTCGCTATCAACCATTCTTTGGCTTATCTGGATCATCGAGCCAATCAATCATTCTCATAGGGTAATTTTGAAATAAAGTCAATCGACAATATGAATGCTTAAATAAACAAAACTTTTAAACATTAAATTCACTAGTAAAAAAGAGTCGAGCTAATTAAACGAGTTTCAAGAGATAGGCTTCAAATTAACATATTAGGTAAATGGTATTTAATTTTACAGTACTTATGAATATAAAAGGTATTTGAGAAAAATGATACTGTATTTGTACATCACTAGCGCTACCATCAAATACGAGGCCAGTGTTCAAGGCTCCACTTGGCCAAACTTCATAAACTCCCAGAAGGGTGCTATTACAACTCAAGACGATCAGCCAAGATCAGTTTCACACTGACTGCACCTTTCTGAAGGACATGACTCCAGTACAGTCTATTCAATTCTCGCCCGATTCTTATGGCTCACCATATGAAAGCTCTGAATCATAGTTGGTACCAAATTTACATGAAAGTTTCTATTTTTACATCTAATGTTGTAGTAACCTTGAAAGTTAAGATAAAAGGGTATTGGAGGTGGAGAAGGAGGGGGAGGATAGGAGCAGCAGAGGGGGGATAGGAGGAGCAGCAGGGGGGGGGGGGATAGAGGAGGAGGGGAGGAAGGAAAGGAGGGGAAGAGAAAAATTCAAGCTCAGCATCAAACAGCCTCCAGGTAGAGTGGCGAGAAGCAGCAGCAGCAGCAGCTGACCTACATACGGCTTTATCGAAGCTCGGATGGCAAGGCATCCAGAGTCGCCAAATTTTCAAGGTCTCTTGCAATGCACGAACGGATTCGTCGGTGTTTTACACGTTAGGAATGTTAACAGTTGGGCGAGGCAAGCGCGACACGAGGGGGAATGACTAATACCTTCAGTCCGAGCTGCTAAGCCATTACCGGTGTCCTTAAAGACTCAACTACAGGAACAACATCCGTGACTTGTTACCTCACCTGGTAATGACATTGCGTCACGGCTCTTGAAACCATTCAATGGCAAGCTGTAACAAGGCTATCTCAAGGCCCGAACATCCTACGTGGTACAACGAGATTTTATTAAGGTATTAAATGTGTAAACTGTCACTACATTAAATAAAATGGAAGTGTCCTTCACCTTTGATATGATCTATCCCGCTTGTTAAGAGTTGGTTGACGGGATCACACTTCTGCTAATATCGACTCTACAACCAATTTGGCTAATTAGCCCAGTTTCATGGCTTCTAAATGTTTGTAAGCGCTTTATGGTGAAACAGTTTCTGGTCAATGCCGCTAGCCAGAGTTTTTTTTTTAATATAAATCAGCTTGTGGATATAGTGCCCTCTAATAAAATATAAAAGCACAGGCCTACTAAAACTAGCCTACACGTTTTGTGGATGTTCTGTGGCGAGTGGTCCAACCTACAATTTTGGGTGAAAGCTGTAAAGGTGGGTAGCATTTAGGAAGGTAGGCAGGGCCACTTTTCTTCTTACAAATTATGTCTGAATTTGGCTGTTTGCCCGTATGGCCGAAAATGGACGTAATTTGAAAATGAAAAATTTAAAAATAAGTTTTTTTTTCCATAACAGTAAGTTAAGGGACCTTTGGTAGGTTTGGAGGGCAGGAAATGCTCCTAAGGTTTCAAAACGTCATGAAAAACGTTATTTGAAAGCGCACTCTGCTAACCTTTGGCGCCTGACAGCTGAGTGGACAGTGCTTCGGATTCGTAGTCCTGAGGTTTCGGGTTCGATCTCCGGCGGAGGCGGAGACAAATAGGCAAAATGTTTCTTTCGCCTTGATGCCCCTGTTACCTAGCAGTAAATAGGTACCTGGGAGTTAGACAGCTGCTACGGGCTGCTCCCTGGGGGTGTGTAACAAAAAGGAGGCCTGGTCGAGGACCGGGCCGCGGGGACGCTAAGCCCCGAAATCCTCAAGATAACCTTACCGAATATGCTAGAGAAAAACGGAAAAATACATCACTTCTGAGCCGATTTCTATTTCAAATTACGTTCATTTTTAGCCATAGCGCATACGAGCGAAAAGCGACGTTATTTTTAAAAGGACGAGTTGTGCTACCGAGTCATACACAAAACCAAAGAGCCAAAGCTCAACCCCCGCAAGCACAATTGGGCGAGTACACAAGTTACCCCACAAGCACGGGCGGCTGGGGTTCCTCTCCACCTCCACCCTCCCACCCAACATGTAATGTTCATAGTATTCACATTCTGGTCTAGCTAGAGGGCTTATTCAAATGTTTATTCCAAAGTTCTCAGGTACAGGCCACTTTTAATCAAAAATTTCTTCAATATATAATATATTTACTATCGGTGACGTCAGAGCCCGTTTTGACTAGTCACTGTTGGCACTTGCAGTACTAGTTTATTTAACAGGTTTGATCGTCTATTTTCCTTTCACCACATTAACACAGTTGTTGGCGTTACAAAAAACTAATTGCATATACCGTTGTTTTGGTCATTTAATCGCATCTTGTATAGCAGGAAAGTTAGTGTTAAATGGGAAAGGCAAGGGTAGGGAAGAAATAAGACTTCCTGGCGACCTTCATTAGGTCGAAGAGCCAGGCTTCTCCCACCACCATTAACAGGCTCGGGAATGGGGTAGAGTTAAGGCTCTGTAGGGGCAAAGATCGAGGGGGGATGGATTTAAGACGCAAGGTCACGATGAAGAGTTAATGAAGAAAGGAAGTCCGAAATGGCAAAGTCAGACGAAGTGGTAGCGGGGCGGGATGGTTTACCCGTCGACAAATGACAGGGTCAAGCGTGTGATGTGTGCCTACTTTAGTCTGGCTAGGGTTAGCACTAGACGCCCGTGTGGACAACCTTGCCCTTGACCGGGGGGAGGGGGGTTATCTCAGTAAAGCTAGCTCTTTGACAAGGAGATGGGGGGGGGGGGGGGGGTTAACTCGCCAAGCCTTGCCCTGGCAGGAGAGGGTGTGCCTTGGCCAAGGAGGGGTAAAACTTCGGAACGCATACTACTTCGGTCCAATAGTACAGCACAGCTTGCACTTAAGGCAGAGGGCGGAAGGGTGCACCTAACGCTGACCGTAGAGGGTCGAGTACGGCGGTGGTGGTGTTTACCTTGCGCTGACCGTAGAGAGAGTTGACAGAGGGCTTGCCGCGTCGGGTGTCGGACGCGTCGAGAACGTCGTCGTGCACTAGGGAGGCCGTGTGAATCATCTCTGCCACTTTGGCCACTTGCCGCTGAGAGTCGAACAATCTGAAGGAAAACAAAAAATCAATAAGTGTGAAGTATCACCAGACTACAGTGTACGCGCGCACTCACTGCACACAAACCATTACTTCATATTGCTCAATATGCCCAGAAGGGACACCTAGATTGTGAATTCCCCCGTGTACACAGTTTACTCGGGAACTATGTTCATGACTAAAGGTTTACTTGCTGGTAGGGTAGTAAACACGACTTGTCCTTAACTGTTCGGAGGTTGATGGCCTTAAACCCAACATGACTGAATCAAATTACTCTGATCTTTTATCGAGGTTCCCTCCCCCGCCCCCCCCCCTCTCTAGGTCTAAGTACCGATGAACAGGCTTTAGGTGAAAGAAAATGTGCCCAACCATTACCGTCCCTATGTGGGGAACAGAATCTGAATGACCAAGAACAGACAGGCAAGTACACGCCCCCTTTTGCATCGACTAACTAGTACATATTACGAGACGCGAGCCAAGTTGTGCAGTCATGGTGGAGAGTTGCCACCATGCACCATCACTCTTGTGCTTCTCTCCTCATGACCTTCCAACAACGCTAACTACCCGCCCTTCCCTTGCGACCTACCAGCAGCAACGGAAAACTGGGGCCCCTCCCTTGTGACCTACCAGCAGCAACGGAAAACTGGGGCCCTTCCCTTGCGACCTACCAGCAGCAACGGAAAACTGGGGCCCCCTCCCTTGTGACCTACCAGCAGCAACGGAAAACTGGGCCCCTCCCTTGCGACCTACCAGCATCAACGGAAAACTGGGCCCCTCCCTTGTGACCTACCAGCAGCAACGGAAAACTGGGCCCCCTCCCTTGTGACCTACCAAACAAAGGAACACAGGACGTGACAAAGGTGTGATAATGTGCAAGCACTATAAATACATTTACATACAATTGCTTTTTAATTATTAAAAAACACAGTTCAAGACAAACGTTATAAAATTATCTAGAGGAAACGCCAAAATAAAAGACGGTAAAGGATATAGAGAAGACTGGCAACGGAGATCAAAGCAGTCTAGTGACGCAGAGCAAGATTTTTTTTCGAGCGGGTCAGTGGGTGGAGGCGGTGGCTGTGCTTGGGGAAACCCTGAAGGTCGTCAGTGAAAGTTCCTTTCCTCTCCCCCACATTTCCTCCTCCTCGGTTTTTAAATCTTCAATCTAACTTCCCTTTTTTCCCCCCTCTTACCTCCCGTCTCCATAATTATTTCCCCACCAACTCCTCCTCCCCCAACCTTACTTTCTCCCTCGTGCCCACCTTCCAAGAACCAGCAAGGCTGGGGTGACCCTTCTCCCGGATCATTGCTCTGGCTGCCACCCACCTGTTCTACACACCCATCCTCCTGCCCGTCATCCACCCACATTCCGCATCCTTCCTCCTCTCACCATCCATCAGAGGAGGATCAGCTATTTACAACCAAAATTAAACAAACAGCCAGAAGTAGAGGTTAAATACCGACTATTTCTAAAATTTCATAACTGAATAAGTCTGGCAGTATACGTGCTATATACCGTAAAACATATAACGAGGTGTTCAGCCGCACACTATCAGTAGTCTCTCCTAGTACATCAGATTATTTACGGTATCTATCAACGGTATATCAGATAACAGGAGTAAAATCTATAAAAATCAAATGGTTTCATAATTAAAAAAATTCTGCAATCTAGTTATATAAAAATGGGCTGAATTTAGCAATATTAATGCCACCCATACTTTAAAAAAATCAGTACAAACTTCTAAAATCCGTAGTTACAACAAGCCTAATAACATTAGATTTAAACGGTGATGTTTTATGTACAGTTTACAAGACAATAGTCCAGAGCCACACTACCCGAGGGGTGTACACGTGTACCAAGAGCACCAGGTGGCCTAGCGTGCCGAGGTGACACTAGCACGCTCCAGGGGGCTCAAAAGGTCAGTACCAGAACCACCCCGTTCTGTCGAGTCAGGTCACACAAGACTAAACTGAACTAGCACCATTTCCAGGTAATCTGCAAGCAACTTTTTAAGGCGGAACAAGTTAATGGGTGGCTCACCTGTCTTGGTTGTGGAGGTGAGAGTTGATGGCCCGGGACATGAGAAGGGTTATCATAGGTCTCACAGCCTTGCCTTGGCCATCGAAGTAATATTTGGCTATCTCGTAGAGCTCTGCGTGAGACTTCAGCTCCTGTTGGAGAGAGAACATGGGGTGTTATCACCAAGTGAGAGACAAGGAAGCAACGCTCGTCTGTGGTTCACCGAGATCAACTACATCTACAAATCGTCACTGATGAAGTTCTAAATCTAGATTACACAGTATATAAACCATTACTCGTTATGCTAGTATAACTACAGAACTACAGTACATTATTAACCTATTACAAATTCAAAAACTAATAAAGTTTTAGAATTTGAAGTACTTCCTAGCAAACAACCAGTATTCCCTAACCTAATTAAATTAAATGGAAAAAGAGATAATCTTACTATAAAAACACATTTAACACGCTAGCAAGAATTTTTTACTGCCCAAATAACGTGCCGGTAACTTCATTAAAAATGGGTGCCAAGTTCCTTAGAACTGAGAGGTATATCTTAAACACTGTACCTTAGTCACTGGGGCTGAATCAACATTTATAACCAAACCATTGTTAGATATATATAGTCTTCACCATCACCTTGGTAAAACGGGAAAGCATACGACATGTTGCTTATCATGGACACGAGACTTTTTGTTTGCATTGCCATAGGTAATATGAAGTACATCTTTTGCCCAGAAGAGGTCAAACATGCCTCGTAGAAGGGTCCTCCGGGTCGTCAGAACACCACCACGAAAAGGTAGTTCCAAGGGAAGAGAAGTAGTGCAAAGATACATCGGTATAGAAAAGGTAATTTATGACCATACGCGTATTTTACATGACATGATCTCTGCATGTCAGCTGACCACTGCTAAGAGGAACAAGTATTACTATCGTATCGTCACTAGGTCGAGTAGGCGTGATAGTTACTAGTTTTCGAGTGATAATACTGGAAACTAGTCAAGGAATCACCGGACACCACCACCTGCTCCGAGGAGAAAGCTCAACTGATCCAGTACTTGTTGCTCCACCAACACCACGCCAACCTTTTTAAACTAATCGTAAACTTTAATGCTACATCACTTTCGTGAGCAGATTTCATTTCAAATTATGTCCATTTTGAGCCATAGCGCGCATACGAGCGAAAAGCTACGTTATTTAAGAGGACGGGTTGCGGTATCCAATGTCTGGCCCATTTCCTCCCCCTAGTTTCATTATCTTACATTTACTTAAGTTGAACTTTAGGAGCCATTTGTTGGACCATGCGTGTGTGTATATATACGTGTACACACTTGCGCGTGAGCGTGCAAGCAGGCTCGACTAGACCAGTAAATCCATTAGTGTACGAGCCATCTAGTAAATGTACAAGGTACGGCCGTCTACTCCACAACGGGGCCGTGTCCTTCCTATCCACGCTTATTCCCCCCCCCTCCTCCCGATCTGCGAGCACTCTTACTACGTTCACACATCCCCCCCCCCCTCTTTGCATCCCTCTCCCACTATCTTAATCTCCCCTAATCTTAATCCTATCTTAATCCTTTTGATTCCCCCCCCCCCTTTGTCTTCCTGCAGTCAAATGTCTGACGCCCCGTCAGCGCGCCAGGACCCAGGATGAAGCGCCTGTCGTGCCCGGACTGCTCTACAAGAAGCGTTCTTTCCTCTAAGACAAGTTCTTCGCCTTCAAGCAGGAAGGAGCATGTCTGACCCTTGCAGGCAACACCTGGTGCCTCTGATGAACACTGCTTACATTCACCTGTTCACAGTCGAGCCATTACAAGACTTCTACCGGATAATTACCTCGCCACACCTACAATCTCTCATTTATCACAAGCAGCTTTACGGTAAACATTCGTACCAACATAATCGTCTATTCTAATCCGATACAAGCCGTTACCGATGGCCTTCTCGCTGATGCACACAACATTCAGGTATGCAACTGACAATACAAGCCCACTCGGCAATTGGCCTGAGTTCCTACACAGCGTATCCTTCGCCTATTGTAATTACCAACTGTTTAACCAGCTGATTGATTGATGAAAATTAAGCCACCGAAGAGGTGACACGGGCATGAATAGCCCGTACTATTCAGCACTCAAGATTCCCAATTGATTCTGTCTAACACAGGGGAGACAGCACTGATGAAATACAACCTACTCTGACCTCTGAGCAACGTGAGGAACTTTTCGTACCATCATATCTATTAAAAAAATGTTGCCTAAATGGGCAAGTGACCGTTGAGAGTCAAAATATAGCACCATATTGGCCGACACAAGCCACCGCCCATATTGCTCACTTACACAAGAGTCTTGGGGAGGATTATGTTGGGTGGAAGGAGCCGCATCCCTAGGAAGGGAAGGCCACCTGGCTTACCCGTGACTGGTTTCGCGAGTTTTCCCCTCGCAGCTATCTGTTGATCCGGACTTTTCTGGTTTGAAGGGGAAGCTGGTACCTCGGTACTCCCCCCCCCCCACCCCCTTCACCTTGTAAAGGTGGGGGGGGGGGGAAGGGAGCAGCCACCTAGTAAAGGGGGGGGGGAAGGGATGCAGAACCGTCAGGGGGAAGGTGAAGAACCGTCAGAGGGAGGGGGGGTGTTTGTAGAACCGTTGGGGGGGGGAGGGGTGGCGAACAATGTAGCGAAGGAAACTAGGTCACAAAGTATGCGCGCACACGCATATACACGCAGCCACCGGCACGTGCCGAACCATGTACAACTGCTGGTTTTATGTACAGAGCTCTACTATGCTCATTACTGTGATGCTGGACGACCAAGAGATGGGCATGGTGGCAGAAGCGCTGCAAGTAACACGCTGTAACATCCCTACAGTAACGCCAGCAGCCGAGTGCAGCATCGGTAACAACCCCAGGAAGCACACACTTGGTCGCCAGGCAAGTACAAAATAGAAAGCAACATTAAATAGTCGAGGATGGCCGGGACTACCAAGGCAGGCGACGATGACTGGAGGTCAAGGTCTGCTGGTGGTGGTGCTGCTGCTGCTGCTGCTGCACGCTTCCTACCTCAGCCTCCCTCTACCGTACACATCCTCCTACTAACCGAAATCACGGACAATCTTTTATGTGGAAACTTTTAGCCCAGGAGCAGCGTGGTGTTGGCCAAGGAACAGTGCTACCTGGCGGGGCGACCTTGCCTCGCCCACGTCACGCGTGTATGCGCATCCATCCTCTGTGACACCCAAGTTGCACATTTATACTCTTACGAAGTATGTTTTACACTATCACTTGCTGACTTTGTCAAGCAAGACCTTCACTTGGACCAAGCTCTCTGAGACGGTCGCTTCATTGATTACTTAGGTGTGCGAGGGTAGGCCCTGTGGCGCGCCAAGCGCAAGTTACGGTGTAAACATAACATTTCCTTGTGTGTACAGCGGCCAGCAAGTCTGCATGTCGTATGTACACACACACACACACACACACACACACACACACACACACACACACTCACTCCCTGTGTGAACAAGAAGGCGGTGGGTTGCCAACTTATTCAATGTATGCATTCTAGACGAGTCTGCAGTGTCTAAGAGTTAACCAAGCCCTGGCATTTGAGATCAATTTAATATATAGTATTTTCTTCCTATAAAAAAAGCACATTTAAAACTGCGTATCTAGTTGGCTTCGATATCCATTTATTCAAATTTACAAAAAAAAAAAAAAAAAAAAAAATCAGAACTACTATATCGTTATAAGTTGACATCTAAGTTTTTCCCATTGTGCGGAGCGTTACTGAACACTATCACCACCTACGTTACCAATTATCCCTAATCTTTTATCCTAGACTCCTGTTTTAGTAATGCGGGGTTCTGTCTGTGTTCCTAGTTCAATTTCCTCAGCTCTGACAGTAGTCTTGGTGCGTATGTGGGGTTAAGAATCATACCTAATATGATTAATTAGGCCATACCTAATATATTTTATTAATGCGTTGGGGCTCCATGCCGGTGCAGCATCCACCAAGTGTTTCTCAAAGAATGTACAGCTGGGAGGAAAAGCTCCGTTGTCGTAGATCTTTAAAGCTACCCGGGACATTCCCAGTTTGGCGCATGTCCAAGTGGGGACGTCCGCTTCATCCAGTGTTAGAGCGAGCGTGCTGGAGTTACTACTTACACCTTTCCCAGCTGCTTATACGTAGTCGTGCAGCGTGACGGTAACAAATATTTCCGTATAGCTTGTATTGGTATCTTCAAATGTCCTGTAACGAGCGAGGTAGGCAGGCAGGAGAATGAGGGGAAAAACGTGGGGAAGGGGGGGAAGCGCACGAACAAGGAAGGGAGTGCGTGTGTTCGTGTGCTTGCCTACACGATGGTTGGGAGGAATTCCAGCTCTTGGGGATGTGTGTCATAGTTTGCTGTAACCTTCCCACTCACAGCGATTGGTCACATCTATACTTTAACGTATGCCTGGGGTTCATTTTACCTTACTATCACGCTCCATTTTCATTGGCATTTGTCTGAATTCAATTGCAACTGCGTCTTTTTTCTCAGCTCTCACTATCCAAACATTGCAAGTCTTTTATATATACATAAAAAAAAAAGGTGTCCACCCTAAGATGGACCCAAGGAATAATACTCTGCTAGCAGAGTTTGCACGGTCAAAAACGACATTTTTCCTTCCTTTGGCAAAGTACATTTAGGTGGTATACCCCTGCGACCTGGCGGGCACCGCCGTTGTGTGACAAGCTGTGAGTGGGGGGAGGGGGAGGAAATACTTTTGAAAATTTGTGCCTAACGCAGAGGTGAGAAGACATGACAAATAGTTGACGTGCTTGTGTACTCTTAATTCCTCTCTTCTCTGGCACTGGATGCGCTTTCCCGGGTAATATGGGAGCCAGGAATATAATATGCTCGTGTTACACACCATTAGCTACAAGGTCTGCACCTGACTGGACTGACTGCGCTAGAGATGCTCCTCAAGAAAAGACTCTCCCATGACAATTATCTCCACCACATGGCGGCCGTATTCGGATCATTAAGAGTAATCGCCACTTACAGTCAAGGGAAAGTTGAAGTGCCAATCACTACCTCGTTCCCTGTAACTTACCCTGAGGGCCAGTCTTTAACATTTACTATTATCACAAGCCTAAGGAGGCTATGGAGCGTAGCTACTGGCTGAACCTGCCAGCCAACTAACGCGCGCACAAAATGTATGGTTGCCAGTAGTGTGTGGCGGGGTGTTGTCCTGGACGGCAGCACACAGCCTTGTTAAGGCCCGTCACCCGCGCACACCTGGGCGGCTGCACGCTTACAAACACGTAATTAATGATTTAATTCACCAATTCATGTCTACGTTCTGCCGTTCCGGGTTTTCAGGCATTAACGCTAATGAGCAGCAATTATTAAATTAACGAATAAGCACAACATTTATCGCCGATGTCAACAGCCAAGATTGTTGGATGAAGTAGTGGGCGCACTGTACAGAATACTACGCACCACAGTAAGAGGGGGTGGGGGATGTGAGAACAGTGCGGAGCTCCTTAACTTTGTTCTTGCAACTGAAGCAAGTATTGAAAACAATCGTGGTAACGTGAACGATTTGGCTCGGTCAACAAGTTTAAAAATAGAACATTAACCTAACTTTTCTTCACTAGTCACAAGGTACTATAGAACGTCCATTTTTCTCTTATTAAAAAAGATTGCTTTACATTGCGTCCACAATGCACATTCGTTGCGGATTTCTTTAAATAATGACCACTTATCGTCAACTTCTCGATTCTAAACTCTTCTTTGGGTAACTGTTTAGTCCCTGGAGAAACGCCTGCTGGCGTTACGACGACTTAGGACCTGTTGATACGTCAACAAGGACTGACGCCATTGTAAAACCTTCCCACAAACGTTAAGTATTTAAAAATATTACTTTTATTGTAAAAAAAAAACACTAATACTGAAGCAGAGCACAGCACTAATGCACACTGTGGAAGTAGTGTGCACTAATGCACCATTGCGCACATTGCGGTTTCTATTCTGAAGCTTTTTTTTCAGCCTAGCGAGAAAATATAGTTTGCACTTGTCCCTAAACAGACGAGAAGCCACGTGCCCATACAGCATGTCAACAACCGTCTCCCGTCCACACCCAGCACTCCGTCATCTCCTGGACAGGTGCTACATACAATAACTAGTTCATAATCATTACTGGTAATGTCGGGGCGATGACTTGCGAGGAGGCGGAGGCACTAAACACCTCGAGCCGGTGTACCGCGTACACCAGCCAGTTGTAATAAGCGATGGTCCTCTCCGCCGCCTGACAAGTCTACGGATTCTTAACCCCATATTTTATTACCATTACACATCGCACGCCCAGAGGCCCCCCATATGCCCAATTATTAAAATATTTATCACAATTGTACAAGAATCCCTAGCATCTGAGGGATTAACTGCAGTTTTCGACCTGGAAAATTGTGACCTTGACATCTTCCTGCTCTGATTCTTGCCTTGACCCGATCACAGGTGACCTAACAGCAGGCAGTCACTTGTAGGTCCCTGGCTTGTGTTGCCTCAGTAGACCGTCACGCTATCTTCGCTACACTGGCTCTCCCGACAGACCGTGGTAAACAGTAAACTTGCAACTTTACTGTGGAATACTGGGGAACTGGCCAGCCCCCTGAACATAAGGAAACTGCAGAAGGCCTATATTGAACCCTACGCGGGAGTTACTCATATCCACCAAACTCTCATACAAATTAAACAACGCTTGAAAGAATCCATCGATGCTACCTATTAGGTTACCCGGTAATCTATTCCACTGCAGATTGGAATGCCTTTATGTAGGGTGACACGAATATTGGGCAAGAGTGACGTTCACCACCTACAGTGACATCACACTAGTGTGAGGCAACACTACACTCCCTCAAGCTTATCTCCTGAGCCACGCGTCTGCTCCGCTTAATCTTCTGTAACCTGTCTGCAAACCTCTGACTCTTAACTGATGTTACTGTATGTTGGAGGCGCAGTGTACGAGGGAGTGTAAACTAGCGTGGAAGATGCCTGGGCTTCCCACCAGTGTCTTCGTCCACTCTCCCATTAATTAAGGATCGCCCACAGTACTCTAACCCTCCCCCTCCCTGGTAGTGATTGATTAACGGTGTTTTCCCCAGACCTTAATATCCCAGGCAACAATAAATGGCGTTAATACGTGCACCCTCTCCAGCCTAACCAAACTTACCCTCGCCAGTTGACCACAGCGAGATACGGTGTCATGAGGCGAGAGAGAGGGGCCAGTACTGTACCGCAGCAGCCTCTCCTACGGTGTCTCGTGCACCGTAGACCAAAAGACGGTGTTGTGCCGTAAAGTGTGTGAACCAATAACTGGCTCGCGAGACTTTCCCGCGCCCCAGTACACCACCACACAGCCATACTGCTCTTGTGGCTCAGTGTCACTCACACCTCTGTGTATCACTCATTCCCCGCACTTGGAAGTTAAATTCCCTTAGTCACTGCCTTCTGCCGCTAACAATCCACCAACAATCGTACTGATATTACCAGGAGAAAGTTGCAGATGGGTCTATTTTACTGGCAGTGTTGTGACTGGCGAAACTGGAGCAATGATTTGTGAGAATTTCCCGAGAGGAAGAGTTGAATGGGGGGGGGGGGAGCACACGACTCTCCCCTCCTCAGCTCATGCCTACAGCCCGCAAGTCACCCAGCCTGTAACAATCTGCTCGCCACAACAGCCACACGTATCACAATAACTGCAGCAGGCCAGCCATCACAAAAAAAAAACTTGTTAATGCCTCAATATTTAGTGAACATGAGAGGTGCGAAACATTTTGTTTGGGGGTCCGGTGGCAGCCTGGACAGCACGCTGGGCGCGCGATTCTGTGGTCCTGGGTTAGATTCCCGGCGTCGGCGAGAAACAATGGGCAGAGTTTATTTCACCCTGATGCCCGTTACCTAGCAGTAAATAGGTACCTGGGAGTTAGTCAGCTGTCACGGGCGGCTTCCTGGGGGGTGTGTGTGATGTGGGAAAAGAAAAAATGTAGTAGTAGTAAGCAACAGTTGATTGACAGTTTAGAGGCGGGCCGATTCAACCCCCATAAGCACAACTAGGTGAATACAGTGTTCAGTATACATACTATATGACTTAAGATCACTTACATCCTTTATATCGGAGAACATGTGCACGAGATCGTAGTCGGTGAGAATGACTGGGTGAGGGTCTGTGTCTGCGTCAGCGTGGCCCGGCTCCTGCACCTGCTGTAGCGCCCGCCTCGAGCTGCTCACCTGTCTGCACTGCTCGCACCCCAGCGCGCGCACCCTCTAAAGCACCAGGGAAGAAAAGATACAGCCTACGTTAGTCAATTTGAAAATGTCAGCTCATTATCTTGTACCGCTACACGTGCGTTAATCAACTATATAGTCCAGAGAGATCACAGTCGCCCGACACTGAGGGGAAAGAGTGGTGAACCTCCCATAAGAAGAGGGGGAAGAAGCCAAGTAATACCATTACATTGCAATATACTAGAGATATGGAATTAAAAACAAAATATAATTGAATATCGGGATGCCACAAGCAGAAATATAGAACAGTAGACGTCAGATACATCATCATCATCCCAAATAGCTTCCATTGTTTCAGTGACTTTCAAAAACAAACTGGTCAAGGTGGAGTTATCTTATCATCCTGGCTGTGATGGATGTGGGGGGGGGGGGGACCTTTGGGATGCGAAATCCCACTGTTTCACAGACCAGGCTGTGCGAGTTTAATAACCGTAAACCATCAAAAGGTAATCTACACATACTATAACTAGCATCATCTGGGAGCCGTTAACAAAGAGGACTTCAGATAGTGACAAAGGTAAGAGGCGAAGGTAAACTGTTAGGCAGCAGTTACCACAATGTTACCAGTAGACAAGTAACTCCTTGGACGTGGGTCATGCCTCTTCCTCCACTAAAGGCAGAAACTAAAGAACAAAACCTAATATAAAACAAACTAATTTATTAAGGCTGCAAATCAATATTTACAAGGGATTATAAATTAAATTTAAATGCGTTTCTCTAATATAAAATAAAGTCATTTGACACCCTGAACGTTAATTATTCTGCCGACCATTAGTAGTTGTTTAAATACAGACTTTACATTCATTTCCAGACGTGCCTTTAACGAGCAGATAATTTCGCTAACCGAAGGCAAGTAGGGGCAGCATTCTCCATCCAGCTTGTGCACTCCCCTATCAGCAGGCAAGGGGATCTGGGAGGTTGCCAGAACGCGGGAAAGCCAAACCCTTATTCTACTTTGCCGCCGCCGCCTCCCTCCCATTGGGTTTTTCCATCCCCACCCTCTGTCTTGGCTGCGTCTCTAGCTCGTCCACTCCCTCCAGAAACCTACCCCCGCCATTTATACTCAAGGGCAGCCTCCATCTTTCCGACATTCCCCTTTCCGTCAGTGATCGCTTCGACCTCGATGTTTTTTTACCAATTCTGGTAAAGCGGACAAGGCCAATAGGAGACTTGCAGGAGGGAGGCTACGGATGGGTGGAGGATACAACGGTGATTGCTCAGAGGACACAAGACATGTGGGTGATGCAGAAGGAGCAAGGTTAAGGCAGAGATAGTTGGTAAGCGACTGGTATGCAGCAGACAACGACTGTGGTGAGGGAGGATTTGGAATATGGGGCCCCGTTCAAGTGACAAACCCGTAACAACGATCACTGGCGGCATATCCGAATACTATTCAAACCTTTGTTGAGTTTACAAACTCTTCATACAGAGACAAGACGGGATAGCTTTAGGACCTAACAGTACAAAGATTATTTGAAGATTGATCAAAACCACTTGCTTCATATCCATGCAGTCCGCTCACCCGGTTGGATCAATAGATTCCTGGACAGAGCGAACACTGTACACTTTCCAAAATGACAGCCATATTCACCAATTACTAAAATAGGTACCTGGAGTTTGAGACTTATTAATCTAGTGAGATGTCTGGCACTGGCCTAGCGGAACCTCTAGACTCCTAACAGGTGCTGTTGCAGACAACAGGAAAACCAAGCAAAGAAGTACTCTCCTTCAGAATCCCAACACTCTCCCACTTCCCCCTACGATGGTGTTCAAGGCTGGGAACAGCATGCAATACCTGCCCACCACACACCAGAAGATACACCACTGCCAATTACAGTGGTACTATAGCGGCAATTCTTCAGATACGCCTCCATGGTAGTCAATTACCTGATCCAGACGAGATCCAATCGTCGTCCACCAGTGCAGGACACGTCGGTTATTTTAGCACACACAGATCTATCATTCCAATAGATCTATCATTCCAGTCTTTCCCCACCCGTGAGGGCCACCCTTCACCCCTTTCCCTTTTGTCGTACCTCCCTTGCCAAGCTACTGGCGATATACTTCTAAGGAACTTCTAATCCATAGATTGGTAGATCTGAGCCTGTGGTGCAGCGGTAATCTCAGTCGTGTCACCCGAAAGGTCCCAGAGTCTATTCCCGCAGCAAGACAGGCGATTTGGCAAAGTTTCTTCCCGCGATGTTATGTTCACTTAGCAGTAAATAGGTACAGGGAAGTTGGCCAACTGATGTAAGTTGTATCCTTTGTTAGTGATGAAATTCTGACCCATAAAGTGTTCCTAATAACGTTAGGAAAATAGTAAAAATTACGATGAAAACATAAAACAAGTTTGTAAGACTCCTGAATAAAATCGAGTGCTACACTTGCTAGGACCCGCACATGTATGCACGCAACCTTCGAATTTATGGAAGTTTGCAATTGGTAGAGAATGTGTGTGTGGCGTCAGTGTACACACTAGCAGCAAGTGTCCCGTGTGGGGGGGGGGGGAGGAGAGCGGGATGATCATTCAGGCACGACAACTGGTCAAGGGGATATAATACATGCCAGGTTTACACCAAAGTAATAGTACAATATCATACCATTGTTGGCCCCGGGCGATGCTCGTCTTTAGTAAGGGACAGAGGGCAAGACGTCCGTATCGCCCTTGCCCGCAGCCTCCTCCACAGCCACGACTGCCCGGCAGTAGGTCGACACCACCTCCAGGGCACCAGCTTAAAAGCAATCCACACTACCACTACAATGTGTAACATTACGTCCATGTCGCACCTAAGAGCTAAAGTCACAACTAGGTAGAGCAAACAACGGCCAGTTTGCTTAAGAAGCGTGTATTTCCTTTTATTTGTTAAACAAAACTTAACTAAATTCATGAATTTTAATTACTAAATATATTTACGCTTTCTTTTACCAACATTCACCCGAGCTGATAAATGACAACGTAAATATTCAAGTTTATTTTGGTTCAAAATTGTAAGTTCCCATATCTTTAATGAAATTCATTACAAACTATGGAACTTTAGCAAGCAAGAGTATTTCGGCACACGACATTGCGTCAGAGGCCAAGGGAGCAACAGCATGCGTAGGACAGACATAAAAGGTCAAAAACCACTTTAGAAACATGCGTGGGGAGGTGCCATAGAGTGAGCCAGCGAGTGTAGGTGGGAGGAGAAAGTGGTTGGTGGTGGTGATGCAGGCATGGAGGGACACAGGTGTTGTGACGACACCACGTGTTGTATGGCAGGAGTGTCTGCCAAGGGAGCCGGTCGGCTGAGCGGACAGCACGCTGGACTTGTGATCCTGTGGTCCCGGGCTCGATCCCGGGCGCCGGCGAGAAAATGGGCAGTTTCTTTCACCCTATGCCCCCGTTACCTAGCAGTAAAATAGGTACCTGGGTGTTAGTCAGCTGTCACGGACTGCTTCTTGGGGGTGGAGGCCTGGTCGAGGACCGGGCCGCGGGGACACTAAAGCCCCGAAATCAAGATAACCTCAAGATAGCCATCATCTACGCCAACTTCCAGTAGCTGGTAAGCCGCCACTACTCCCACTCATCACAAATGTGTAGATATAAACAGCTGGCGAAAGTAGAGAATCCGCGGCAAACCATAGCCCGTGCTACTTGCCCCGCTCCTGTGCCAGGTAAGTTACGGGCTCACCATAGCCCGTGCTACTTGCCCCGCTCCTGTGCCAGGTAAGTTACGGGCTCACCATAGCCCGTGCTACTTGCCCCGCTCCTGTGCCAGGTAAGTTACGGGCTCACCATAGCCCGTGCTACTTGCCCCGCTCCTGTGCCAGGTAAGTTACGGACTCACCATAGCCCGTTCTACTTGGAACTTGTTCCGAGTAGCTGAATCTATAGCACCACAACAGTAGAGAATCTTTGTTTACTAATACGAATATAGGATATTGCAGAAAACCTAATAAACACACACATACATATAACTACACGAACGAAATTTCCCACAAAGTTCACATTAACCATACGTCTGAACTCTTACATATCAATAAATCCAAACTAATACATTCTTTCCAGTTGAATCTGTTCAGTTTCCATCTTGAGAGCTTCATTACAAAAATAATCCTTTCACGTATTTTACACTCGTATCGCCACTTTATTACAAATAACTTGCTGGCTTTTAGTTTCTATATCTTTGTTCCTGCTTTTAGTTTCAGATTCCTACTAAACCGTTACACACATGTAGCCTTAGAAATGTCAACGTTTAGCAGACTTTTATATGACCTTTGATTTAGCAGTCTTGTCTAGATTTTTTTTTCTTTTGGCCATTTTCCCACAGCATTTGGCCATTTTCATTTCCATTGTATATTTAGGTTTTGTCGTGTTCAAGACACCGTCTAAATACCCCTCCCTCCCTCCAGTTGTCATAGGTAAGAAAGAATAAGACAAGGGGTTAAGGCCAAGGGGTAGAAGGGAGCCCAAGGCGCGCGGTGGCCTGGGAACGGGTTATTCTCAACTCCGGCAGGCGAGGTCACCGGGCAGCGCCTCTACCCGCCGCCGCCGCCGCCACCGTCCTGGACTAGGAGTTTCCGTCATTAGCCAGAGGACAGCCTAGTAACCGGGAAGGGTAGGAGAAGGTCCTGGCCACAACTTTCACTTTCCCCGTCAAGGTCGGCCGCCAAGGCTAACGGAAATAGCTGGCTTTCGTGGACCGTAACTTTCCGGTACACATATCTGACGGAGGAATGTACAAATATATAATATAGACGGAACGCACACAAAAGACTGCACCAAGTAGTGTCCAGATTGCTCTCTACTGATAATGAGCCCTTGGGTTGTATAATACATTACTACATTAGGCTCAAGTCCGTCAGGCTCAGGACTGGTTATATACGAGTTAAGGTGCGATTGATTTTTAGGTTGCAGCTTGTCATGGCCTTCAGTATTCAGTACAAAACTGCCTGAACACACTTTACATTCCAACCACAAACGCTTTGATTACTATAAT